TGTGCCAGAGGGAAGCCAAATGTGCTGCTTTCGAGTGGGAGCAGAAGGTGCCAGCTTTTCAAATTATCTCCCAAATTGGAAATGTGACCTGAAAATATTTGCTTTCTGAACTGGTGGTGAGTATCGTATTTATCATCCTCTTGCTTCCCAAAATGTGTCCGACCGTATTCTGAGAAGGTGGGAGCGCTCCGGCATGACGGCACTCAGTCATGCTTACTACAGGGCTTATCGGAGCGGTGTATGACAAGAGTTTGAGTTGTCTGTGTCCTTCAGTGACATGAGCCCCAGAATGTCATCCTAACGTGGTAAAGCACAGCAAAGTGTGGCCTCTGAACGGTTCGTAGAGTGTTTGGTTAAGCGGTGGCAGCGACCGCGGCATCCTCTTCATGACCTGCTCCCTCCAAAGCCTGCTGACTGTAACTCCAAGGTGATGAGTTGAATGGAAGATCACTTAAAATCCCTCGTACCAGATCCACTGAACTTTCTTGACTGCACAAACTCGTCACTGTTTAGCCTGACGAACACCACCTTCACACAAGATGACCATCAACACCCCTAAATAGCTATAGAAGACTGTCTACTCTCCTCCATCTGTGGGCAAGCTTTACTCATGTAAATGAGTAAGAAAAAGAGCTTACCACCGCAGAGCGTCAAGTCCTGCTGTCTGAAATCATCAGCCGGAAACGTGTCAAATTTAACAGCGTCAGTGGAGGACTTGAAACAATTAGAAAAAATTCATACAGCAGCAAACGACATGCCATTAGAGAGGTGCCATTAAAACACAATCTTGAAAAAGCAAAGCGGTTCTTGACTTGGATAGGAGGCCGTCAAGGTGATGAGACAGTCACGGAGGCGGACAAAATTGTTGTTATCCTGTCGGCTGTTATAACGGAGGATGATCCTGGGCAGCGACCTGCATAAAGACCCTGAGGCAGCCCTGAATATTTGCCTAGCACCAAGTGAACTGTATAATATGCCAAGACCATGTGTCAATAACATCACAGAATCTGAAAAATAAAAGATGAAATATTTTCATTTTAGTTGATTTTGGCATCTTATCTCTTGTGAAAAATTGCATAGATGTAAGGGTGCAGATATCTTTTTCTACCAGGCATCTTATCTCTCCAAATCAAATTAATTGAGATTAAGGGATTAAAATTCTAAAGTCAAATTATTATTTTCCCCCTGTGCAGAAAGATCTGAACAACTCACAAATTTCATTCGTATCTGAGAGACAATTTGGTTACACTTTACTTGAAGGTATCTACATAAGAGTGACATGACACTGTCGTAACTATGACATGACACGGTCATGAACCTGTCATGAACATTATGTACATGTCATAAACGTTTATGACTGCTGTCATTAAGTGTCATTTGGTTTTTGTAATGACAAGTTGACATTGTTTGGGTTGTCTTGATTATGACAACTTCACATTAATTGAAGTGACATTAAGATGTCTTTGTCATGACAAGTTGACATTAACAAGAAATGCACCTCTTTTTGTGCTTATGACAAGTTGACATAGTGGTTATTATTGTTCTGACAAAGACATCTTCTAATAATGTCATCCTGGTTAATGTCAAGAGTTGTCATTATAAGGACATCCCAAACAATTTTAATATCAACTTGTCATGACAAAGACAATTTCTGGTGATGTCACTTTGATTAATGCCAAGCTGTCATAATCAAGACAACCCAAACAATGTCAACTTGTCATTACAAAAACCGAATGACACTTAATGACAGCAGTCATAAACGTTTATGACATGTACATAATGTTCATGACAGGTTCATGACCGTGTCATGTCATAGTTATGACAGTGTCATGTCACCCTTATGTAGATACCTTCAAGTAAAGTGTTACAGACAATTCTAAGTAGGTCTGGGCAATTAATCAAATTTTATTTCAAATTACAATTTTGGCTTCCAATGAACATTAAAACAAGATAATCGAGGTAAAGCAATTATTGTGTTGCAATCCTTTTTGCAATAATGTCCTCATTGCTCACTTCTCCCTAAAAGCCCAAAATGACCCTCAGCCAGGTTGTGGCATATTTAGTTCGCCTCAAGCCTGTGTTTCAGTTGAATTATATTTTAAGTCAGAAAAAATCCACTGTTGAGAAGACGATCGATTAGCCCCTAATTTTAAGTATGAGAGAGCTGGTGAATGTGTCACTGAAGAACAAATATTTTGTAGGAGTTATTCTTGCCCTTTTGTCATATTTGCTGAAACTTTCACTTTAGTTTAATAGAAGTACATGAGACGGATAATCTCCGAAAAGAAATCATGTCCCTTCTCCTCTTCTTACTGCTTCTACTAGCATTTGCTAAAATCTACAGCAGCTGAATGAAAACAACCAATCAGAGCTGAGAGCTCTCTAACTATATGATAATCATGTCAATTACTGCTTGTGAACTGTGGTCTAGGGCTGCCCCCAACTAAGAATATTCCTAGTCAACCAATAGTCATCATTTAATTATTAAATGATATATTTTTGGCAGGGGCAACACAATGGTTTGAGTTGAAGGTGTGAGAAAGAACAGTATCAGTAACATTGTTAACACTGTACTACATTACAGAGAAATACAAAACCGTACTAATGAACCTTCATTAATATAGGCCTATATTTTATCTACAAGTGCACGTCACACACTGAGCAAGCCGCCTGTTAATGACGCTGTCAGCAAAGCAGTAATGACTGTGCTAAGTGGCTAATGGGCATGTAGCTACTTTCATGTTTCAGATGATACGTCATGTTTGTAGTTGACCAATGAAGATGAGTTTACATATCACCTTGGGTTCGTCCTTCACCTTCTCAAAATGATCCCACACTGGATTTCCTGCCCGACATGTTATTAACTAGCCTGTGGAATAACTGCAGGTACCAGCCCTGGAAATCTGCGTGACTCCTGTCTGACTGCTGAGTGTGGCCACTTCCTGTGCCTGTCCTTTCAAATTAAATTCCCACATGGTCCAGTCATGTAGGTTTTCATTTATTTTGACAAGGAGCAGCTCCTCAAAAAGTTTTACGTTTGTTTGTTTTTCTGCGACTAAGCCACCAACGAAATCTTGCCAACTAATGACCTTTCTGGTCGATTAACGCATTGTCAACAATTAGGGGGCAGCCCTAACTGTGAAACTAGGCATCACTGATCAAATATGTATCAAGATTCTGACACTGTATTGCCTATTTCTCACCTCAAATGTCCTCAGAAACATATTTTAGTGTACAGTTTAGCTGTTAAATGAGAACATTTGCTCTGGCAGGCTTGTTTCAGCTCCACTGTTTTCAACATGGCAGCTAAAATATGTTTCAGAAAACATTTGAGGCGAGAAAAAGGCAGTATCACAATCTTGATTCATATTTGATCAGTGCTGCCTTGTTTGACAGTTTGACCACAGTTCACAAACAGTGACTGACAGCTGCTTAAGAGACGCTTCGGCTCTGACTGGTTGTTTTCATTCACATATGACACCACCATTTGAAGCATTCCAAGGCAACAGAGTAGGCAAAGAAATATTTTATACAGATTATCCATTCTCATTTAGTGCTGTGTGAATATAGTGACAGCAAATATGACAAAAAGTTATATCTGATAAAAGTTACCAACTACAGCTTTAAGGCCCAGCTGGTAGGAAGCTAAAACAAACCAAACTGAGAGATTCAGCTTTGCACATAGCAGTCAAGCTGTTGAAGTCGGCATCCTGAATCACAACATGGTGTGTCATCACCTATGCTGAATTATGTCCTCTCTTTGTATTCTGTGTTTTTGTGTTATTGTGTTCAAAGTTTCCGTTGTGTCAAAAACCAACAGCAAGCGGTTGGTGTATGCACATTACATACATACAGACGACAGAGAGGAAGTTCTTTTACCTCAGTTTCAATGTTATTCATTATTTATACATCAATAACTGATCTGAGGTCTGACAACAGTTTGTACTCTGTAATCATCAGAGCTCCACAAAGCCCTCTGCTGCTGCTATACAGCCATTCAGGGCCCAGGCGTTCCTCAGCAGCTTATTGTAGACATAAAAAGGACCGGAGCAACTTCTCTTCCACGTTGCTCTCAGCACTTCAGACTGATGCCGGCAGCAAGGTGACGCTGACTATCATTGCAGTCATTTGTTATTGCTACTCGCACTGAGCAATGCTTTTCCATTAAGATCATAAAGATTATCCTACGACTTACTGCTCAGACGGTTTTCATGCTGGGGCGCATCTTGTCTACTCCAGATTTTCCTCAGGGATCGGTAATACAGCCTTTCTATTTTCCAATTCACCTTTAAAGCGCGACTGCTGCTGCTAATGTCCTTTCTGCACTGAGCCCGTGGTGTTGTTTCACTTTTAAAATGAAAAAAAAAAAAAAAACTACGTCTGCGGGAGCTCATATATTGTAAGACCAAGAAATCAATGCTGTTTTGTCCCCTGTGTGGGCTTAAGAATAAGCAGAGGCACAGTAATTGCAATTTACAGCATATTTGGTGCTTTATGCTTAATGGAAAATAATAGCGTACAGTCTGCCGGTGGTTTATTATAGTTTCTAAAATTACTGTGATTATACAGAACTCCAGGTTGAGAATTTGGAGGGGAGGAGGAGGAGGAGGCGTTTAAAACAAAAAGGTGTACAAACACTCGGCTTCAAAACCAATAGAGAATTTAATATCTATAAATTCACAACAGCAACACCGCTGCAAATAATGAAACGCACTTAGCAATGTGACACTACAACCATTGACTTTTACTGCACCCAAAGGAATGATGCAACTCCAGGAGCCATTGTGGCAACCAGTAACACTACTGAGTGTTTTCTGCTCTGCTCACACATTCGATTCAGTCTCACTGGGTCAACAGACACCGAGAAAAAAGCTTCAAACGCCACCAGATAATTCATTGTAAACACACTGACGCTCACTGTGTAATCAGATATCTTGCAAATCAGTTCATACGCGTTGATGTTTACTTAGTCTCTGCAGTGTGTGCTGTTGTGTGCTTACCTATACAGACGTCTATCTTGCCTTTAATGGCAGCTTCATGCAGTGGTGTGTAGTTCCATTTGTCTCGAGCGTTAGGGTCGGCCCCCTGACACAGCAACAGGGACACCACCTGAAAAGAACATATACAACATCTGCATTTACTCTTTTATTGGCAAACACATCAAACCCCAGGTGCTTTTACTCCCATGGCAGCTACCACTGACTTTGCATTGGCAGTCTAGCAATACTCGTTAAGGTGGATGATAGATCTATGCCGCTTTTCACCACAATTAGGGCTGAGTATCATTCACACTTTAGCAATACTGCTGCAAATATATTTTTGTAAGCAATACCGAAATCAGAAGCATAAATATAGACAGTCCAGGCAGTGCAGTTGCGCTGGGTCCTGTGAGGTGGGGGGGCCCATGGAGAGAGCAGGAGCTCCAACAATGTGTTGGGCAGAAAATGGGCCCTTAGGAGTGATTGCTACTTCAGAAATATGCCTGTGTTCAAAACAGAACTCTCATTAAATTCAAAAAGGTGCCATTTGCTATACATGCCCTCAAAAAAGGCAAACCCTTCTGTGTCATGTTTTTTTTTGTGAAATAGTCAGTAACATCTAAAACAAAATTATATGATGATTCTACATAAACTATAAATAAACTATAGAAGGATTAATTTAAATAATTGTTTTTTATTGTCTTTGGTATTTTATTTGTCATATACAGATGTAATGATGATGATAGTCTGTTTTGTAGGTTTTTTCCTAAAATATATCCTATTTTATTTTATTATTATTATTAGTTTAATTATCATTATTATTTTCTTAAATGTTCTAAAAAATAAATCAAATCAAATCAAAATCAATTCCTGGGTAATATCTATTGTTGTCCATGTGATGTTGTCCAGTCTTGAGTTTCTGTTTGATCATGTGTATGTAACAGAATATTCTCCGTGCATCAGTGTTGCTTTGTTAAAAGCATCCATACATAAATTTCACGCACATACAGTAGAGCACATTTCAAAAGCAACAGTTCTGATCAAAGTGTAATTTATCTAGAATAAGATTTAGACTCAGCATGCCAACTTTTTATACTCGCTAGGGCTGCTGGAACCAATTTCAGGACTCTTTTATGAATCTAACAAAATAAAGCAAATGCTGAAATTTTTTATTCAAACAAGTATTTTTTTTTATATAAATCTGCTGGCTAATGTAAGTGAATCTTTTTGTTCTTGCCTTGCCTGCATGTGAAAATCAATGTTTTTGTCAAGTCTGATGAACAATCAAGTTTTCTGAATCACCATCTCATACTAAATGTGCTAATGCTAACCTCTAACATTAGAATATCAGAAATGGCAGCAAGGGATGCACCCACAGAGATCATCACTCCTGACCAGTGGAAAAATAACCAATAAAGATACAGTAATCTGACAATTATACAAGGTCCAAATGAAATATCACTCGACGAGCAGGCAACCCACACACATTAGCCTGTGTATACTACGTGTAAATGACCCCGTTAAGTAGTTGATGTGTTAAATTTGCATTTTTAATGTATTTATGTTGCTTTTATTTTGCTATTTCCCATGAACAAGCTTTTATTTTGAAGAGACAGTAGACACAGAGGTCACAGTCAGAAATTGACAAACGGTGCAGTAACTTACAGATTAGCACCAGTCGAGAGGGCAACAAGGTATCAAATGTGTCGTATTGTCTGATCATTTTGAATTTTCAGTATATTTGCTAACTTCTGGGCTAAGTTTAATGCATTGTTTTGTCTTATGATTGTATAATTTGTGTTCAGCCCTTGTGTTGGTCGATGGAGTACACTGAGAACAGAATAAACTGCATAAGACCATCAGTCAAGACTTGTATCATTTCGACTGGGATGCTACACTAGGAGTGTTAGAAAATATTAATAAGTAGTATTGTGATATCATGTTTTGTGATGCTCAATCAATATCAATTCTTAACACAAAGAACACAGGCCTATGAAACAGGAGGAGTCATAAAGGGCGGACTGCTAGCATTGACTCTTCTCATGTTAAAAGTTGCCCAGATACTCATTTACTTCAGGCAACAACTTGTTCCTAACTTTAAGGGTTTAATCCTCCATTTTCCTGCAGATATATTCTACAATCAGAGAGCCAGTTACTGCCACCCACCCACTACAAAATCACACTTAAACCAAAATAACATAAAACCAAGGCAAACGACCACTTTGAGAGGTGCGACCGTGTGGTGATTGCTTTCAGTTTGGACAGTGTTTACTCTCATCACCACGCTAATCATCACTGTGATCACACAGCTGCATTAGCACGGCACTTCTGACAAGGCTGCAAAGTGCTCTCCAAGAAAGCTCTAAAAGCCTCTAAAACAATCCAAACTGCAAAGATGAGATTGATCCTTTGGTTAATGGCTGGGATGACAAAAAGCATTAGCACATGCACATCTGTCACAGATATTCCAAAACATCATAATCATGCGTCGGCGTGACCAGAACATCAAAGACACGCTGACAGTGACTATTCAGGTTCTCTCAATGTCATCTTTAAGGCTGACTGTGCATATTATAGTTCACAGGCAAACAGAGTGGATTTGCATGTTTGGACAGAATGATATTTTGCTCTCATAAAAACAATGATTACAGTTTTCTCCTCCATCTATTCTGGAGTTTACCGCCGCGCCAATTCTTGTGCACCAAACTCCCTTACCCTCTTTTTATCACCAGCTATCATTTACATCCTGCTAAAGTATTAACTGTTATACGTTGTTCCAGGCAGGATATTGGAAGTGTGCCACCCATTTTTCACCTTTGTGTCGCCCTGTTGGGCACTCATACTCCCTTCTACTGCACTCATGTGGATTGACTTCAGCTTGCTTGCTCGCCTGCCCACAACAAGATATCATACAACTGCACTAGGATAATAATGGTGTAGGAAAGTTCCAGATACTGGTATAAAATGCTTTCTGAAAACAGCCAAAAAAGTGAGACTAAATGCTCAGAAATAAATAGTTCCATCTTCCATTTTGTCAGATCCTCTTGATCATGACCTGGTCCAATGTGGTCTGAACGGTAAAACAGCTGTGAAATCTATCTGGTTTTTGTTTTGCATTTTCACAGATTGAATAAAGAGTTCAAAGTCAACAACAAAATAATACTATAGTTACTATAGGCACCCTGTGATGTCTCCAGTCATAGTGGAGTATCAGTTTCTTAAGTCTGAGCAGGTGGGATCACAAAACATAGGCAAAAATAGCCAGGCGACTGAAAGTCAGTTTACCATGCATTTGTTTGGAGCTGTTGCAGCCCCTTATTGTGTTATTTCAAAATAATTTTACACACATGGTTCAACATTATTATCATTACAAAACACTTCCTGTGAGTTTTGTAACGATTGAACAAACAATATCGATTTATAGTCTGATTTGTGGTATGTCACACCCATTTTTTTGCATTTGTAGCACCCCCTAGTGGTCAATTTCAATGAATTTTTCAGGGTGGGTGCGTTCCGAATCACATACTCTTTCTTTTTACTTTTAGTAGGTTCTGCAACTGCTAAAAACTATGTATTGTTACATGCAGTATGCACACAATCGGGACATACTACTGTCTCAAAACGTTACGCCTTGAACGTTGACCCTCTTACTCATATACGTTACCATGGAGATAAAACAAATGCCCATTACCTAGTTCATCAGAGATGGAGATCAACCCAGAGAGCTCTGCCGTTGTTACTTTGCAATCTATGTAGTTTAGCTGCATAAACTGTAAACTACTGGACTGATCATCAGTTACTTGAATGCACTGTCATCCCTCATTGCGACTTCTAACAGCTGTCAATAAGCTGTCAAACAGCTGCCATCTCTCTGTGGCTCAGACGATGTGACAGATCGTCACAGAGGATTGTGGGTCAGAATAACTAGAAAAAGCATGCTGGCTTGCATACTGCAAAATCAGACCCAGGGAGTAGAACATCCTGGTATTTCTGGCACACTGCGTTTGACATACTATGTATTGAGACATACTAAATCTTTTTCTAGCATACTATATAGCATGGTAGTATGGGTATTGGAACGCACAGGGTATGTTTCAAGTACTACTGTGGACATATTCTGCACGTTTCATGATGATTGGCCCAACGGTTATAGAGTTAGCTCTATTTATGTGTTAAACCCCGCCCCCTTTAAAGTTCATTGGTCAATTTTTTCAAAACACAATGCGATATCAACAAGCTTTTCATAACCTTTGTTAAGTTTGGTCCAATACTGATGCATAGAAAATTTGGTACAAATTGGACATATGGTTTAGGAGGAGATGTGTTTTTCTAGTCAGACGGACTATAGACTATTAATCTGCAAGTGCATTGACCAGCAGCAGCTTGGGTCCATGTTTACTTCCTGTCTGCTGATTTCATTAAAATACACAGCAAAACGTTCCAACAGGAAAAACAAAGGGAACAATTTAGAATGTTTATGTTCTTGAGGCAAGTTTCAAGAGTATAAATAAATGAATGTCCTTTCCAAGTTCTGTGTAAATCCAACAAGTTCTGACGTTTCAAAGTTGAACTCTAATTAAAGCTCCCCTATAAGAGCCACTGTAGTCAAATTTCTTGGGCAGCCTTTGCAGACAACTTCCAATCTTTGGTAAAAGTTTCATGTGTCTACGATGCTCCATATCACAGGAAATAGCAAAAGCATTTCTGATGAAAAATAATAAACAAGCAAAAAAAAACAATAAGGTTTCAGCCCTTCAGGGTTTAACCCTAAAAATCCTAGTATATTCAAGGATTCCTGTGTAAAGTCTCACCTCTGAGTGACCAAATGAGCAGGCGTTGTGAAGCGGGATCAGACCCCCATCATCCCGTGCGTGCACGTTAGCGCCTGTCTGAAGCAGGTGGTCCACCACGTCTTTTCGCCCAAAACCTGAGAACAGATCAGAGAGTTGAGAGCAGAGAGGGAGACAAAGAGAAGAGAAGGAAGTAGGAACAGGAAGATCAGTGTTACAACATTTAAACTGTGATTTCTTGCACGCAACTAGTGCAGGATTAATCAAACCTGCAATTCAGAGAGTTAGAGATTTCCAGATATCCTAAAACTGAATCAGTAATTCATGTTTGTAAAAGTGGCTGAAACAACAGACCCCTTTATCTGTTTTCAATTTGATTCCCGTTCCATGTCAATAATTAATATTTAACTCTAAAGTCGTCTTTTGGGCTTTTTCCTATTTACATTTTGTTTATTTGTTTTGTAAAGCACACGTGACAGCTGTTCGTGCTGTACAAGTGGAGCCTGTTATGTCTTCACTACAAACAAATGTGCCGTGGGGCTTGAGAGAATCTGTTCATTGTTCGAGCTGCTGACGGTTTGGAAGGCCTGAGATATAAAACAGATGTGCAAGGTTTTTTTTCTTTTATCTATTCTTCTGTCTGCACTTATGAAAAAATGTAAAAAGGAGCTGAAGAGCTGGAGAAGATGAGCACTTTTCAACAGGCATGGAACATGAACAAATATAGTGAAGATTGAAATGAAAAAACAAATTTCTTGCCTGTAGCAATAATTAAGTACAGACTTGGGTTAAATCAAAGGCAACATTTGAATTTGACATTCGTCCTTATGTGCAGAGTTTGCATGTTCTCCCTGTGTCAGTGTGGGTTTTCTCCAGGTACTCCAGCTTCCTCCCACAGTCCAAAGACATGCAGGTTAACTGACTCTAAATTGACCGTAGGTGTGAATGTGAGTGTGAATGGTTGTCTGTCTCTATGTGTCAGCCCTGTGATAGTCTGGTGACCTGTCCAGGGTGTACCCCGCCTCTCACCCAATGTCAGCTGGGATAGACTCCAGCCCCCCCACAGCCCCTAACAGGATAAGTGGTTATGGAAAATTAAATTAAATTACATTAAATTCATTATATTGTACCCATAGATAAGTCCGGGTTTAAACCACCTTGGTTTTGTTGCAGGCATATTTGAAGCAATCTTGGCAAATTTCAGCGGCCGACAAAAAGGTTTAAAAATAATGTTCACCTGCTGCAGACTATGACCTGTCAATACACGCCATGAAAATGTCACTGAATATATGAGTTTCAGTTTTTTGACATATCCTGAACATTGCTTAAGCATTTTGCCTGGGGGTTGTCTGGTACTTAAATTTGAAGAGAAAATCATTTAGTTCTTTGTTAAGACAGCTTTCCTTTTACTAGTGTTGTTCTAATAAAGGGATGTGTAAGTGCTGTGTCATGTACCTGAGAAGCAACTGTCAAATCACTGTGCAGCTGCAGTGACTGACTCACAAACTGAGATGTCAATCCTCCCCTGATTTAAGGACATTTTTAGGTATGTTTCTTTCTACAAAAGATGCATCTTCTACGCTGCTAAAATCATACAACTTGAAAGACAAGCAATTACTGGACTATATCCTTGAGTTTTTTAAAACCTATCTATTTTGTTATCTTTTCATCCTGAACATCATTTCATTATTGTTTTATTCTGATGCCCACTTTTAATAAGAATTTAGACTTAGAAAGTTCAGAAAAAGAGATGCAGGGGTTTATTTTTGACAACATAAATAAAAATCAGATTTATTTATTTAGCTTGCAATAACCAAGTGGGTGCAACAAACTGTGAACCTGTTTTGTTACATTAAATGTTTTTAAAAAATTACCTCAGCAGTTTCATTTTTTTTGTTTCATATATTTTCTGTTAATATTACTTTTGTTTTTTATCCTAAAATCTGTTATTGTGGTTATACATATAGCTAATGGCTAATGTCAGCTGATGTTTATATGCTACTTTGGGGTCCCTCCCACACCTTAAATGCACCTCTGCAGCTGCACAAACAGCCTGAAATGACTTTTAACGGTTATTGTTGTTTATTATTGTTGTTTACTGTTCAAACAAAGGTCTCAGTTACCTGCAGCGAAATGCAAGGGTGTCGATTTGCGTCCTGCCATGTCTTTGGCGTTCACATTCACCGCATCCACTAGCTTCTTCACCCTGGAAACATCCCCGTTTCGACAGGCTTCAAACAGCTCCCTGAACGCCCCGTTTGAACCACCACCACCCCCACTGCTGCCGCTGCTGCTGCCCGCGTCACCGCTGCCTGAGTCGGGCGTAGAGCCGGGGCTGGTCCCGCTGCCCTCGGTGGTGGTCGGGGAGCTAGCGCTGCTGCTAGTGCTGCTGCTGCTGCTGCTGCTGGCGGTGAGGGCCAGAGCTGGGGAGGTGCTGCTGGGGGAGGCAGGGGTTGCCTCACCGTCAGCCGCGCTGTCCATCCCGGCTCCGCGGGAAAGCGGGGCGGCATCGTCGTTGGGTGCCGGCGGAGAGCCGGGCGGGGTGACGGGCAGAGAGGAGCCGCGGGGCGGGGAGGACAGCAGGGAGTTTGGCTGCTGCTGCTGAGAGGAGCGACGAGGCGTCGCCATTTTCACAACACAACAGTCCCCACTAGCAACAATAACACTGCTGACAATTTCCTGCCCAGGAAAGACAAACTTCCGCCTGGGTTTACTGGGATTACTGGACTGAATTTCCACAAAATGATTTACTGGGATTATATTACAGCATTATAACAGCATTTTTACTCAGGATTACAGACTAAATACCCTGTAAAAATATTATTTTATTTGTCTTTGTGAAACGTTTGTATTAAAAATGTGTTTTTTTAATCATTATTTGGGGTATTAGTTTTTGGAAGAAATTTATTTGGGAGGTAGGTAAACGTTAGATTTTGAAAGTTTATTTTAATTTTGATTTGATAAATGATAGTGTATTTTTTTCTTTATTTATTTTATCTTCTTTTATTTGTTTTTTATTTTATCTTATTTTAGTTATTGATTTTTATTTTATTTTATTCTATTTCATTTTATTTTATCTTATTATATTTGTTTTTATTTTGTCTCATTTAATTTAATTGTATCTATTTATTAATTATTGTTATTATCATTATTATTATTATTATTTTAAAATTGTCTAATGTGGATGGGGAACTGAGACAGAGGATCAATCATTTAATATGTGAAGTGTTATTTCAGCCCAGTGTGATATAGTGATGGAGTTGAGTGATGTCAGCTGGCCTGGCTGATCACAACATTGTCATCTAGTGGAGACTTTCAGTAATACAGGAGCTGCACCAGTCGCTCTACTAATACAACCAACACTCATCTTTACAGAATATAAGAATATACTATCATAAATACTTAATTACAGTATGTATGTATATATGTATTTTTTTTTTAAAAAGTACAGAAATTGCACAATATATTACAAAACAATAGTGTGCAGACAATATATGGCACTAAACTTGTTCACAGTGTAATCCTATTTGCAAAAACCTGAGACCCACACTTTTGTTAGGTATGCATTTTTTTTTATTTCTCCTAGCTATTTGGGATCAGTAGGACCTGATAAGTATAAAAATGTCCTCAGACCAGTACTTCGTAATTAACAGCATCTTATCTTGTTACTATTGTTGGTCAAATTTGTTGCCATATTAAACTACAAACATTATTAATCATAAATAAACAAATTTCAACCATAAAATGTGATCAGGTTTTGGACCTTGTCCACTTTTGTGTCAGGATCAGTTACAAACTGACTTGGCAGAGTTGGCTGCCATCTTGTTTTTACATGGATTAGTGTGTTGTGCAAATTTTCCATCCACAGGACAACAGGCCTAAGTTAAAGAGAATGAGGTATAAGGTCAAGTAAACCCAAAATGTGATGTCCTTATATGAGGACACAGGGTCATAGGAGGTTAAGCAAGTCGACCTTTGTTATTGTATTTGTGCAGTTACAGAACCAACATTTAACAGTTATCCACAGCTAATTTTGCTTTTTGCTGTCTAAAGTTATCTTTGTATCCAAAAAAAAAAATGTATTTCAATTACTTAAAGGAATGTGTGTTTGATTGACTGACATGTGACTCAGCCTACCACTCTGCTATGTTAGTTGCCACACTGGTTTTGTCTTTACTGTTTCACCTCAGCTCCACTCAACAGCTCCATGTCAACAAACAGTCAGTCGTGGCATATTATTCAGTGTGTAGTTCTCCTGAGCTGAGCTGCATCGTCTGTACTGCAGACAGAAAATGATGAAAACCGACCCAGACATGAGCCAAGGACATTTTCACTATAAAGCCCCAGTGACTAATGACTGCGACCGAGCCACACATCAAAAATATACACTTTAGACAGAATTCTGTATAATTTTTCTTTCATGAAAGACAGCTCACCAACAGAATATTCTAGTAGTTACATTAATTGGCCACCAGATAGCAGCAGACATGCTGCAAGAAAGTGGTACAGCCTTGTACGGTTTAGGGCTACAGCACAGACTGTGGCCTTTCTCTAATCTCTGGAGTTGAACACCAGCTATGGATCCTGTGTATAATCAAGATCTTGTTTCACTCAAAGGCAAGTTAAGCATCCATCAAATGTGTGATTCAGTGCTAAAACTTTAGGAAAAATTGATACAATATAAAAGGACATGCATTTTTAAAAGCACTAGAGGCAGGTAAATTCCATACTTTGCTTCATACTGATCACATGCACGGTTTGCACAATGTTCTGCTCATACACTTTGTTCATGATGAGGATCCAGGAAGGAAAGAATGAGAACTATGAGGAATCTGTAACACTGCAGCAGTGCTATTTACGTGACAGCCTGCATGTTGGTATCCAAGAATCATGTCAAAGAAATAATAGCACCTTGTGAATGCATTAAAAAAAACATGCTCTGTCATTGTGACACTCAAAAATAAAATCTGGATCGATGACAGCTGTGACTTAGCCATGATGTGTAATTAATTAAAAGATCAGTTCTAACTTTTATAGATTAAACATAACACCAAAGATTATACCTGAAAGATGCAACAAAGACAGGCAATATCTAGTTTTCCAAAACTGTCTATAGTAAAATAAAAACAAACTCACTGACCAAGAGAACTGTTTTCCAGATACTCGATAAAAAAAAGGTAGAAGATAAAGAGAAAGTTAAGCTTCTTTCCACCTGGCGATGACAGACATAAATATTTCTTTAACTTTAGGTTGTGGCATCAGGTGACCAAAATTCAATGTTAGGACAGTGTCTAATGGCAACGTCAACGTCATGCTGAACGCTGAGGACAGATGACGTTGATCTTTTGTTGGTTTTAAGTTGTGTTGTTAAGTAAGTCTTCCGAACGTCTCATGCCAACATCATCTAGACATAGAAAAACAACATTTAGTTGTGAGGTATGAAGACGAAAAATCAACATCAGCAAAACATCATCATGTGAACGTCTACACAACATGGAATTATAACGTCATTGGACATTTAAAATGTTGCCAACACGATTTTCATTCCAACCAGTCTGTCCAATGTAAGAGTCTGTCTGACTTCATATTGACATCTGGTACAGGCTGGGCCAGAAGAACCTGGAAAACTATTTATGAGAGAGCTTTAAGAGCTTTTTGGTTTGGTTTCATCTGCAGGATGAAGGTGTGTTTAAAAAGCCAACATCTCTGCTTGAAGCCACAAAGGTCTAACTCATTCGACATGTTTGTACAGTTGAATCAGTCCACAACCAGCAACCATATATCACCAGACCCATCTGGAAACATAGACAGTTATACAGCTGATGGTATCACATGTCACTGGAGTTATACCTTGTACAATTCTATGAGACAAATAAATAAATGATTGATCAGTCACTGGAAGTCATCTTTGTGTCCATAAGTCACCACAGACACATTATATCAACTTGAGGCTTTGGCACACAGATCATGTCATTTTAAACTACATGTAAGCCATAATGGTGTCACTGTTACTACTACTCGTGGCCAATTATGCAAATATATTATGTTTCACAACAGATCCTCTGTGGCTTTTATGCTCAGGTCTCCTACAAGTAAAACAACATGACAGCTGATCACATGTGACAACTGCCACGACAGTGATTCAGCTCGTTAAAGTGATAAGACAGGACCGTGGTGTCAGAGGATAAGTATGCACAGTTCTGTCTGGCCAGTTGGTTGACATACCTCTCATGCTGCTTTCAACGGCTCTTTGTGTGTCAAAGATCAAATCTGGCACGAGAGAGCAGAAACAAAACATCCCCAATGCCCTCAAGAACATGTGACTTGCAGCGACAACGAGGATATGCTTGTGTACATTTCATGCATGGACAGGAAAATCATACAAAGACGCTGGTGCTGAGGGCATTGGTAACTGCAGCTTCCGGTGAACTCAAATTGCATCGAATCAAAAATAAAAGTTATTAGAGTGCCTGTTTTGGTGACTCCAGGCATGGATGGGACACAGAATGGGCCCAACAGGCACAGGCCCAGGATGTTCCCAACAACAAATTTCTCTGACGTCTAAATGGAAGTTCAAAATTCAACTAGTTGCCTACTCTAAAAGTAAGAGAACACTCAGGAGACAGTGCATTATGAAAGCCATTTAAAATGTAAATCATACAATCATGACCATATCTGCCTTGTTTTGGCCTCTCCTCACTGGCTACCAGTCAGTTTTAGAATTGATTCTAAGATTTAACCAGATTTGACCACTATCTACTCCTTGATAAATTATATGCCATTGGTCTCTGTAAAGACTCTTTACTCTGGTTTAACTCATATCTCCATTACAGACAACAGTGTGTTTCATATCATGGCAGTCAGTCTGATTTTATGACAATGGAGAGGGGCGTACCCCAAGGTTCTTCCTTGGGTTCTTTACTCTTCCCCATTTTCATTAACGACCTTCCCACAATATGCTCCCACTGTCAGATCCAGTTATATGCTGATGACACTGTTATTTACTCATCCAAGCACGACCTTTCACATATTCAGAGCACACTACAGATGGACTTCGATTTCATCCAAAAATGGTTCATATGCAACGAACTTGTTCTGAATAAGTACTCTGTACTAGTCAATCAATTGTTTCACCCTTCCAGTCAGAAAAAGAATTATTACACAGCTAGTATTACCGATACTTGATTATGCAGACATTATTTATCAGAACACCTCAGATACAAATCTTCATCCTCTCAATGTAGCTTACAATAATCGCTGTAGATTTATCCCAAAGTGTCCTTATAGAACCCACCACTGCACCATGTATGAATCACTAGATTGGTTAACACTCAAATCCAAACGACAGTGTCACTGGCTGCAATTTATTTACAAACGTATTTTCTTCAACTACCCAACTAAACAATTTTTAATCCCATATGAGCCCACACCCAACCTTAGGCATACTATACATCCTTGCTTCAGTGTCCCTCGAATTTACAAAGAGATCGGTCGATGTGCTTTTCAGTACAAAGCCCCAAATAACTGGAACAATCTGCCTGGATGTTTAAGATCTGCTAATTCACTCAATATTTTCAAAAGAACACTTTTTAATTCTCTGAAGACATACTGCTGCTGTTTTTAACTGTGTATATGTTGGGTATGCGTTCATAAGCCTTTGTATGTGCTAGCTTGCACTATTTGCTTAAATAATTTCAGATTTGATTTATAGCATCCTGCCTGTTGCTGAAGGAGAGGTGCTCAACATTGATTAACCCTGTGAGAGCCATTGTTAGTGTTGTATTTGCTTGTCTGTTTTGTTTTCTGTTTGCTGTCCTGTTTTGTGCTTTGTTTCTGTAATGTCGCATATTGCCTGTAAGTTTAGGACCCCCTTGTAAACGAGATGGTTCATCTCAAGGGGCTTATCCTGCTTAATAAAGGTACATAATAATAACTGATACCTGTTAAGCACTTCATGGCTCAGCCCCCAGCAGCTGGGGAGATGCTGCTCCCCTATGAGCCAGATCGCAGCCTCAGATCCTCAGGCAGGGCTCTGCTGGCTGTTCCACAGTCGGGACTCAGAACTAAAGATGACCGGGCTTTTTCAGTCACAGCCCCTCAGCTCTGGACTCCCTGCCTGAGGATATCTGAGGCTCGCTGAATCAGTGACATCTTTTAAATCACTTCTTGAAAGTGACCTGTTCAAAAAAAGCCTTTTATTCATTTCAGTACACTGTTCATTTAACACTTTTATTTCTTGTTTGATTATTTATCTTGTGTTGTCATTAGTTATTTTATTCTTTTATTTTGTATTTTTTCTTAATATTTTCTTAAAATTGCCTCATTCTATTTGCTTGAATTCTGCATTGTTCTAAACCCAGGATCAACCATGTAGAGCACTTTGTAACTTTAGTGCTTTATAAATAAAGTTTCTTTTTATTAACTAAATTATTGTTTATATTATTTCTATAATTATATATATATATATATTATATTTAAATAATCAAATTCTATTCTAAATGCTACTGAAATGTGTGACACTTTACATCATGCATTATTATTATTACCAGCTCAGTGGCCTTGTGGTAGAGTGTCCGCCCTGAGACTGGGAGGTCGTGGGTTCGATCCCCGGCCTGGTCATACCAAAGACTATAAAAATGGGACCCATTGCCTCCCTGCTTGGCACTCAGCATCAGGGGTTGGAATTGGGGGGTTAGATCACCACATGATTCCCGAGCGCGGCACCGCTGCTGCTCACCGCTCCCTCAGGGGATGGGTCAAATGCGGAAAACAAATTTCACACATTCAGGTGTGTGACAGTCAGTGGAACTTTACCTTTATGAACATTGCATATTATCCTAAAAAATGACAACAACTCACCAAATAGTTATTGAAAAGAATATTCTTTAAAATGCCAGATTATAACAACATTTAAATTTGGGTGAACACAATTGCATGAAATGATAAAAATTTTAATAATAAATTAAATAGATTACTATTTTTTAGGCTGACTAGGGTGAATAGCAACATTGAATTGACTAGTTGATGAGTCAACTATTCACGCACATCCCAAGCACAGAAAAGTGTGAAAGTGTCAGGCCCCTGGCACTCACCTGCAAAATACCACTCAAATTAACATGTACTGACCAGGATGAGGCTAAAAAAATATTTATTTAACCTTTATTTAATCAGGAAGTCCCATTGAGATTAAAACCGACCTGGCCGACATAGCAGCCAATCAAAACACATTTAAAATGCAACAAATGCAACATATAACACAAAAATCCACAATAAAACAACAACTATTCAAACATAGCGCCCTCTCAAGAGAAACAAGCACATGTCTCTATGCCCTTAAATTCACTGATGGATATAAGTGCTTCTAATTTGTCCTCAAAGAGACACTAAAAGACCACAAGGAGATGCAAAGCAACTGCAAAGAGACACAATCAACAGAAATAGACAAAACTACCCTAAAATCTGTGCAGGAGAGGTGGTGGGACCTTTTGCATGTCTGTGCCCGGGGGCCCATTTTCTCATAATACACCCATGACTCCAGGCACTGCAGCTAATCACAGAACTCGTGGTCAGCTTTAACAGTGTAGTCTCTGGGCGTATGTTCTCAGGTTGTTCAGTTTCTTAAAAACTTGATTACTTTCATGAGGTGCTGATAAAACTGATGGCTTTGTGGGAGTCACACTCTCACCCTGCTCTCACCCTGCTTTCAGCGCCTGTGCACAGTGTTGTCGCTCATGTTTTGGGTTTTGAGCATCATTAAAATGTACCAATGAACTTTAACCCCTTGAAAAGACTTCATTAGCATTTGTGACTGATTCCACATTCATGGTTTGAGACGGAACCTCAACCTCAGAGAAACAAGATCAGTAAAGAGATAAACAGAGACAGACATGCAGATAGAAATACGTAGGAGGAGGAGAGGAGAGGAGAGAAAAACACAAAGAGGAAGGAACGTATTTGAGCAGTTGTCAGACGATTCCTGCAGAACTACATTCTTACCAAAAGCGGTTCCCACACTGCCACGGTGGCATTTTCAAACCAAAGCAATCCCTATCTCTCAGTCTAACATGTTCTATTAAAACTAATAACCTGCTGATAAACTTAATGAAGACCTCCAAATCATAAAATTGGTCCAATTAGCAAAAACAGTGGCCTGTTGTATGTTTTCCTGAGCTGAGGCCCCAGTAAGAGATTATCGAATGAAGTCATAGTTTAGATTAAAAAAGGTTTAATAAAAAGTTTTTGTGCTTAAATTTGTGCAATGTCTCATCTTTGTTTTATTTTATTAATTGCATCCAACCATTCATCTTTGCTAAACAGGCCTGTATGCTGTGATTTCTCACTCCTGGTGCTGGTGAACAAAACTGAAAAATCCAAATATGTTGTGATTTATTGATAAAAATATGTTGGAAAGCTGATATTAATAATGCATTTGGGACATTAGATGACTATCCTCCTTGAAAAATGTGAGGACTACCATTTTTTATTGCAGAAATCAGAAGTTTATGGAGCATGCAAACCATTTTGGTGAGTTAAAAAGGAGGCATGAAACTACAATTTTTATTATTTTGTAACTTCAGCGTTGAGCTCCAGGCGCGACAAAAATCTAGATCTTGCTCTCTATCACTTATCACACATTTGCATGATAAAAGCGTCGTCGAAACTCCCCTCTGCCTGTCTTTGCTGCTGCAGGTGGAGATGAAAAAGCTCTCTGCCCTGCTGCGCGCGGCGCGCCACACCTGTCCCACTTGGGAACTGAGGCAGACAGGTAAAGCTAAGCCCCGCCCACTGCCAGGTTTCAGTCGGACTTGTTTTTAAGAGCAGCTGTTTGGGGTTGTCAAAACTCACTTGCTCCTGTCTAAATTGCTACACTGAGTTTTGGAAACACAAATCATCAGCAGCAGCAGCAATCATGCCGAGGCGATCAGCGCAGGAGTGGATCCGGTTGTCTTTACGCACACCGGGCATCCTGATCTTCGGGATGGTTTTGTCTCCCTGCGGATGGATCCTGGATCTGACCGCCACCGTGGCCCCAAACTGGAGGACCCTCCACGACATCCCGAACACCCCGGAGAATGAATTCATCCAGCAAGGAATCTGGGACATCTGCAGGGCCACCTCAACCAACACGAGAGCGGAGTGCAACCTGCAGGACACCACATATTTCGGCAACCAGATCATCGAGGTCGCGCAGGGTCTGATGGTGGCCTCCCTCATTGTGACTCTAATCGGGCTCGCCGTGGCCATCCCGGGGGTCCGCTGCTGGAAAGACAGGCCCAACTGGACAGTGGCCGGCCTGGGCGGACTGCTCATCTTCCTCTCGGGCGTCATGACCATCATCCCCATCGCTTGGTACACGCACATCCTCGACGAGGTCTCAACGGTGTCACCTCTCATCAGCGTGCGCGTCGGCTACTGCATCATCCTGGGCTACATCGGGGGGATAATGGAAATCCTGGCAGGCTTCGTCATGTTCATCGGGATCTGCCGTTGCTGCGGCGGGAAGAACAGAGGTGAGGTGCGGGTGGAGGAGGTCAACCGCGCCCGGTTCAGCCACCAGAAGCAGCCTCCGAGACGCGTGGATGTACCCAGCCTGAACCGGGCCAGGAGCAGCGCCAGCAGCGTCCCGTACTCAAAGGACTCCATGGATGATGATGTGTCCTTCCCACGGGCCAAGACCCCCGCAGCCCGGTCAGTCAACACCTCCTACAGCGGCAGACCCTATGATGCTGACCTATGAGGGGCGCATGGCTCACATCTGTCTCCATGGAGACGCACAGAAAATCACAAGGGTGAAGAACTTTAAGATGGACATCATGTAGGAGGAAGCAATGGTGATTACTTAATGACTTTATAGTAAAACTGTGCCATAATATTCTGGAGTGTTGCAGTAATAACATCAAACACACTAATACCATAATTATTTAGAGACCATTAAGGAATATTGTAGGAATATTTCAGTGGCACCAAAAGATCAAACACCTTAACTATTATGAAATCACTGTGATCTCACTATTAAGTGAAGCAGTTCCTCTTTGAGTAGGCTACTACAGTGTTTCATCATCAGGACAGTAACACTTACAGGCATGCATCTTTAATAGTGTTTAATGATGTGTGAGTGACAGAGCCAGGGCTGCAGTTTAATGTGGCCGCAGATGAGGCTCATTATGGCCTCAGCTGGGTTATGATTAATTCTAGCATCATTATGATACATGAGAGGTGCTGCGAGCAGTGAAGACGGGATGAATATTATAGTGTGAGGAATGTGGAGAATACTGTGTTATTGTAACCGAGACATAGTTGAAGCGATGAAGAAAAAGTGGTGTTGAGTTAAAGTTAACTTTTCCATCCTGCATTTGATGCTGAACTCCATCTGTAAACAACTTTTGCATTTTGTTCTGTGTACATTGGCTTTTCTTTTTCTTTTTTTTAATGTAAATACTGTGTTCTCATGCACTTTTCAAGTATGACCAACCTTGTAAGACAACAGGGCATCTGTTGGGAAAGAAAGCATCCTTAAGAGATCGATATTGTTCAAACTGCTCTGTGATACAAGTGCTGTTTAATAAATGTGCACTGTTTCCTAATAACAGATGACTGAGACCCTTTCCTCGACTTATATGATCAGATTTTACTGCAGAAGTTGCTGTTTCTACATTACTTGATAAGTAAATGTGGTTATGATGCAGTGAGGTTAAAAGTTTTGTCTATCATCTGCGACCAGAAGTCATTACAGACACTGTGCAAACATACGTACAGACAGGTTGCATTTTACAGTGATACTTTTCTATCCTTGCCACCCTGTCTGCTCAGTCTTTGCCTCGTATGTACACAGAAAATGTTGCCGGACCGGTCTGGGAGGCTGGTTCCTTTCAGCATCTTGTCGAGCAACATTACCTCTTCTGTTTAAACTGGCTTAACATCTCAAACAAGGCGCCACTGTAGTGAACAGTTTGTGCCTCTGTGGCTCTGGTGAGTCTTTTGTTGTGAAATTGGCCCCAAACAAATCATGATGCAGGAGGTGTAGTCAGGTGAACGTCCCACGGATTGGGCCAGAATATGAGAAATGTGGGCTTCTGAGTAATAATGTGCCCCCACAGTTTTTATTCATATTTACCATAAATGCAGGAGGGAATTATATCAACAATCCAGGTACTGTTGATATGAACCTTAAAGGGGCAGTTCACCTTTAAATCAAAATACTTATTTTTTCCTCTTACCTGTAGTGCTAGTTATCAGTCTACATTGTTTTGGTGTGAGTTGCAGAGTGTTGGAAATATCGGCTGTAGAGATGTCTGGCTTCGCTCCAATATAATGCAACTAGATGGCACTCGGCTTGTGGTGCTCAAAGCAGCAAAAAATACATTTGAAAAACTCAACAGTGATACATCTTTCTAGAAGTTTTGACCCAGATACTCAAGTCGATCCTCATACCTTGTTGTAAGCAGGTAAATGTAGGAAATATTTTATTTCAACCGAACTACAGCCACCAACCCTATCACTGTGCAGGAGGAAGAGTGCATCTACTCATGGACGAGAGGCTCGTGCTCCTGACAGCATGAGTTGTAAACATTAATGGTGTCCTCCTTGACTGAGCTATAATGTTAGCTAGCTCGGTGCTAAGAAAGCTAGTGGTAGATACTATTTTCTTGCTGGTGAACTACACCTGCCAACTGCATCAGCACGCAGAGGGAAGTGTGCATCTACAGCTAGCTTTCTTAGCACCGAGCTAGCTAACATTATAGCTCAGTCGAGGAGGACACCATTACTGTTTATATCTTTTTTTAATTTTTTTTTATTTAGAGGACAGTGCACATTAATGAACATTGCTGTAAATGTGCTGGTGTTAGCCAAAGGCTAATTTTCAACTGCAGTCCTCCGGCATGGTGTTAAAAAGACCTCAGACCATTAAAAAACACAAAAACAGGGACACAAAAGTCATAATATATAAAACAACAAATAGCAAACAAAAACAGGAACACATAAGTCATAATATATAAAACAACAAATAGCAAACAAAAACAGGAACACATAAGTCATAATATGTAAAACAAATAACAGACAATAATTCACAACGAAAAACCAATACGTACAGTGCAATGTGATACAGTGCAAAATAGTTGATTGAGAGGCTATGGGTAGTGAATAGATGAAACAATGCAAGTCCATGAGTCACTGGCATAATGTATATGATATATACACGCTGTCAGGAGCACGAGCCTTTCGTCCATGAGTAGATGCACACTTCCTTCTGCTCAATGATAGGGTTGGTGGCTGTAAGTTCGGTTGAAGTGAAATATTTCCAACATTTAACTGCTCACAGCAGGGTCTGTGGATTATCTTGAGTAACAGGTTCATGATTTCTGAAAAGAGACATTGATGTTGAGTTTTTCAAAAGTAATTTTATGGCACTTTGAGCACTACAAGCTGAGTGCCATCTAGTTCCATTAATCCAAGAGAAGGCAGACACCTCTAATTATTCAGTCATTATTAGCCTGTTGAGGGTTGCACGGGGACTTGAGCCTATCCCAGCTGACATAGGGCTCGAGGCGGGATGGACCCTGGACGGGTCACCAGACTATCGCAGGGCTGACACATAGAGACAGACAACCATTCACACTCACATTCACACCTACGGGTAATTTATGGTCTAATTTTGTGTGTGCAATTTTGAGTCCCCAATCAACCTAACTTGCATGTCTTTGGACTGTGGGAGGAAGCCGGAGTACCTGGAGAAACTCCACATAAACAATGGGAGAACATGCAAACTCCGGCCGGTGGGTTCAAACCCAGAATACTCTTGCTGTGAGGCAGAAACACCAAAATAATTTGGATTAATAAATAGCACAACAAGAGGACAACATGTGACCTGTCCCTTTAAATAACTCTTCACTCTAACAATGACACACCCAAAAAGATGTATCCTGCATTCAGGATGGCTTCTAAAAAAAGATCTCAAGATGTATTGTGGCTCACACTACCATTCATTGAACTGTCACACATAATGCAGTGACTCATAAAATGACCGTCTAAGATGGGTGGAGTGAGGATAGATGGTGCGTTTAAGGTGTGTCAAGAGACATTCATCAGTTTTTATTTATAGTCTCCTTTTCCTCTGTCCGTCCACTCATAAAAAACTTAAATTAAAAAGTTTTTTGCACTCCCATTAAGTTGGGAAACACACAAGAGACGGATTAAAGAATTGCTCCAAAAATTCGGGATCCTTCTTTACACACTCCCTGCTTTTTAAGTGCATGCATGCTCCACTTTTTTTGCTAAAACGTTACAGTCTCTAAGCCCAAACCAAAATACCCCTAGGGTTATTATATTAGACTTATCAGAATGCATCTCCACAGCCACAGAAAACAGGATACAACCCTTTTAACAGGCAGGTACCCCTCCCCATGGCTATTAAACCTGCCACTATACATGTACTCTGTGAAGTTTCCCTTAATAATCCTTAAAAATTAAGTAAAACACCACCAACTTTTAAAGTACTTGAGTTTATTTAGCTCTTGTGTCTGTAAAACAAACATCCAAAGTCTTCTCATTAATATGAAAGCAGGTGTTGACACAGTTTCGCCCTCATGGCAGATCCGTCCTGCTGCTTGATGTAACAGATACATATTTTCTCTGATAACAGAAACCTTCAGCAGGTCAATCTGCAAGATTACACATCAGTTAATCCCAGTGTAGCTTCCTGCTGCATTTAGTAAACACTGAAGCTGATACTATTGTGTCACTGGATCCCAGAAAGAGGCGACACAGGCAGCGGTGCATGTGTTGGTATGTACACAACACACACACTGACAACTGTCTGTTGTCAGTGTGTGTACACATTGGCACCTTCTGGCAGCAAAGCACGTGAACAACTTAGTAATGATTACTTTGTATTGTTCCTTTTAATTGGATGACATGCAAGATACTTATTATCAACGTGTCAGACGTTAATGTAACTTTATATTATGAGACTATTGAATAGCTTTGACTTGCAGGACAGTGTTGGTGACAGGCTAACTGATGGCAAAGCTGCAAACTGTAGCTAATAATATATGGAATATTATTTAACTAGGTAAAAGTCTCATTGAAATTAGAAATCATTTCCGGGAGTGACCTGAAGAGGGCAGCATAAACACCATTAAATCAATACAGAGGCAAATACAACTGTCACACACCACCTATGAGCAAGCACATCATTCAGTTAAATGCCATGTTAAAACAAATAAACAAACAAATTAAAACATTTATAATACATACAATAAACAGGTACAATTTTCTAAAATGATTTTTTAAAGGTGACTTAAATTTCCCCATAGTGGTAATCAGTCAATTTCAGGTCCTTCTGCACATTGTCCAGGAAGATGAGGGAGCGTTTTTGATTTTTTTTTTTGCCTAGTTCTGTTACAAACTTTGGGACCAAACCTCTGCAGAATATTGTGAGAGTGCAGACCATATTGGTTTTGGTTTTTACACATGCACTGTATGCACACAGATAAGAAGGACCAACCTTAGGAGAGATTTATATATAACCAAGTAAGTAATTAAAAAGGATTTATATGGCTCTTTCCGCAGTCACAGGTCACAAAGTGCTTCACAAGGGCATTATACAGCAAAAAAGCAATCATAGAGACAAAGTGAATATGTGAGCCATGTAGTGAAAAGTGCACATCTAGCAAAACTATTTGTGCACACACACACAACAAAAAAGAAGAATTCACACAGGAGTGTCTTTAGCTCGCTTTTAAAAGAAACCACAGTCAGCAGATCGTAAAGGAGCAGGCAGAGCATTCCAAAATGTAGGTGCTACAGCCACAAATTGACCATATATGATTGAAGAGAGCAAGCTGAAGAATACAGGTAAAGTAGTTCAGCAACATATGAGGGAGCCTGACCGTTTAATGCTCTGTTTGTAAGAATGAGAGTTTTGAACTGGATCCTGAACTCAACAGGGAGCCAATGGTGGGATTTTGGTAAAGGGGTGATATGAGAGCATCTATTTGATCTAGTTAGTAGTCTGGCAGTAGCATTCTGCTTGCAGTAGAGGAAGAGCAGACATTTTCAGTGAGGAGAAAAGTGCATTAATGTGTGTTAATGTGAGATGAGATAATGTATGATCATTTCCAGTTCAGCAGTTGAAAAAAACAACTGGGAAAAACAAGATTTGGTCAGGTGCTTCACGGGGGTGTCAAATATTACCCCTAGATTATGCAGGTTTGAGTGAGCAGCAGAGGAAAGAGGGCCAATACTTTGCAAATTGAGGGGGACAACCTTTTACAGGAGCAACAGCCAGTGCAAAAGTCTACGAACAAAAGCCATTTCACAGCAGCAGTGGTGTACGAGATTCCACAGCCAGTAATGAAACGTAAAGCATAATGGTACACACAGTAGCATCAATAAAGAGTAGCATACATACATACAGACTAGAATTGTTTAGTTTCTTTTTTGTTGTTGTTGTTCATCTCTTTGTAGCTGTTTGTGTCTATCTGTGGTGATTTCGTGCCTCTTTGTAGTAATTTTGAGTCTCCCCAGTTAGCCAAAATGACCTGGCCCAGAATCAGCCCAAACTCAGCATGCCGGATGAAATTAGACGGGCTGCATCCCATTGCTTGACTCTGCTGACACTCAGTATGAATGACGCCCTAGAATCGGGCTGAGTCAGCTGGCCCAATTCCAGTTGCTGACACCGCCATCACTGGGTCTTTTTGGTTGCTTCGCCCATTTTCATGGTGTTTGTGAGTCTCTTTGTGTCTCTTTGAGGTCATTTTGATACTCTTCCAGGTCTGTAGTTGTCAATTTGAGTGACATTTTACAGGTGAAGGTCTAAGGGGGACCCCTGACACTCTGGGCCCCTTGGCCTGCTCCCAGTAGGCCCGTTCAGTTATCCATCCATGGTCACTGTAATCCTATAAAGGTAAAAAAGTTGCTAAAATCAAGCAGTTGAGTGGCTGACATCTTCGGATGGTCAGATGTTAACTTTATGTCATTTGAACTTAGCATTAGTTTAAATGCATCTGCTTTTATAAACAGCATAAACTGAGTTAAATGGGACTAAACAACACTGAAGGCAGACTGCAGTAATTCAAGGGCTTGTACTACTTGTGAAAGTCTGATGAGGATTAACATGAGACAAGTTAACTGATGAGGCTGTGAAACAACTAATAGTAAACTTATACCTGCACATCCTGCAAATAATTAATGATTAGAAAAGTTGCAATAACCTGTATCGACCACCAGGATACAATCTTTATTTATATGAATCTGTGGTATTTATACAATGGTTATATTACAAAAAATGATTTGTTGAGGGTTGTGTACTATTTATTTGAAAGTTGGTGAACATACAACACAATATATCCAAGTGTGTACAGCAAAAGGTATTGTGGTCATAGTTATTAACTACAGTTGCTCATGTTAAATAGTTTGCACTAACTAAAAAATATACCGTACATGCCATTAAAACAGTCCATAAGATTAGACATGCTTGATGATTGAAGAGGCATGGATGCACAAATCAGTTTATCCCCAAAAAGTCTGTAAGCTATGTCTGTATAGAGCTAACGTGACAACATTTAAACATAAAACATTAAAGTAAAAAGCAGTAGCTGCTCAGAAATATTCAGCACCAAGCAGCAATACGATCAAAACTGACTAAAAATAAACACTCTAAAAACAAAACTGAAGCCAAAAGACATCAGTTAAACCCGTGCTGTACTGTGCCAAACATTTATGACAGGAAAGGAATTTTAAAATGAAGTAGAACAGGATCTGTGATGACATGCGCACGCACTTTGGTTTCGGGTTACTGACATAATTCCTTGTCCTTGGGGAAAATGGCACTTTGTTTTGTCTGGGTCAGTACATTTAAAGGGCACATTTTTCTCTCAGGACCAGGTATGGCCACCTGTAACTTTTAGGTGAAAGGTTGGACTTAAGCTGGAATGTTGTGTCATTGAGTTGTAAATCAACAGTTAAGTGATAGTTTTGGGTGTTTACTGAAGGCTTAGTTAGTTAGTTTTGTCATTCTCTCAAATTAAATGAGGTGTAGATTTCCAAAAACTTGTCAAAGGTGAATTTTTCAACCCATTTGCAAGAATAAATGTTGGCATTTCTGCAAACCATAGATGTGTTATCTTTGGAATGTTGAAACTTTACGTTTCTTCATTTAGCCCCAAAAACCACTTGGTTACAGTTAGTAATAGATCATGTTTTGGCTTCAAATCCCCACTTCTGGTGGCACAATCCCCGCTTGAAACCCAGCAACCTGTTTCCTGAACACCCACTGTTGTTTTGGATTTTGAATTGCAGCTTGGCAGTCATTACGCCTTGGTGTTACACCATCCTCCAGTCCCTCCACCTCCCGATGACAAAGTCAACTCAAATATGTAATCAGACAGGCTATTCTCATGCACTGTTCCTACGTATTCTTATATAAAGTAATGCACCGGAATTCGTGTATAATCCACATTATCGGGAAAGGCTGCATCATGTGAACGATGCGCTGACAGGTAAGGAAGTTGTATAGAGACCAAAAGGCCATGTCAATCGGGTGGTAGATGGGTCAAACAACACAGGACTTTCGCCCAGGAGACAGGTGTTAGTAAACTATGAGGCTTTTTAAGGTTCACCATGTTACTTTTCCAAAACCTAACCTACATAACTTGTCTAAATCTAAAGATGACCAACCATGTTTCTTTTCCTAATCCTAATCTACGTAATTTTACTTGCCTAAACCTACCCTACATAACTTTACATTAACTACACAAGTTTATGTTAAGTAGGCGTACAGTACAGGCCAAAAGTTTGGACACACCTTCTCATTCAATGCGTTTTCTTTATTTTCATGACTATTTACATTGTAGATTCTCACTGAAGGCATCAAAACTATGAATGAACACGTGGAGTTATGTACTTAACAAAAAAGGTGAAATAACTGAAAACATGTTTTATATTCTAGTTTCTTCAAAATAGCCACCCTTTGCTCTGATTACTGCTTTGCACACTCTTGGCATTCTCTCCATGAGCTTCAAGAGGTAGTCACCTGAAATGGTTTCCACTTCACAGGTGTGCCTTATCAGGGTTAATTAGTGGAATTTCTTGCTTTATCAATGGGGTTGGGACCATCAGTTGTGTTGTGCAGAAGTCAGGTTAATACACAGCCGACAGCCCTATTGGACAACTGTTAAAATTCATATTATGGCAAGAACCAATCAGCTAACTAAAGAAAAACGAGTGGCCATCATTACTTTAAGAAATGAAGGTCAGTCAGTCCGGAAAATTGCAAAAACTTTAAATGTGTCCCCAAGTGGAGTCGCAAAAACCATCAAGCGCTACAACGAAACTGGCACACATGAGGACCGACCCAGGAAAGGAAGACCAAGAGTCACCTCTGCTTCTGAGGATAAGTTCATCCGAGTCACCAGCCTCAGAAATCGCAAGTTAACAGCAGCTCAGATCAGAGACCAGATGAATGCCACACAGAGTTCTAGCAGCAGACCCATCTCTAGAACAACTGTTAAGAGGAGACTGCGCCAATCAGGCCTTCATGGTCAAATAGCTGCTAGGAAACCACTGCTAAGGAGAGGCAACAAGCAGAAGAGATTTGTTTGGGCCAAGAAACACAAGGAATGGACATTAGACCAGTGGAAATCTGTGCTTTGGTCTGATGAGTCCAAATTTGAGATCTTTGGTTCCAACCGCCGTGTCTTTGTGAGACGCAGAAAAGGTGAACGGATGGATTCCACATGCCTGGTTCCCACTGTGAAGCATGGAGGAGGAGGTGTGATGGTGTGGGGGTGTTTTGCTGGTGACACTGTTGGGGATTTATTCAAAATTGAAGGCACACTGAACCAGCATGGCTACCACAGCATCCTGCAGCGACATGCCATCCCATCCGGTTTGCGTTTAGTTGGACGATCATTTATTTTTCAACAGGACAATGACCCCAAACACACCTCCAGGCTGTGTAAGGGCTATTTGACCAAGAAGGAGAGTGATGGAGTGCTGCGGCAGATGACCTGGCCTCCACAGTCACCGGACCTGAACCCAATCGAGATGGTTTGGGGTGAGCTGGACCGCAGAGTGAAGGCAAAGGGGCCAACAAGTGCTAAACACCTCTGGGAACTCCTTCAAGACTGTTGGAAAACCATTTCAGGTGACTACCTCTTGAAGCTCATGGAGAGAATGCCAAGAGTGTGCAAAGCAGTAATCAGAGCAAAGGGTGGCTATTTTGAAGAAACTAGAATATAAAACATGTTTTCAGTTATTTCACCTTTTTTTGTTAAGCACATAACTCCACATGTGTTCATTCATAGTTTTGATGCCTTCAGTGAGAATCTACAATGTAAATAGTCATGAAAATGAAGAAAACGCATTGAATGAAAAGGTGTGTCCAAACTTTTGGCCTGTACTGTATGTAATCATGTATCATTTGTGGGACGCTAACCCATTGTATTTGCATTTTCGTAACATCTCATATAAACCATTGTATGATAAGTTGAATCAGAACTATATCACTTTACAAATATAGATATATGTATAAAATGCACAAAGGTAACGTATCTGTGGTTTGCACAACTGTACAATGCCAACATTTTCCTCAAGCAACTGGTCTGATTTTGTCAGCCCGACCCATCTCTTCCTGCAGAAGAATGACAAACACACTGTTCAGCAACTTACAATCAGTTTATATACAAAAATGTACATGCTCAGTGTGCCTAACACACACACCTGGGTACACAGTTTTTATTCTACAGCCTCATAAATGCCAGAGGATTAAGACTGTTTGCAGATGATACGACAGTCATCAAAATCTCCTCCACAATCAATGTTCAGTGGTTATATGCAGTCTGGCTACATGAATTACTGTGTAATCCAGCAACACAAATACAGAGAGAAAGACAAGATCATATATATATTCATAGGCTATATATATATATATTGATATCAACAGAGTACAGACATACACAGCATAGTAATTCAGTCAGTAGTGAACAAAAGAAACAGACAATACAGCACATAAAAGCACTTAACACTGGCTACACTCTTCAAAATAACTAAGGACGGAGTAAAGACTAAAGTCTTCATCAAAAGGTAATGACAGATCAAATCTGGTTAAAATCCCTGGCTTACCCCTCGTGATATGGAAACCATTTTCAGTTTTCAACACCTGTATAAACACACTCCTTCGGTGTTGTGTACAAAAACACGGCAGTAAGAATCACCATCGCTGTCGCAGTCACCAGTGCTTTCTCTGTATTTAAAAGGAAGCTATTGTTTCGTCAAAGAGAGTAGTGATAGGTGAACATTTGCATCATTGTGCAAAGGTAGCCGGTGATAAAGGACACAATCAGCTCATCTATGGAAATAAGCTTCTTCATATGGGAAATGTGATCAAGGAAGTAGCGTTGCGGTACAGACAAATCATGACATTTCTCAATGGGCACTCAAACTGCGAACGTGATCATTTAATCCATTAAAGTCTGTTCATTTCTTGCAGAGTGACAAATTCAGTACGTAAGAAGTCAAAGATTATGCCCACAATAACAAAATGGTTGCATCTACGTCTTGTACAGCAGGCTAACTAGCTAACAGGCTATTTTCTTCAGTTCAGTTGCCTGTGGATTGTAAAATGAATTTGTATGATACAAAGAACTTGTTTATCTAGTTTGAACACATTGTGAATCTGAGTAATGTTATTCTCCTAAATGTTGGTTATACATTATATACGGTCAGATCGTTTTTATGACTCGTTTGTCCCGATAATGTTTTAAGCGCATATTCAAAACTTCTCCCTATGGCTACAAGTAGTTTCTATCAGGTTTCTATCCATCCATAAAGAAATGCACTTCCTTGCAGTGCACACTAGAACATCATCTCTATATTTCCGGATCTATAGACACCAGTCACATACGAAAATGGAAACGAGGCATGAAATTTTGTGGCAGATTTCAGATGAATTGTGTGCACTATGCCAAAAGAAAAACAAACTAGCTAACAGATTAACAAATGTAATACATTTTTTTCCAGGTACAAAGTTCGACAGCATGTTAAACTAGCTAACATTGGTAGTATCCAAGCTGTGTAACACTTATAGAGTGCATTCATAGTGGTTCATACAGTATCTTCTCACAAACTAAAACTGGCTACACACCTGACAGACCAACCTCCTCTCTTATTAGTCGCCATGTATAAATGGTCCTGTTTTGTCTCTGTACTGCTCCATGTGCATACCCCACAAGACTGGATGGTGAAAAACAGTCAGAATTTACTTTTCTGCTGTTTATGTGGTCCTGTTTTTATCCATCTGTAAAGAGATGCATTTCTTTGCGTTAAACACTTGGTGCGTACACTGTATACTATACGGAAATATGGACACAAAGGTGTTATCCCTAAATGTATGCTGCTGTAGAGATGAAAAACAGCAAATGTCTTGTTTCAGCTTGAAGCCTCGGCTGTGTTCGTGAGGTAAACACTCTAGTAAAGACAGCTTAACAAAATACCAGTGTTATACCCATGCCTGTAAACATACTGCAAGTCAGGCATCTATTTCCTGTCTAAATTATCAGCTTGAAAGCTCTGTGATACATGTCCTGAATTAATCATGTGTTTGGGGATATACTGTGCAGTTTTTCCATCATGAATTGATACATGAAAAACACAATTACTGCAGTGAAGTTGTGTCACTCTTAATCCTGTTAAAGCTCCATTCAGTTCAGTGTTTGAGTTTCTGGGATGCTGCAGCATCAGTCAAAGAGGAGTATCCACAAGTCAGCCATCAAGAGTAGTAGATGTAATTTCCTTTTTACAAAATTCAACAAACTGTGCTATAAGCAGAAGCTGCAGAAGAATGCTGATGGAGTGTCACTGGCCACAATGTCATGGTTAACCTGGACGAGAAGGAGAGGGTAATTACTTTTATTTATTTATTTGATAAAATATAAGTATCAAAAAAGTCTACATTTAGACGAAGACTTAAGGTATCAGCAGAGAAAGAAAGGGTATCAGAAAGGGTATCCTGTGGAGCTTCTGACCACTAGTAGCACTTTGGAGCATTTTTTTCCAGTGCCCCTTTTTCACCAAAAGTAGTGTGGGCTTCTTTTAACACAGGAAAACCTGCTAAAAATAGTCAATTGACTCCTTTCCCAAAATAATAGACCAGCGCTGTGTACACGGCTCTGCTGCAGATGAGTATGCCTTGCTGTGTGGGTTTGTCACGTTCAATGTCACGGACAGGCTGGAAAACGGGTTAGTAGTGCAAAGCAGCTGGAAATAGGACAGTGGCGCAGGTGCACATCTAGCCACAACTGGTGCGGGGTTGTACACTGAAAAAAGTGGCGGATTTTTTGATGCATGCCGGTGTGTTTTGGTCCTAACACCAACAAATGTAGCAATGTGCACAAAATGTCAGTAAAGAAGAAGATGAGCATTAGCAAGTAAACATGGATGTACCAATGTAGTTATTACGATATTTTTTTTAAAAATTGCTTTGCAAATGAGTACTGGAAATGCACTCAACATTTCTCATTAGACGTTAAAGGTGCAGACACACCAAACCGACATCAAAGAACTAGCAGTGACGAAAGCCAACTGTTGCGTCGTCTACGTCGCCTCACGTCGCCCTGTGTCAGTCGCATTTGAACACACTACACGGACTACATCCGACGGCCAAGTGGTACATACGCAACACCTTCACGGACTATTACATTCAGACGGTCCCGGTGTTTCTTCCGCAGGCTCCACTTTACTCAGCTGTCTGATAAACCCGCTGCTTCTTCCCACTTAATTCTGAATAACAAACCAGGGCTCGGTGCTCCGGTTGGATCCAAACAGAGAGCCGGGGCTAGCTCAGAGACTAGCGGAGGCTAACTGGCTGTGCGTCCCTCTGTCATGCTGCGGCTAATGCTCCGCTAGGCTTCCAGCTAGCCCTGTGAGAGCCGGGGCTAGCTGGGAAGCTAGCGGAGGCTAACTGGCTGTGCTTCCCTCTGGTCATGCTGCGGTTAACGTTCCGCTAGCCTCACAGCTAGCTCCGGTTTGTTATTCAGGTAAAAGTGGAAGAGGCAGCGGATCTGTGGGGCAGCTGAGTGGAGCCTGAGGAGGAAGCACCGGTTAGCCCCGGTTTCACTACAGGCAGATCAGACAGCCAATCAGAGTGATCTCTTTCACCGACAAGCTCCGCCACCGATTCAACATGCTCATTTGGCCGAAAAGCCGCCGACACCGAAGGGCTGACGGTGCGGGACACACCACAAAAAATAGGCCAACAGACACTCACCGACGGCCCGACTTTGGGACAGGGCCGACCATCGGCTTGCTGTGTCAGGGCCTTTAGGTTACATGCTAAGCGTTTTGGTGAGGAACGCTGTTTGTACACACAGCTTATGTTTGTTTACAAAACAACTCCACAGGACACCTTTATATAGTTATATATTTTTTCCTTCAATAAATTAAATATCAAAACTTAAATTAAATAAATACACACTACATTCTTACTTGACTTTGATTCCAAGGAAATAAATGACAAAATGAAAAGCATTTTAGAAAAATTCCGCTTGAATGCTTACCTCAGGTACAATGGAGATTTATCCACATTACACAGCGATGTTGTATCCCTCTTTTTGTGCCATAAGTTTCCTGTTAACAGACAAAAACACACAAATCATTTTTATGGACATTTTTCTAATCTTACGTTCATGTAAAATGTGTTGTGCTAACCAGGTGAACGACCACTTAACAACTTTTAAACAACTGCCATTGTTGCTGGTCTATCATTTTCAGTGACATGATGAAACCCTCCATTCATGACGGACGACACGTTTACAAATGTAAATGGAATCCTGCTTTTCAGTGTATTCACACAGCAGGGATTAAACCAGTCATTCAGAGTCTGGGTGAGACTGGGATTCTTTGGATTCTTTGTTGATGAAGTTTCTGTTTCTTTTTTCCTGAGAACCTTTTACACTGTTTTTTTTTTCAAGACGAGAATGTTGCACCATCATTCTAACTCAATGTTCTGTATAAAGGTTACAAACACAGAATTTTGTTCCGCCTTTAAGCAAAAAATGGAGGTGGTGACAGAGCCAAATGACATCAGTGTCAGACAATGAGGTCCGAGGACTCCTTACCCTCCTTTCCCTAAACTCTGAGCTGCAACAGAAAAAAAAGACAGGTGGAGGGGAGTGCCTCAAGCAGGGGTTATACTTGTGTGTCAGCTCTATGCAGAACCTACACCATAGCCTACACACGTGGCCTACACCATTGTGAGCATTTATACTTGTGCGTTGGTGTGACTGTGTCACTCTGCAGTTACACCTCCAAAACACTTGTCGGTGGCGGAGGTTTCTGTGTGCTGTAAAGTTTAGTTGATTCAGAACACAAATTAAACACATTAAACACACATTAAACATGGCTTAATAGAGACAATTTCGAACTCAAGCGCACAAATCTGCCTCACTATAACTCGCAGCATTCACAGACAAACACTTGCCTTTATCTGGACACATTTTCCCCACAAATACAACATGCTAATGTTTTTAGCACTAGCCTATGGCATTTTACATTATATAAATTAGCCTAGCGGCTAGCAGACTTTTTATCTTCTCATATGAATCCAGGGACAACAGCAACATTTAACAAAGGTAACTTTACAAAATTCGGCTCCATTACAGCTCACAAGGTTCACTGACAAAACAACTGTCTTATACTAAACCCGTTTTCCAAACAAATATAACATGCTAACGTTATTAGCACAAGTCTATGGCATTTTACATTGTATAAATTAGCTTGGCAAATAGCGGAGATTTCCTCTGCCCATATGAGTATCACTGCTCATGCTTATTAGCCTATTCTCATTTGTTTCTTTATCAAAACAATATATATTTTTTAATAGTTCAACATTTCAGGACAGTGCACCTTTTTGTTTTGTTTTTTAGCACAAGATAAGAGGATCATTGTCAATCTTATGTCTAAAGTATGGTGCCAGAGTTGGGACATAAGTAGCTTAGCAACTAGCCTGGCTCTGTCCAATTTCATAGCAAAAATGAATTTAGTTCCAGTTTACTTACAACAAACAGTGATAGTTAGAATGATTTCGAGGTTGTCATATATTTTTCCACTTCACAGCCAGGCTATCTGCTTCCCTCTGCTTTCGCTCTTTATGCTAAGCTAGGCTAACCATGCCTGACCCCCAGGTGCATTTTTGACACACAGATGAAATTGACATCATTCTTCTTATCTCACTCTGGAAAAGGAAGCAAATAAGCATTTTTCCAAATTATTCCTTCAAGAGAAGAAGCAGCTTTTAACAAAAACTGTGATGTTTCAGTACCTGTGTCTTTTCTTTTGCTTTTGCCTCATCTTGGCAACAATGAAAGCCACAATCAGTATCCCGATGATGACGGCCAGCACAGTCAGGGTCAGCGGTATACTTAGCGCCCCGTTGACTGTTTCGTCGCAGAATTCTCCCTGGTAGCCCAGCATACACTCACACACCATCTCAGTGCCACCACCCAGAGGAGGCACACAGGTACCGTGGTCATTGCACTGAGTTTCTCCGCAGGTCGGCAGGCTGAAGTCGATGCCTCTCGGTTGGGGAGGAGGAATAGAAGTTGTCATCGTAGAGAAGGGAGTGGTAGGAAGGGAGAAAATGGACTGTAAAGAGAGGGAGTGCTAAGTGGAAGGAGAATAGGAGAGGAGAGAGATGAAAGGAAGGAAGCCACACCCTAAAACACAATGAGGAGACACAAGAAAGAGAAGACTGAGCTTTTTCTGTAAGACAGGTCAAATGAATGTCCTGGGGTCAGGCTCAGTCAAGCAGGTTTTTAGCTGTCCTCTGTTTAACTCTAAGTGGTAACTGACTGAAGCTCTGTTACAAACCAGTGATCTGATTTATAGGGATAGCAGAAAACAGAATCTGTCATGAGCTAATTTCTCACAGCGCTGCAAACATGCTGTGGGAAGACTCTAAAGCCTAACTGCTTTGAGGTCTTGTCCTAAGTTGGTTGGGCTAAGCTTGTGGGAACTGATTTTAAGGAGCCTTTGTTGGCTGGGGGAATGATATTAGATACATGTAAAGGTGATAAATCAACCAGAGATTCTTCCTTTGTGGAATTCATAACATTTAATGACCATTTTTTCTCCCTTTGCAAATTTCATTTGGTACATTCCACCTTTCATCAACCCCATTGTCAGAATTGGCATTGTAACTTGCAACACATTCTCACTTCGACCGTGTCACATATTGACAATTCGGTCAAGGACTTTCCACGTCCAGGTATGACTCTTTTCCTAGATACACTAACGTTGTCACAGGAAATTTCGGTTGGTACAACACTGTGAATTAGCGTATTTTTTTCCTTCAACAACAAACACACATGGTTAGGTTCAGGAAAAAAGAACAGGGTTTGGCTTCAGAATCTTACGGGACATGAACACTGATCACTCGGGTGAAGGTTGGTGTTTGTTGGACCCATCCACCACCCCTCCTGCCGACCACACTCAGACTTTCGCTGCCTCAACTTTCATCCTTATCCTGCCACATTTCCCCCTAATGCTGCTGTTAAACTATAATGGCAACCGGCAGCATATCATGCTGACTTCAAATGACGCCTTTTTCATTGGTTTCTGACGCTGCAAGTCACTGCCCAAACACTGGATTTCAACAAATTTGGAGTGAGACCAGGCTCTGACTTGCGTTTCTGCAAACTACAGATAAGTCACATTTGTATGTTATTATGTAGAAAATATGTTGCAACTTTATGTTTCAACAACACGGAGGTAAACATGTCGTCATGTCCAGGCACTAAAACACCTGGCTAGCTAGGAAAAGATCATGTTTTGACTAAGATTACCTAATTTTGGTGGCACAATCACACTGGAACACTGGAAACACAGCTAAATCCTACTTAAAGCCAGTATTACACCCAGTGTTGTTGCTTGTTTGTCTCTAACAATGGCGTGCAGCTTGGCAACTGTCTCGCTGAGGTGTCACACCATCCACTTCCCAATGACAAAGTCAGCTCATTTACATGTAGTCAGAACTAGGTCACTCTAGAATGTTAATATGATCCGTATGAAATGTGAAACGGAAATGTGCCATGCCAATATTTTCTTCTGGCAAGTGGGCTGCTTTCATATAGTTTGTTGGCTGTGGTGATTGAACTAACATTTTAAGACTGTGCTGTCTGTAACAGCTCACCTTGTACACCATAAAAAACGAACACACTCCATATTACAATCTCCAGTTGACCAGATACTCTCATCAGTGTGCATTAATGTTTTAATGGACCCCATTCACATCATATAAAATTCAAACTTCATTGTAATAATCCCCCAAAACATACATATTTAAAGCCACAAAATTGTGTGTTCACTTTTCTATTTTGCTATGTGTAAAACAATAAAAAATGCAATATATTGTGTTTTAACAGTATAGCTTCTGAACAACATCCACTGCTCACATGTAGTGTGGAACAGTGAGCTGCTTGTTGTGTGATGTCTCGCCCTCAGGCATATTTTACTTTTAAATCACCACATACAAATGACAGCCCAGCCGCCTAACTCCAGGTAGTGTGAGAGACTATTCGAAGGATTGTACATCTTGTCTTATAACAAATGTGAAACACGAGGAGTACTCCTCCTAACAACTCCAGCTGTTTCATCATCAACAGCATGAGGTGTACAGACAGAAACCCAAAGAACGACTGAGTCAGCCTGAGCCAGGGCTGCTTGGTATCAACTCCTACAGAAACATCAACCTCGTCCTAATGATAAAATAAAGGCATGTTAAATAATGCTAACTGAATCTATCAAACAGTGCTGTATACATTCACCAACATAGTGGATTAGTAGGATGAAATGATGTTAATATACCTAAAGTATCTAAGACATAAAAGCTGTATTTTAAGTTTCTCAACACGTGAATTAAACCAAGAACACAATGTAAATCCACTCAGAGCTTCAGTAAATAACCTAAGTTGACTGCTGCAGTGTTGCATCACAGTTTCCTATAAAATAAATACACCAGTGTGGGAAAAGTCACTTCTTAGATTTAAGAGACAAGACTGCCACTTATCTAAATCTATACAGCGTGGCAGGTTAACTGATAATAAGTGCCGGTGTGAAGTTATTTTACTTCTAAAGCATCTTGTCATTCAGGTTTCCCACCAGCGCTGTTACATTGAATTTAACAATGGCATCCGCACCAGGTATACAGTATAATGAAATAGGCAAGCGGCATGATAAGTGATGACAAAATGAAAGATATCTACTCACAGAAGAAAAGAATGCAGATGTGGCGTCTTAAAAATAAAGTTGTGGAGTTTAAATGTTAGTTGCAGGTTCGTCCAGGTGTCTGCGTGTGTGCCAAAGGTCCCAGGTCTTTGAAAAGGAATCTGAAGTTCCTCTTTCAGTGAGGGAATCTGTAACAAAAGAAAGGAGGGAAGAGGAAGAAAGCCGAGACCTGTGAATACCTGCCTCTTTTTCCCATAAACACACACACACACACACACACACACACACACACACACACACAATCACCTCCTCCCTCTGCCTTATCTTTAAATGGACTGAGTCACATACACACGCTTGCTCACACCAAATTTACCTAACACTTGCGCAGCAACTTTACATTTCGAAATAAGAGTCTAAACTAATCTTATGCTTTAGCTGATCGCTCACTCATGCTGACTTACAAACTCCGGCATCCCTGGGAAAAATAAACTTCATCTGTTCGTCACATTTCAGATAGTTTCTCATAAAGTAAACATCTAGGATGCCACATAACAAAGACAAATAAAAAGTGATGAAACTGATGTGACCAAATCATGTCACTTTTCCTGAGAATTGATGCTGAATAACATGACAAGCAACACACGCACGTTCACACACACCCTTACCATTATACTGAGTTACAGTAGGTGTGTTTGCCAGACTAGCGGGGGATAGAGGGAGGAAGAGGCAAGTTGGAACAAGACACACTGGCAAGACCCAACAAGGCTGACATGTCTGTGTACACTGAAGCACTCCATACATCCGTGTGCATCAGAAAATGTTTTAGTGTGGATTTCTCCAGCCTCCTGAGGGAAATAACTTTGACTTTTGAACTTTTAATTTGAAAGTTTTAGTTGTAGTGTGGCTCCAGGGATGGCAATGTTGTCCGATGCATGAACTACTGGATGGATTGCCATGGGTGTAGTGCTATTTGTTTAAGTGCTGGAATGCATCTGTGACACAAACGCATGCATGCACAATTAAGTTGTGGCTTGTTTCGAAGGTTATGTAACTACTCCTACAAATGCAAGATTACATTATGCATTGTATGCTTTGTAGTGTTTCTATGCAAATGCATCAAATAAAAATAAAAACAGAGGACAAATGCCTATTTCATATAGTCTACAGACAGCTAGCTATAGACTGAGAAAACTTTTAATTCACTGTGCTACTCAAAGGGTACCAGAAGCTACCGGCAACTTTTAAGATGAATTGTTATGTGGCATGTTGCTCAGTTGAGTTGATGTTATGAATCAATCATCACACCTTAAATGTTGATATGACAACCCTGACCATTCCATTTGTTTTTATTTTCTCTCTTGCAGATGCTTTAGTAATAACTGGATCTTTAATGTACATGAATTTCAACTGGAGTATCATATTCATTCATTTTTAATTCTTTCATTCATTTTCTGTAACCGCTTAGCCTGTTAGGGGTCGCAAGTGTGCTGGAGCCTATCCCAGCTGACACTGGTCGAGAGGCGGGGTTCACCCCGGACAGGTCACCAGACTGTCATAGGACTGACACATAGAGACTAGACTCACAAGTCAGACGCTTTGCTTAACTAAAGACTGATGACTTTCTCCCTGATTTTGTGTTTAGATGGGTGGATACAATTTCAGAGTTTAAAAAAACTTCTTACGTTGCAGAACCATTTTTAAATCTGCAGGGCGGTCCTTCGTTGGCTCTCTGAACTTTTGTGCTTGTAAACATAGTCCCACTAGAAACACGTGTAGCGGTACAAAATGGCTCAGCCGTGCTCGCAGAAAGCGCCGTCAAAGTTCAGTGGATGTTTGTCGCGTTTGCGGTGACACATTCTCGCCAACTAAAAGAAACAAACATAATCTTTTACAAGGCCATGACTCATCCGTCCGGCCGGACTATAGAGGGAATCGCCTTGTTGTTTACAAATACTTCCGGGTAGAAAACCAGCAGAGCTTTTAGCTATATATATAGCCTATAGATCACATTTTTCACATCACTGTATCACCGTTTGGACTAATCCGATGTTTGTAAAGTCTATAAACACAATGATTGAACAAACATTACTATTTCTTTGTGCACGTTTAGCTGGGCTAACCGTTAGCTGTTAGCCCTGTTAGCCGTTAGCGGTGTCTGTAATAGGTAATAACTCATTAAACGGTCCGTGAAAAAAATATCTTTTCCTGCGGATATCTTAGTTACAACATGATTGAGCTAGCAAAGCAGTTTTGTGTTGCTATGTGTGGTATTTATTCAGTTTTGGGAAATCACGATGTCTAGAAAGCATCAGTGGCTGCAGCTGACAGGGACAGCTAACACTAGCAGCAAAGCTAACATCAGGACGTCATCTGTTAAAAGTCTCCCGTTGTCGGATACGACATGAAACTACTCCAGTTAGCTCAATCATGTTGTAACCAAGACATCCGCTGGAAAAATATTTTCTTTACGGATGAGCACGTTTGATAAAACGGAGTTAGATCTCTCGGCATCCATTTTCAAGCTCTCTGTGTGTTTGTTTCCTTGCGGACGAGAAAAGGAGGAGTACACATTTCCGAGAAGGTGTGTCCTTTTCAAAAATGCAAGAGGCGTTGCTTTGTTGCCAGCCGTTTTCGCTGGTGTGATAACACACTTTAGAAAGGAGTGTCCCCAGACTATCAGAAGGCGGAGATCTCTGATTGTCTGGTGGCGAGACTACATAGAGACAGACAACCATTCACACTCACATTCACATCTACGGTCAATTTAGAGTCACTAGTTGATCTAATCTGCATGTCTTTGGACTGTGGGAGGAAGCTGGAGTACCCGGACAAAACCCACACTAATGCCGGTAGGACATGCAAACTCAGCACAAAAGGGCTCCCCCACCTCGGAGTTCAAAACCCCACCCTCGGTTCAAACCAGATACCCTCTTGCTGTGAGGCAATAGTACTAACCATTGCACGGAGTGTCACACCTATAGCTATTCCTGGTCTATGGAGAACAAATCCTCTATTACCAAATTGGTAACACCCTTGACATTTCCTCTAGCACCACCATCAGGTTGACATTTTTGAAATTTGGTGAAGCCTTGAGAACTAGTGGACGGACTACCATGAAATTTGGTACAGGCAGATGAATCCTAATGACTTTAGTGATCTCCTGAGTTCTCCTTGACTGCCATCATCCAGCCAAAGTTTCAGTTTGTCCTGTACTTATGCCCAAATACCTGCAAAACATATGATATCCCCATCAGCTTCAGCTGTACTTTGTGTTTAGTGTTAAGTGTTAAGCTGCAATGGTCATTTTACAGGGGAAGTGATGGTAAAAAAAAATGTATCCACTGATTTACAATGTAAGTCTAAGGGAAAAAGTCTATTGAGTCTTTTGAAACCTGGAAGTTGTAGTTTCGTGGCTTGGCTGCTATAGCTTCAAAGTCTGGTGTCATTCCTGGGTGCCCGGTCAAGACCTGGTACCTACACTATTCATAATTCAACCTGACCACTGTTTTGTTGGAGATTTGGATGTGTTACGCAAGTAGAGGGGAAAAATAATCACGGTGGCTAATGTAACCTGGAGCCACCAGCCTTAACTTGTTGATATCATTCATCATAGTTTATTCAATTTTATGTTTACACTTTTTACTTTTACTGTTACTGCAACTGCTCAGTGGCTGGATCTCACCAAACACAAATTAGTCACCCTGGGAATCACAGTCATTATCTTGTGGTTATTGCAACATGGCTGTGTGCGCACTCAGCAACCCAGCCAGCTGTCAAACTCATGCTCCATTTCTTTTGATTTATCTGATTAAGAAACCTCTTCCTTGTGTCTGTGTGTTCATGCATGGTTGGTCTTTCAAAACCTTATGTTTTGGAGAAAAACGTAATTTAGGGTTTTTGGGCAGGGTGAGGGGTTTAGACATCCAGGAAGTCCGAGCAGAACAGCTTTTGTTTGAGTTTGCCTCTAGAAATGCCTCCCTGCATAGCTGGGAGGAGACCACTGGGCAAACCAGGATATGCTGGAGGGATTGCATATCCAGACTCGGCTTACAACACCTTGGGTTCTCACAGGAAGACAGTGGGTGATCACAATTTTGGTGAAGCGTGTAGCTGCATCCAACTATAGAAGTGTGTAATACATAAATGTTTGTACACAGCTTATAAATAACTGTAAAATAGACCCATAATGTGACAGTTAAACATCTACAGTCCTGCTGTTTCTTTGATCAAAATGTAGCAGGGGGACACTAGGACCCAGGCAAAAGTTGGCCAGTCAAGGTGAGAGCACCTCAGCTGTTACGAGGCTCATGGAGCACAGGTATGTGAGCCTCATCCTTGATCTGGGATCACTCTGGTGAACATGTTTGCCTGGTGAGCCGAAGAAACTTTGTGTTTTAAACAGTAGTTAAGGTAGTGTAGGGGTGCAAACACACCCCGAGGTATTGTTTTTTTGAGTGTTAATATAAGGCCATGGTTCTCTGCCGGAAACCGGTGGATTGCTCCCTCTGGGTTGGGAGAGTTACTGCCTCAAGCGAGGGAGTTCATGTATCTGTGGGCCTTGTTCACGAGTGTGGGTTAAATACAGCCTGAGACGGATCGGCGGTTTGGTGCTGCTTCTGCAGGGATGCAGTTGTGTGCCGAGCCGTCATGGTATAGAGAGAGCTGAGCCAGAAGGCAAAGCTTTCGATTTACTGGTCCATCTACGTCCCAACCCTCACCTATGGTCATGAGCTCGATTAAATGAGTTTCCTCCATGGGTTGGCTAGGCTCAGTCTTAGAGATAGGGTAAGGAGCTCAGACATCTGGAGGGAGCTCGGAGTAGAGCCGCTGCTCCTTCGCGTCGAAAGGGGTCAGTTGAGGTGGTTCGGCATCTGATCAGGATGCCTCCTGGGCGCCTTCTGCTGGAGGTGTTCCCGGGCACGTCCCACTGGTAGGAGGGCCCAAGGCAGACCCAGAACACGCTGGAGGGATTACATTTCTCATCTGGCCTGGGAACACCTTGGGATCCCCCAGGAGGAGCTGGAAAGTGTTGCTGGGGAGAGGGACATCTAGGGTGCTCTGCTTGGCCTGCTGCCGCCACAACCTGGCCCCAGATAAGTGGATGAAAATGAATGGATGGATGGAAGAATAGATGGATGGATGGGTCAACGACTTAGTTTCTTTTTGTAAAGGGCCCTAACAGTCCAGAAGTAGTAGCAGAGGAAAGGTATGAATGTTGAAGAATGACGTAGAATGACGAAGATTAACACGTGTTGTGTTCAATTCACAGGCAAAGTGCTGCTTGCTGTTTATTTTCTATATATTTTCCATTATTTATTGCAAATTATTTTACTTGTATTTTAGTAAATTGAACTTAACGTAGGGTTTTATCTTTTAGTGCTGCAGTTGGTGTTGGCCTCCGGTCAAGGGATCACTAGTGCTATGGGAGTTCACGTGGTGAGTTGTGGTGATATAATTTAAGGTTTGATGTGGCACTGGTTGTAGTTTGGTGTTTTTCTGTTGGAAATGGGTTTATTTTGTGTGTAGTTTTGGTCATCCACATGTAGTATACTTCCAGTGCACTGGTTTATAGATTGGTGCTCCACTGCAGAAGGATGCTCTAACTTTTAATTGCTTTTATAGTAGTGCTGTTAGGGACCCTGCATTTAATAAAAGCCTGTCATGGCATTTTGACCCACACTGACTGTTGCCTTTGTTTCTGAAGTTCACCTGTAGATATATGAAAGGTAAGTTGGGTGTTAAAAATAAAACACATCTGGTCTCCTTTGAATCCCACGAACCAGTGGAAGTTGCATTTTTAATTTTCCAATAAGATAAAGACAAAGATAAGATATTGTATGAGTCTCAGAGAAGAAGGGAAATGTCCACCAATGCATGAAAACAGACAGACTATCTGTGCTTCAGCATGAGAGAAGTAACTGCACCTCCATTTACACTGCATTCCACAATATTGCAGGTATTTTGCCACATGGCTTTGTTAATAGAACTGCATATCCAACAACACAATATACTGTAGATGTGTGGATGTTTGTTTTGTCAGGCACCAGTGTGAGATGGAGTCAAGAGGACCATGCATGACATCTGATAAACTATGCACACACACATGCAGATAGAGTGCAGGTGAAAAGTAGATATTTATTCATCACCAAGGCAATGTCTGAGTCCGTTGTACCTCAGCATTTGTTTTTAAATGTCAAAAGCAGTAAACACATGCATATGTGTGTCCTATCTCTGGATCAACTTTGGCTGCTATGCAGGTGGAAGTACAAAAACAAAGTGATCTTTCACATTAAATATGTTTCTCTAGAACAAGGAAGCATCTGATCGAAACTGGTATCAAATTACAGAAGGGCTACAGACTTACATGGAAAGCTGTGACATTATGATGGCGGGACACAAACTGAAAGGAGCGTAGGATGACGGGGTGATCTGTGATGGCACTCAGTCACACACTAGACAGCAAGACGACAATAAAGACACAGGCATTAGCAGATGAGCACCATTGACAACACAGAAGCAGTGTCACCATAGCAGCATTAGTAAAATATACAATACACACAAATATAGGGGGTTGAAGAAACCTCAAAAAACATCAGAGGCTCCAAACAATGACAGACAGGTAAGGGCAGAAAAGCAGACAGAGCAGGCATGAAGAGATTAAACATGGTGACAGGCCTGTCTGCCTTTGAGTCGAGGGTTGTGATAGAGAAATATGCTTGGACGTGAAAATTCCTCATATTTGCTTTATAAGTACAAAATGAATTTCTGTCAGTCAATGTTCCTGAGTCTACATCACAAATAATAACCTGCTGCGTTTTACTTCAGGGTCCGTGTAGACTTACTGTCCTCCAGTACGGCTGACAATTAGAAGTTCATTGACTGACAGAGCTGTGGATGCTGACAGTGTGGTAAGACTGTATTCCACCAGTGCTACCAGTGTAGCATGATAGCATGGTGGAAGTAACAAGCTAGATAGCTAACTAATTAGCCACTACATTATTGAAATATAACAACTAGGGATGAGTAAGGACACCATTATCTGTATCTGTTCAGCCAACTAAATTATCTGTCTCTGTACTTCGAATGGGCGGTCTTTGTGCCAGAAGAGGGCGGGTTTTAAATCGAAAGTACTCATACTCGTACTTGTCGTCCTCCGCTTATCCGGGTCCGGGTCACAGGGGCAGCAGCCTCAGCAAAGAATCCCAGACAGTCCTCTCCCCAGCCACTTCCGTCAGCTCTTCCGGGCGATGTAATACCTCCAGCGTGTCCTGGGGCGGCCCCGAGGTCGAAACACCTCCCAAGGGAGGCGTCCGGAAGGCATCCTTACCAGATGCCCGAACCACCTCAACTGGCTCCTCTCGATGTGGAGGAGCAGCGGCTCTACTCCGAGTCCCTCCCGGGACCTAATCAAAAGTTATTTCAAGCCTGAAATTTATAAAGATTAATCAGAAGTTGCAATATTTATTACCTATAAGGAAAAAAATTACAGAACAGCCTCAGAATTGTGCTTCAGACCATTTTTTATCACAAGAGTAATACATTAAAAACAGCTACCAAAATGAGGATTTTCCTTTATCATGCATAGTCAGTGACACATTTTACTTGTATGATACTAGTCTTCATAATAACTACATTATCTGGACCAGATATTCATTTCATCCGAGCACTCAGCTCAACCCTAGCAAGAACATGTGCCTCGTTTCTACTTACGTATGTGACTGGTGTCTGTAGATCCGTAAATACACGTTTGATGCCTCTAGTGTCCAACACAAGGAAGTGCATTTCTTTACGGATAGACAGAATTATTTTACAATCCAGTAGTTTGGAATTTGCACTTGGAACATTACCGGGACAGAAACAGGACCTGCCAGCTACATGGCATGTTTTATGAAATATTTAATTTAAAAGACGTATGAACGGCTGAACGAGTCATAATGACAATCTGACTGTATATAATGTATAACCATATTTTAACAGAACAACATTACTCAGATTCACAATGTGTTCAAAGTAGATAAACAAGTTCTTTTTAATCATACAAACTCACTTGACAATCAACACAGGCAACTGAATTAAAGCAAATAGCCTGTTAGCCAGTTAGCAGTCTGTTAGCTAAGCTAGCACAATGTCATACGGTCTCTACAAAATCCACCGCAAAAGGTTTTTTATGTACTCACAGCAAATTCTGGACCGAAATATTGTGGAGGGGACGAGTTTCGCAGGCACATCTGATATCACAGAGATTCCCATAGGAACGAGGCATAAATACTTCATCAACACACTGTTTTGCTATCATCAGATGAGTGACAACTTTGTTTGGCTAATTTCTTGTAACCACTGTAATGTTAGCATACAGACATGCTGGAATTAGCAAGCTAATTAGGTAGCTACTTTCAAATTAAATTAACAATAAATAGATAAATATACAAATACAATTTGGTAAAGACTGGCAGTAAATATAAAGTAAATATAGTAATTAAAAATGTGATCCAAATGTCCATATTCAGCACAAACCAATGGCTTGTAAAACTCCCAGCTGCAGAAAAATGTTTTGTTGTTTTTTTTAACATTAAACTCATAGTATAAGTAGACTGTGGCAGTAGTATATATGTCTGACAGGATCAAAAAAATAGTTACAGGCCTGACAGGTCTGTCTGCCTTCAAACTGTGCTTGTTTGCTAAGTCACAATCAATCAACGTCACCACAGTAGGATTAGGAAGATATACAATGCAAAGACTAATGTGGGGGTTGACGAAACATTAAGTAACATCATGAGCTCCAAACAATGACAGATGGGTAAAGACGGAGAGGTAAACAGAGGAGGCTTGAAGAGATTAAACATGGTGACAAGTCTGTCCGTCTTTCATTCGAGGGTTGTGATAGGAAAATATCCTCGGTTGTGAAAACTACTCAAACTGCAATGTTCACTGGTGGAGAGATGCATTTAAATGTACCTAGATTTCAGATGTATATTCTAACCATTGGTAAACATATGTACTTAGTGAGGAAAGAATATGATTCAAGATTGACACAAATATGTCTCCAGTACATACAAATGCAGTTAGTACAAGCTGCATAAGTGAAATTGTTGAGGTCATGTATTAAAAATACGTCGCAGTGACACTTCCTCTATATTTCTCATTTTCTCAGTGTTGTTGCCCAGATTCAGATATAGATATCCATACCGTGCATGTGTTACGTGACCAAAGAGAAAACTACAGAATTATAAGCTTTTAAAGGAAAGAAATTGAGACAAAATGAAATCGCTAGCCTGACATCTCCTGACCAAATCCCAAATGTGAATTAGTCTAGATCCTCTCTGTTCATTTTTGATTTTAAAAGGAGGATTATCAAAGGCTGTGGATAAAAATGCCACTGGTTGACGCGTACAACTGATCAGAGCAACATGTCACGTAGCTGAGCAGTAATAACAGGCTACAGTGTGAAGAGATGAGCTGTGATGGTGTAGCACCAGTTTGTCTATAAAGGAGTGTTGGCACTTTTGCCATCAGAATTTGAAAATATTACTTCAACGGAGACTTCCACATCAGCTGCAGCCATCTTGGTTGTTTTTAAAAATGTATCAACGGCTCTCCTCCTCACAAAGTTAGGTTTATGCTCACCGTAGTGCCCCTGCGCAAGCATGTGCGTGAAGTGCCCAAAATGGCAAGCTGGCAGTCATTGTCTCAAACACACCACAGTTTGGATAGCTGGTTGTGACTGGCTTGCCTCGGGCCAGGACAACTGGAAATCTGTCAAAACACGAGGGAGATACATCTGCCAAAGCAAATTAAACATGACCTCAGACTTGGCTGGTTGTCAGGCTATGAAATCTCTGGAATTTACGAGGCATAATGGAACAAAAACTTTGCTTACAAATCACCAATATATTGAAATAATCTTACCTGTTTTTGAAACTGAGTCATAAAACCTGGGCAAGATCAAGCGCTGATAACATATTTTCATAGCCAACAAGACGCTACAGAAGTTGTCTCAGTTTGAGAAATCAAGACAAGAAGAGTGTAGTGTTTGGTTCATCCCTTCTCACTTTTATTTCATCAAAAGACAGTGTCCATCAGCATATTTACATTAAGCACCACAGAAATGTATCCTCAGACATTACTCGCCATGTCTGCTGCCTTCAGAGTTTTCCTGAAGCTGCAGTGACTTAAACATCAGCGATGGCTTCTTCACATCTACCGGGGAATCCAGCTCCTGGGGAGAAGAGAAGATCAGAAACTTTTCTCCCTACTGTAAAACTTATGAAGGCATCTCATACTAAAGAAATGTATGACCGATATTTCAGGAGTAAACTGATAAGGCAATTGTCAAATCACCTGAACTGGTTTAGTAAATAAATGCGCCACATTAATAGTCTATAGTCTTAAATAAATTCAGAACATCTCTGCTTATCTATCTAAATGAATATGTGCTGAGTGGCCTGACCTTTACCTCAGAGTCTGAGTAGTGTTCACATGGCAGACCCATGTTGGCCATCAGAATTTCTTTCTCCGTGGATCTGTTTCTGAGCGACTCCCAGCCTCGCCTGTTGAAACAAGATTTAAAAAGCCAAATGTTACTACAGCACAAAATAGTTCTGAAGTGGTGTACAGGTCCAAGACTCTCTTAAAAATTTAATTTTAACCAAACTCCACTGCAATTGTTTGTCCTCTCAGGCTCGTAAAGTGTCACTCAGTGAAATGAGCTGCTGCAGCAGAAATACACACCAATCTCATTTTTAAAGTGAGTCCCTCTGATCAGGGTGCAAAAGAAAACAGTCATCCTCTCATGTACCTTCTGACAAAAACAAAACCAGCAGCCACCAATGCAGCGAGGAGGCAGAGGACACCCAGGATCACACCCACATGACTCTTTCCAGTTTCTGTCTCTTGACAGAACTCTCCCTTGTAACCAGCCATACACTGGCAGCGAGTCACTTTGCCTTCTATGATGCAGTTGCCATGATTGTTGCAGTGCTGAAGATCACAGGAGCCTCTTTTAACTGAAAGAACAGAGTTCTTCTGGGCGTTTGGGCGGCCATCACTGGACTTGGTCCCGAAAGACACAGAGTTTGTGTTTGGACCTGAAGAGAAATCAGTGTTAGTGATTATGATACATGGTGTGTGACTGTGATAAAAATGTTTCTACACTACACATATTTTAGTATTTGTTACTATACATCGAGACCCCCTGGTAAAGCCGTGAAGATATTACAAATAGACACTGGCAAAGCAACACAGTACGTACAAGAAGCACAGCAGAAATGTCATACAGGTCGGACTACCATTTTTGAATATATATTTTCAAACAAAACAGTTTCGGTTGAAAAATGACAACAGAAATAACAGAGTTTGCCGATTTTGCATATCTCTGCAATTCAAACAATTGCCAGTTGTCTACCTAAATGTTGTGTTCACACCAGATGCAATGCAAATTTTCATGTTGCGTTACTCAAGCTTGAACACTAGAATATTTTGTGTTGACTCGCTTTATACACATGATGAAAATTTGCATCATACAAGCCTGAAATTGCTGAATCAATGAATAATGAATAATTCTTCTCCTTCTTCTTCTCCTCCTTCTTCTTCTCCTTCTTCTTCTTCTTTCCTACTTCCCATGGGTGAAAAATCACCAAACTTTGCACAAAGGTCCAGTCTCATGCCAGATATCCTCAGCTGTAAGCTCAAGCCACTAGTCCTGATGCGCTACAGCAAGCGTCTAAAGTTCAAAACTGAAAATTCATAACAAATCAACCATATGTGCTACAACTTCACAACTTTCATCAAACTGTAGCCCCAATACTGAAGCTATTATACTAAACCTATTAAAAATTATGAAGTTCACTCTGTTTTGTTAAAAAACTGTAAAACTTCTTAAACCTATCTCCTCCCACAATTTTTGCTCAATTGACACCAAACTTGCTACAGAGCATCTTCAGACTGTCCTACAAAAACTATGTTTCTCAGATTTTTGATTCATCAAAAATTGAGCCTACAGTGCATCAAAATGTTTGACTGTAAACGGTACTTTAAACATATACATGCAAATTCTTGCTAAATAAATCTTCAATGTTCATGAAAAAAAATGACAAAATTCTAGAGTCAATGTAAAAATGGCAATTTTAAACATCAGTTTTTCACTTATGGAGCAAATCAATCATTGTTACAAACAAATTACCAACATCTCCATGCTGTCTAGATGCAATATGTGTATTTTCAGATTTTTGTCTTAATAACTGAATTTTTTACAGTGGTTTGAAATCTGCTTTTCCATGCATGGATGGCTGCTAAACCTGCACGTCTGGCTTAGTCAATTTGTGAAGCTAGACATGAATTGTCACTGACTAATTAGCTCAGTGAGATAGAAATTGATTCTTAGTCTCAGAGGTTGTGAGTTCAAGCCTCAGCTGATGCAAAAGGCAGATTGTGTTGCTAAATTCCTAAATGTCTTCCAATTCTTCTGCTTATTGCTCAGAATTGCCTAAAAAATGCCCGGACCCAACCCATCGCTGCGCAGTAGCTATAATTTTATTTGCAGCCGGTGTGAACACAACATAAGTGTTAGCGTGACATCACAATGATTTGGCCTAACACGATCCAATTACTAACATTAGTTACATTCAATTTATGCACTGTTTTGGGCAGGATTAGAATAATTGTAGTTAGAATTAATTAAAAATGGGTCCTAGGATGAGAAACATAGAAAAAAGATATTTTGCAGGCTTATATTTAAAGATTTTGTAGTTAGTCATGACTTAAACAAAACAAAGTTGGTAAGTTACTGAGGAGGCGACTAAAAATCATGATTGATTCAAATGATTATTATGATATCTACCCTGGCTGCTGTGACTTTAACTGAGTGGGATAATTAAAGATTTGGATGAAAACTCACAGTCCTGTTCATCTGACTGGTCCGGACAGTCCACGTGTCCGTCACAGAACTTGCTGCTGCTGATACACTTGCTACCATCAAAGCAGGATTCTTCCCCAGTGGGGCAGTCGGGAAGTGGGGAACAGGAAGTGGCGCCGGCAGTGTAGAAGCCCCGGCCACATTTACATGTGCGACCTCCAGGATAGGGCAGGCACAGTTGGCCACATCCACCATTTTTGTTGGAGCAGCTGTTAGTTCCTGGAGGACATGGGTTAAAGAGGATTATTAAATTAAGTAACAAAAAAAACCTTTACTTCCTCTGTGAGAAAATTAAAGTGACAGCTTGTCACACTTAAAGTGATAACCTAAATAATTCTGATGTTAGGTTTATTTGCTCATACTTTATTTTAAGTGGATGAGGGGAGACTTTGAATTATCTTAATTTACAATTAATAGCAATCCACTGAATTTTAAATAAACTAATCACTTATTACCATCTAGAAATTTCTTCTAGTCTGAAACAGCAGTGTGGTTTCCATTTTATTTAGAGCTTTCTTCTTTTCAGGAGCTCACAGGTCTCGTAGTGTCAACAGCATTTATTGTTGTCATTTTGTATAGTTTAACTCCTAGCTGGCTAGATATGTAACATATCTATGATCCACGCACAAATGCATCGTTATCGTAACTGATGTATTTTCTCCAGCGACTCATCTTTTTATCAGCCAGGAAGTAAAAGATCGAGCAACTGTTGCTCTTCTCAGTATGTTCGGGACGTCACTTACAGGATTGTTATAGTCTAATTATGTATTTTAAGTCTTAAACTTCATCAGTTTTACAACAAACTGCAACTTTATTGACTTGCAAAATTATGTATTAAACTGACAAGCACCATATCTGTATTTCATGGCACAATTCAAACAGGATAAAAAACTTATTGATCTCTTGCCAGTGACTACAGTACATAATTCTTCTGTAAAGAGGTCCACAGGAAGGTATGGACTTCACCTCGCTACAGAGCTGCTGGTCAAAGCTAAGTACATCCTACTGTGGGAAAATAGGCTCCCTTGTGTCTACATACAGTTGCTTTAACGTGCAGTAACGTGGGAATAAATAAGCCACAAACCAGATCATTTATTAGAACTAATCCCATGCCAAACAATAATCTGTTGTGGCTTTAGACACAAGTCAGGGCCTCCTGGCTGTCTGTAATTATATAATCTGCTTTGGCACTGGGAAACAAGAGGTGTGTCGACATTTGTAAATGAATTATTGCGTAACAACATTGGGCTCCTGGATATGCGCCAACTGATACTTGCATTGCTCTGAAATACTTTGGTAAGACTTGGTTGTGCATATCTACAGTATTGCTTCAATTCTAGTTTTAGCAGAAACTGTGTTGTGCAGAGTCTGATAATTAATTTTACTCCAGCACTGGCAAAAATTTTGTAACGTTAAAATTCAACTGGTATCAACTGTAGTAATTTGGTAGGCTGTTGATCTTGGATTCAGATGCAGCTTTACTGGTTATGAGGTATATTCATGTTTGTGTATTATCAACAAGACAGAAATGTTCCTGTGAAACCAAGGTGCTCAACAGCTCAAGAGAATACGCAAGAAGTGTTGTCCTAGTGTGTGTGTGTGTGTGTGTGTGTGTGTGTGTGTGTGTGTGTGTGTGTGTGTGTGTGTGTGTTGAGCTCAATTCATCATTGTGCGTTCCCACTGCAGCACACAGTAACAATCTAGGATCTCCCACAGCTTACCAAGCCTCATCTCTCCGCAGGTATCACATCACTCTGCCATCTATTCAACCCAAACTGAGCCTAAGCAAGTCTTTTCATTCTGTGTTCCCCGAGTGTCTGATAACACACCTCTTCTGCGTCCTGCATTTGGAGCAGAGAGTAAAGTTGCAGTGAAAATATTAGGGTGCAGATGGATTTAATCCCTGATTTATGACTTGATAACTGGTTTGACCTGCTACTGTTTTTCAGATTAAGCTGACGGTGTGCTGCAAGCCTGTTGGTCGGCATTACAAACCTGGGCAGTGATTAAAGGACAACTTCGGTATTTTTCAACCTGGGCTCTAGTTCCCCATGTGTATGTGTGCGTATGATTCATGGGTACCACTCGTTCTAAAATTGGTTCAGTATTGAGCCGCAAAAGGAGCTAAAACGGTAATGGGGGCAAATGCGTCCTGTATAAAAGTGCTTTTTTCGCCACTGACCGGTTCAGATCGCCAGTGTTATCTCTGTAGATAGCATATTGTAGCGGCCCTGGGGCAGTGGTGAGTGTGAATGAGTGGAGTCAGCTGTCAGTCAGTGTTGGAGCAGAGAGGCGGAAGTTGTCCCCGCTTGGTAATGTAAATAAGTATGCGTGTGTGAAGTGTGTGTTACGCTAGAAGAGTCAGAGGACGGAGTCTTTTACGTGCTACCCCCTGGAGTGTTACCGGAGTTTTTGGAGCGCTCAAATAAACGGGCCTTTTTCCCGAACGCAAGAACAGGATGTTGCGCAACACCCCGTACAGCTTTCACAGGCTGCCTTTGTCGGACGGCGAGATGCTGAAGTTGTGGCTAGTTGTGCTACAAATGGATGCTAACACTCCTCTCCAGACACTGCACCTTGCAGACCATCGGGTCTGCAGTGCTCACTTCTCCCAAGATGACTACTGCCAGTCGAAGAAGAGAAGACATCCAATCCCGAAACACCTCTTCCTCAAGAAAACGGCTGCCCCACGAGTAGAGAGAGCTACAGACACAGTGGAGCAAAGCTTGTGACATCACCAGCCCAGAGGTAAGGGAAAGGCTAAGTTAGCATGCTATTTACAGAGATAGCACTGGCGATCTGAACCGGTCAGTGGCGAAAAAACACACACTTCACACACACATTCTCATTTACAATACCTAGCGGGGACTCCTTCCGCCTTTCTGCTCCAACACTGACTGACAGCTGACTCCACTCATTCACTCTCACCTCTGCCCCAGGGCCGCTACAATATGCTATTTACAGAGATAACACTGGCGATCTGAACCGGTCAGTGGCGAAAAAAAGCACTTTTATACAGGACGCATTTGCCCCCATTACCGTTTTAGCTCGTTTCGCGGCTCAATACTGAACCAACCAAGTCAATTTTACCCATGAATCATACGCACACATACACATGGGGAAATAGAGCCCAGGTTGAAAAATACCGAAGTTGTCCTTTAATCCATTGTGTAAAGAGGATTTCAATGTTGATCGGCCACTTTCACAGTTTCAGCAGCCAAATAGTTTTACTCCATCAGAATCTTCAGGTGGTTGTGACATTGGTGCTAATCACCTGGTAAATCAGCACTAAGGTTGATAGATTGATTACAACATAGGGGAGAAGGAACAGCATGAATCACAACATCCAGCTGTCTTGAAAACACGGACAGACGGACGGACGCAGGGGCGACGTTCCCCTCAGTATTTAAAGCATGTGGATTTGTACCTCCCAATAAAAACATGAACATGTAGCAGAAGACTATTACACCATAACTTGATGGAGGCACAAATTGGTGCATAAAAATTCACGAGAATGAAGGAAATAAAGTGTTTAACCCTTAAAAATGTTCTGGCAGAGGACCCCGAAACTTCCTCTTTCATTTATGTCCACCCCCCAATGTTGAAATGAAACTGATGCCCTTGATTGTTGGTATCAACTTTGTACAGTATTTTATCTTTTTACCTAAACACTGATAAGAAACAGCTGTATCAGTCATTTGTTACAGGTAAGACACTGCACTCGGAATGACCTACAAAACTGGATGGACACAGATTTTTGAGGCCAGCCATGTTTTTTCAATTGAAGTGTCACACAGTCATTATGTTTGTGTCTTTCATTGTGATTTGAAGTGATTTCTGATTTCTTGTGCTTAAAATTATTTCATACTATTGTATGTTTATGTTTCCGGTGTTTTATTTGTGTCATCATGATCCCTGCTCCGTCTCCCTCTTCAGACTCTTTGCATTCCCAGTCTGGAGTTTTCTACATCCTGTCTTGCCTCACCTGCCATCTAGTGGCCGTCGGAGAGTCCTCCACAATGGTGTCACTTCTTTTGAGATCACCTGTCTGCAAATCTACTCTTTACCTGCCTGAGAGCTGTTATTTTCCTGACTATTTGTTCCATTATAGTCATTTACCTCCCTGTTGCAGATTGTAGCTGTTTACTAAGTGAGGTGCTTTTTATTCAAACTGCTGTGTTAAAGCTAAATTGGTACTTACCAGACTGAGTGTCGTTGCTGTAGGCTTTGACTTCCACCACGCTGATCTTTGTCTCGAACCACAGTTGGTTAGGCTGGAGGCCGTCACTGAACCACAGTTTGGTTACATCTACACAGTTTGAAAACAAACACAAACATAAGTAAAAAAATAATCTACGAAGCATAAAAGACATTCTACAACTTTCCACCCTGCAGAAATCAGAAGCTGCTGAGTAGGGTGAGTGGCGAGGAAATGTGTGAGTTCATTATTCAAAGCGAATAAAAAGATTTCAAAGAACCAATAACCGATCTGATGGAGAGGAGAAAAGGTGCTGGTGATTACAAGTGGATGTTTAAAGATGTATAAGAGTATTGCGGGGAAGAGGTGGACTAAATAATTCATTGTTACATTAGTCTTTGATGCCATCTGCTGCCTGATGGGGATGAAGACAGATGGAACAAATGTGAAAGCCAAGATGTACGAGAAATTAAATTGCAGGAGCAGGACTGAGCAGGTTATTAGATATTTTCCCCCGAAGACACTGTGGGCGTTCAAATTTGCTCTTCCTGTGCTTCCATCCTTACCTTTATCCAGGGTGACCCAGAGGAGGATGTTCTCAGTATGTGTGAAGGAGAGGAGCAGGCCTGGCCCTGTTTTGTACTGTTTGTATCCTGTTCCATCCACTCCAATAGAGCTGATTACACCTTCACCTGGAGGAGAAGAGTAAGCAGACAGGTACACGCAGGCAAGAAGGAACACGCCAATAAAAATATGCTCTTATGAAGGTATTAACTATGTGAGATTCTTTAACTCCTTACCTGTATCAGCCCAGTAGATCATAGTTCCTTGATTGGAAAAGACCAGTGAGTTGGGGATGCTCGACTTCCTCCACAGCACTACTTTGTTACGGCCGTCCATCCAGGCGCAGTCCACCTCTGTCTGGCTCTTCCCACCTGCTGCACCTATTGCTGTGTAGCAAAGCCGTCCCGAGGGGGGATGAAGTGCAATGGATGTGGTGCCCTGAGAGGACAAACGTACAAGACCTGAGCTAAATTCAAAGTACCAGGAAATGCGAATGATTGCAAAAGAGAAAAAGGTGTATTGGGGCATGTAAAGAAAGGAGCTTAAGGAAATGTCAAGAGTAAAAACTGTGGGGTAAATGTATGGACTGCTTTGTTGTAATTCAGAGGACCTAGATATTTCTGCAGACATTTATACAATAAATTCAACACTGAAGAGGCAGCTAAGAGTAAATCTGTTTGTTTTATTAACTAGTATTAAGCCCAAATTTACTTACCAGTTACAGTACAAAGGCTCATGAGAAGATCCAACCATGGCAGGGCTCCTATACATTCATTTATGTGTAGCTGTCACATATTGATTTACCAATCCTGTCTCCTGTAAATTATGTTTGTGTATTACTAAATTGCATTCATAATAACGCATAATAAAGTGCAGGACTGTAGTTGGGTTTCCATCCAAATGTAGAGCCAATTTTAAGCAAATTTTCAGAAAAATGGGAAAAGAAAAAAATGCAAATTTATCTGGAGTCGGTTCATCAAGAGGCAGGAGGTGGCAGTAATTTTCTAGCCAGGTACCATTTTACCTCTACAGAAGAAGATCGCCAGTCAAACCTCAAACAAAGGAAAACAACGGATGTATAACAATAGAGAGCACACTGGACAATGGAAACAAGAGTTTTAAACAGCTATTTTACAACTGTGTGCCCTTGGAAGAGTTCTGGTAACAGCCTTGTGTGCGTACATAAGCACATTAAAAGCCATCCAGGGACGATGAAGAGAGCTAGCAATGGCCTACACAATGGCAATACATCATGACTATGCCATCATTTACTAAATCTGTTTGCATTGCACTTAGGCCCCCAAGTTTAAAAACATTGTTTTTTCAAATTTTTGGAGTTTCCACTCAGGTTTTTTATGCTCAAATTGAAAATGTACATAAAAGAGGTGGATGGAAAAACACCTAGTGACAGCAGAATCCCAGGTTTGTGTCCAGACTCCTGACTGTGTTAGGTTTCAGCAACAACTGTAACAACACTTTGGTGAAGGTTAAGGAAAGATTGTGATTTCTCTTAAATGTTAATTTAAAAAAATGATAATAAAACAAGCTTGAAATCACAATAGCTGCAACCACCATGCCAAATTTCAGTCTGCTAGGGAAAAAACTGTGGCAGCCAAAGGGTGGGGAAACAGAGTCAGCTATAGAGCTGCTGGTCACAGCTTATAAAAAGTAATGCTGTCGTCACTACAAGTAGATGGTGCATTGCAAGATTGTCCATTTTGGCTGAAAACAAATGAAATATGTTGCCTATTATTTTTGCAACTTGCCAGATGCATTAATTAGCAACATGTCCTCATTAGTTTAAAAGAAAATGTAATTTGCTTGTCATTACAATTCCCCTTCATATTTTGCTGTGTCAAATTAGTTGTGTATATAAACACAACTTCCCCAAGACAGGGCTCTGGCTTTCTTGACAAATTATTCCCCCGTCAGCTACCAACACAAATAAATACTAATTCTGTGAGTAAGACACTGCATGGCTAACAAAAGATATTTTGTACTGAGGCTGGGTATAAGCAAAAATCTGCTGACTAGATTTTTACCCAGTTGTTGATTATCCTGAAAATCCATCTTCCAAACAGACTTTGATAAATATTCTTATATCAAGGTTATTGGAAAATTACAGCTCAACAATGTTAAGTTACTGTCTTTGCCTATTTACGCTTTTACATAAATTGCATTAACTCTTTCAACCTAATATTGACGCCTTTTGTCAGAACAATATCAAACAGTCCACAAGAGAAGTAAAACCTTAAGCTAAGTCCAAATAAGTCGTAGAGCAGAGTTAAAGAGAAATGTATGCAGGGAGGAAGGAGTCGTGTAAATGTCAGAGGTAAAGGAGATGGTGGAGGAGCAGAAAAGAACAAATATGAGCTGTACTTTACCGTCAGTGATCCCTGCAGCTGTGAGATTGTGTAGCCATCATTTCGGGAGGTCACGTGGAGATCAGGCCTCTCGGTGCTGCTCCAGTAGAGGTTGGAGGTCACCCAGTCAACTGCCAGAGCCGTGATTAGATCATCCTTGTGGGACAGAGAAGTTTCGTTTCAGCAGGGAGTGACAGTTTTTACTGGAGAAATGCTGGCTTGGAAGTGAAGCTGAATAAGAGTCACTACAGGATAATAACTGTCAACATGGTTTATACCACCCCTCTTCATTGGCTGAAATCAAATGTAAGACAAGATTTTTAAAAAATTGCCATGTCCTTCGAAAAGCTGATTATGCCTACCCCCAGCTTTAGGATCTGTCCAGAGGGCGTCAATCCCTGTCCCGACCCAGGCTTGCTCAGTGTCAGCACATCAACAGATCCTTTTCCTGCATCAGCCACATACAGAGAAAGCTCCTGGATGGACACGTCCAGTCCCAAGGCCTTAGTTACACCAGGCAGGGCCAAATCTCTGCCATTTGGCATTCTTTTCAGAGCCACACCATCACGATGCATAGAGTGTAGGTGAATCTACAAGTAATGAGAGGGTGAGGTAAAGAGGAAGTGAGAAAGAGTGAACAGAAAAGAAAGTGTATAATTTAAAAAGGCCTCTAACAAGAAAAGAGTTTCTTAAATTTGTTTCTCAGAAGTGTCTGGCAGGAGTAAAGGCCTGCAGGTTCTGGTCTTTACACCACATTCACCTGATAGACTGTGGTATGAGACAAAAGCAGGATGAACGTTGAATCCACAGGCGGAGAGCAGGTAATCTTGTCCTTGGAAAGCAGCAGCCCCTTTGGGCATCGACACACTGCCGTAGGCCCCGGCTCCGCTGGATTTCCTGGTGACCCCAGTGCTCCAGACTTGCCTCTCGTCGTCGGGGCCAGGAGGCAGAGGTGGGAGCAGTGTAGCTGGTCACAGGGGCTGGATATGGCTGGCTGGGACAGGGTGTGCATCAGCTGCGGAAAGAGTAAACATATGTATCAAGGCTCATAGCTAAGGCTTGATACTGTAGTTGTTATGACTGCCAACTGTGATATATTCATAAAATATTAGTATGTAATATAATTAAGGTCTTCAGGAGTTACAACCACAGCATTCAAAGTTAAAGACTCACTTTCAGTCCAAATGGCTGCCCTGGTCTCTTCAGAAGAACCTTTTGATCTTTGCCGGTGTTCTTGTCAGCTGAGCGGATGGTTCTTCTTTTCGTGTCAGACCAGAAGACTCTGTCACTGAAGACAGCCACAGAGAAAGGGCTCGGTGTTTCGACCAACTGGAGGATCTAGTGAGAGAAGGGTACCACCATCACCATTCACCAGCTGCTAAAACCGTGAAAACTATTTTTTCATCAACTGGCGGTGATTACCTTGACGTTTTCTCCATCCAGAGAGGCCGAACCGATGCAGCGCAGCTTCTCATCTGCCCAGTACACCCTGTTGTCCAGGAGGTCATATGCCAGACTGACTGGCCAGCTCAAGCCTCGGCTCACCACCACCTTCCTTTTTGAACCGTCCATCCCGGACCGCTCGATCTGAGGGGTGCTGCCGATCTCAGACCAAAGCATCATCCTGAAAATGTTGGCAATGCAACGCGTGCAATGATGAAAAATATGGGGCTGAAATCAGAAATAAACATTGTGTTTTCTTCTACTAGGTTTTTTTTGTAAGTTGAGCACCGTACCCTGTGTGTGGCAGCAGGACCAATGAGCTTGGCTGCTCCAGATCTTCCCCCAGGACCACAGTGTAGTCCTGAGATCTCACTGCGGAATCGCTGAGCTTCACAGCCAGAATCTGGCCCACCAGTCCATCCACCCAGTACAGGTTCTTACCAACCCAGTCCACTGCGATGAAATCCGATTTCACTCCTGTAACAAGATTTATTTATATTGTTTTTAGTCCTTGCAGATAACACCATGTTACACAACTGTAGAGTTCCTGAGACAGCCGTACCTTTGATGAGTGTCCCTTTGCTGTTGGAGTCTTTCATGTCAGCCCAGCGGATGCTCTGGTAGTCAGGGCTCAGCCAGTAAACTCTCTGTTGAGCCCAGTGATAATCGAGTGAAAAGACTGGCCGATTGGCAGAGGACAGAAGACGCAAGGTGCTGCTGTGGACTCCCAGTAGTAACAGCTCTGACTGCACTGATGCCAGAAGCAAAGGCTCGTCTAGAGATGGAAACGTGAACAGTGAGGTTTTCTGGCCAGAGTGAGTAATAGGCCAATATAATAGTATAAAAACTGAAGAGCAAAGATTGTTTTGTAATCAAAAATATGATAATACCCCTTTTTGGCACATGATTTTTCTTAACTGTTGTCTAGTTTCCCTTTATCTAGCTCACCTAGCACCACTTATGAACAAGCCTCTCGTTCATGAGCAGATGCATGTTTCCGTCTGCATGGTGATGCAGTTGGTGGGTGTCATTTGGGAGAAAGAAAATAGTTCCAACATGAAACTGCTCACAACAAGGTCTGTGGATTATCTTGAGTAACCAGGTCATGATTTCAGGAAAGAGACGTTGCTGTAGAGTTTTTCAAATTAATTTTTTTGGCGCCGAGTGCCATCTAGTTCCATTATATTGGAGATATTCACTGTAGAGATGTCTGCCGTCTCTGCACTCGGCAACTCACACCAAAACAATCCAGGCTGATAAACGGCTCTACAGGTAAGAGGAAAAAATATGCACTTTGATCTAGGGGTGAACTGTTCCTTTAACTTGCTTGACACAGGATGCACATGATAGTGAACATTATGATTCCTTCAACAGGCAGACAGTGTTTGGACCTACGGTACCTTTGGTCTTGCAGCTTTTGTTGTCAGGCTCCAGGTAGAAGCCAGGGAGGCAATTACAGACGTAGGACCCACGGGTATTCAGGCAGGTGTGTTTGCATACAGCATGAGGCACTTCATTGCACTCGTCAATGTCCACACAGGACAAAGCACTGGACTGTAGTTTAAAACCTGCAGCACAGTAACACCTCTGCAAAAATGAGAGGGAGAAGGTATTTTCATGAGCTTGGTGTGACATTTATGTTGTAAATACAGCCAAAATGTTGTGCTATGTGTCTAAATACAGTTCTTTAAATGTGACGGGCTGAAATATGACCCATCTATAAACGTACAAGAGTGAAAACTAATCTAAAGACTTGTTTGCCATTCCATATAAGCATACTAGTCAAGTTTAGGACAAAGCAGTGCTAACAGCCTTGGACAGAACAACAACCACACACACATTCTGCACTGACCGGTCCATTTGGGGTGCTGACACAGTGGTGGTCACACCGGGGAGCTGATGGGCTGGAGCAGTTTCGTCGAGCGCATCCTGCGCCCTCATCTGAACTGTCAGCACAGTTGGTGAAGCTGTTGCACACCAGGCGGGGGTCCAGACACTCACCGCTACCACAGTGGTAAAGGTGAGAGGGGCATTTTCTCTGGCCGCCTGTCAAATCAAATGCACCAAGTCGTTCTTGAGACTTGTTCTCTACAGTGATTAAAATACATTTCACTGTACTAGATAGCATTTCACCACATATGCAGGTTTTAACACTCAGAAATAAGCAAACAAAAACAAACAAAACTTAATGGGCATTATGCTTTGTGAGGCCCTGTTGAGATGGTAATGAAACAGATCATCAGCCCGTCTTCATCATTACCAAAAATAATCACCTTGTACAGCTTAAGTACATTAATATACTGTATGGATGCATGACTGATAAAATCCATACCTGCAACGAACTAAAACCCTCATCTTATTACAGATTTGACTGAGCAGGTGCACTTGAATTAATCATGTATGTTATAAATGGGTCATTTTTAATGGGGCATATCAGCTCATGAAAAATGATATGGCTGATGTTGAATTAACAGAAATTGCAGTCATTTTGAAAATTTGTTCTGATCATTATGATCATAATGGCCATAATGATTGACTAGACCTTCATGAGGCAAACCTGATAAAGGTCTAGTCACCAAAATGCAATTTAGACAGTGTGCAGGAGTTTTTCTTCAAGTTGTGTTCTGCTCGTCCTTCTCCTCTGCACCTGTGTGGAAATAGATGTGCGAAGTATTCCTTTGGAAATGATTTCTCTATCGTTGTATAACCAGTGGTGGGTAAACAAAAACTGTACCTATATAAAAGTATTGTTACTTTGTAATTGTAGTGACTCAGGTAGAAGTAAAAGTACTCATAAAAATACTACTTGAGTAGAGCAAAAATGAGTATCTCGGAAAATAAACTACTTGAGTAGAAAGTAATATATTTCATCAAGGTATTACGTTCATACGTAATCCTCAACAGGTAATAACAAATGTGAAGTGCACAATGATTGTCATGAAAGTGTCATTCAGAAATACGTGCTGTTATGCACTGTTAATCTCCTAAAACAGAGCAAGAAAAACTTTGTATCACTAGCAGAGCAGAGAGCCACTTCTGAAAGACGTCAGGTAGAATCAGAAGCGTTGTCTAGTTTGGCCACGATCAACTCCAGCAGCCATGTCACAACCGGAGCACACACAGCTGCGCCCCATGGAATCCAAAGGAGAAGCTTGGACACAGTCTGTATTGTATGTGTATCAGTGTCCAAAACATAAACTCTGTTCCAACTGTGGTACTATGATGAGCTAGTGGACTATCTTATCACTTGCTATCAGACTATTGCTGTTAGGAGTGTGAGTTCAAGTGGATATAAAAATTATTTATAACTAAATGTATCAGTAAAATTAGCAAGAAGTATGTAGCACAATGGAAGAGTATGAGTACATATATTTGATAGCAAAAAAAATACTTAGGTACATGTAACACATTACTACCCACCACTGTGTATAACTAACTGTATCTAAATAAGCCTAAATGCAGCCAATGATGTATGATGAAAAAGTGTCTGAAGCAGAAAACCAACCTGACTGAGTCAGAAGTTGAGCAGTGGTAAATATTGAGAATAAAACATGCTCACATTTGTCCTCGTCCACACCATTTTGGCAGTCCTTCTTCCCGTCACACCTCCATGACAGAGGGATGCACTGACTGCTGTCTCCACACTGCCACTGGTATTCCCTGCACTTTGCCGGTGATGACGCGCAGTTCTGGATACAAATGAAGAGACCATGTGTCAACTAGGGATGCACAGATTCTACTTTTTAGTCTCCGTACTGATACAGACACCTGGGACTTGGGTTTTAGTCGATAGAGAGTACCAATCCAGGACCAGTGAGAGTGACTGGGATCGTTCCTTAATGCATAAGATAACATCAAATTTGACTTAAGCATTGCTTTCCTAACTTTACAAAACCAACTGTAACAAATAAGTACATAGATCTAAATTTACTAAGTTGTTTTTTATTTAAATATTAAATTGTGCACCAGCAACTAGGCAAAAAATGTTCAGAATTAACAGGAATTGCAATTTAACGTTTTAAATGCAGAAACAAATTGGTCAAAACATGAACAGGAATTAAAATTCCAGTATAAAACAATACAACTGCATAAAATGTGAACAAAATGCAGTCTACTGGTGCACTGGTGATGCATGACATAGTAGGAGCACATGTATGGAGCTACATTGGGGTCAAATGTTTTGTACTTGAAAAAATAAAATTTGAAACTGAAAATTCATGTGTTGATCTTGAATTTTGAAAAATACAACAATGTATTCAAAATAAAAATAAGTATATGAAACGTTTTTTCAGGTTAAGTATAATTTTGATTCACTTTGGTAATTCTTTTGAATGAATAATTTATTTTCACTTTTCACTTCCATATATATATTTTAACATTTGAGGTCTTATTTTTTTCAGTTGCATGTTTTATCTTTTCAGATTCAGATCTTATTTTTTACAGTTTCAAATCTTATTTTTTCACTTTCAAATCTTTTTTTCACTTTCAGATCTTTTTTTTTCCAGTTTCAGACTTTTGACCCTGATGTGGCGTGGGGGGCGTGGCATCAACTGAGAGGGGTGTGGAATCATGAGTGACAGTGCCTTCAGGGAACGTAGGAACTAAAAAAATTCTGACTCAACATATACACCATATTCATGTGACTGGCAGTGTAAAAATTGATGCCAGTGACAAACTTCCATTTCGAAATCTGCGTTCACAGTGCTATGTGGAAATCGGACATATCAGCACTTAAAATGTGGCTGTTGAACTGCAAAATCTGGCATAATTTATCGGTCTTATACCACAATTGGTGCTCAGTACTGTCTAAAACAGATTTCTAAATGGAAGTTTGTCACTGGCATCAATTTTTACACTGCCAGTCACATGAATATGGTGTATATAAGTGTTGAGTCAGAATTTTTTTAGTTCCTACGTTCCCTGAAGGCACTGTCACTCATGATTCCACACCCCTCTCAGTTGATGCCACGCCCCCCACGCCACATCAGGGTCAAAAGTCTGAAACTGGAAAAAAAAAGATCTGAAAGTGAAAAAAAGATTTGAAAGTGAAAAAATAAGATTTGAAACTGTAAAAAATAAGATCTGAATCTGAAAAGATAAAACATGCAACTGAAAAAAATAAGACCTCAAATGTTAAAATATATATGGAAGTGAAAAGTGAAAATAAATTATTCATTCAAAAGAATTACCAAAGTGAATCAAAATTCTATTTAACCTGAAAAAACGTTTCATTTACTTATTTTTATTTTGAATACATTGTTGTATTTTTCAAAATTCAAGATCAACACATGAATTTTCAGTTTCAAATTTTATTTTTTCAAGTACAAAACATTTGACCCTAATGTAGCTCCATACACATGTAAACAGAAGTAAATACTGAATTGAATTAAATAGTTTGTCCCAGATGTCACCATATCCAACACGCATCAGCTCAATATCCACAAGCAGTGTTGGTGTATCCCTAGTTTCAACAACTGCTTTCTGACCTCACTCCAAAAAGCACATGCATTATACCAAAAAAAAAAAAAAAGATTAATTGAGAAGCATGTAAAACCTCAATTTATTCCTCTACTTATTAATACAGATTTACTTCACCTCACTCCAGCTGTAGCACCTTACCTTCTCGTCTGACCCGTCTTTGCAGTCTTCTTCGCCATCACACAGCCACTCTCTCTGAAGGCATTCATGGCTGTGCGGACACTGGAGCTGTGACGGGCAGCGCGGGGGTCTTGTGCAATGCGTCTCATCAGAGTGGTCACCGCAGTCAGCATATCCGTCACATCTCAGAGCCTCAGACACACACTGACCGCTCATACAGCGATACTGGTTAATGGCACAAGGCACCAAACCTGGACATAAGAAACACAGATATCATCTGATGTTTGCAGACAAGTTTAATATTCATCTTCATTTTCTAAACATTTCATTTCCAAACATTCACCTACCACACTGTGATTCATCTGACCCATCGGCACAGTCTCTCTCGCCATCACACAAGAAGGTGTCTGGTATACAGCGAGTGTTGTTATCGCAGCGATGATGGCAGCCCTCCATCTGTTTCGAACAGTCCAGTTCATCGGATCGGTCCTGACAGTCGTACTCCCCGTCACACACCTTCACTGGTGGGATGCATCTATTCCCGTGAGCACACTGGAACTCATCTGGGAGACAGAAAAGAGACTCCTCAAAAGATTATCCATGGATGTAGAGCATCTGTTTTTGTAAATGGATGCTCTACATCCATGAATCCACACTTTGGTAGTTTCCTGGAACATGGTTAAATCTAGCTGCTCTGGACTAAAAAGAAATTCAATCTAGAAATCCATCCAAAATTTCCCAAGAAAAGCCAGAGAAACTCAAAGCTTCATCCACAATAAACTCAAAGAAAAGGTCATTAGTGTGTCCACTGATACACTGATACTGTGTTTGGTGTCAATCTAACTGTCACAAGCTATGCAGATTCAGGTGGAATTTGATGGAAAGTACGACACAGAATGAAATGCAGCTACAGCAAAGACTGGGAAACTATTAACCACTGGGTGAAGCCGCAGAAGTGCGATCCCCTGAGAGGGGAATACGATTTGAACTTAGACTATAAACTCAGACCATAAAAATAAGTGGACATAGCTACCATGATGTAAACCACTGGTTTTTGGATAGCCATTTTGAAGCCTTGAGTATTGCATTTTCACTATTTAAAGTTTTTTGGAGCCAGAAGTGACCATATTTATCACAAGAGGCTGGACTTGAGAAGAAGCGAGAGGTGGATCCAACTTACAGACTGTAGTGGCGCCTCACAAACAGCCTGTCACTTGAAGCTGCTACGCCCTTAAATATGCGCAGCTTTAAGCCTTAATAGCACATACACAGATGAGTTAAATAAAATGTCACCCTCCATACAGCTGTCAAGAATGCTGATATTAGCTATGGAGACCAAATCCATTTTTTGTGCCAGGCTGTAAACATGTTTATGACTGCTGTAAAGTTGGGCATTTTAACATGGGGGTCTATGGAGATTGACTAGCTTGAGCCAGCCTCAAGTGGCCATTGAAGGAACTGCAGGTTTTGGCCCTTTCACGTGGGCTTCATTTTTCAGCCCCAGAGGTAGTCTCGCCACCAGACAATCAGAGATCCCCGTCTTCTGATAGTCTGGGGACACTCCTTTCTAAAGTGTGTTTAACACACCTGAGAAAACGGCCGGTAACAAAGCAACGCCTCTTGCATTTTTGAAAAGGACACGCCCTCCCGGAAATGTGCGCTCCCCCTTTTCTCGTCTGCAAGGACACAAACACACAGAGAGCTTGAAAATGGATGCTGAGAGATTTAACTCCGTTTTATCAAACGTGTGCTCAGTCCACAAGATTGTGGAAATGAAGGACTTACAGCGACTTGTTTAAAACTTTTAACGCACAAGAGTTCAGTGAGCCACCAAAGGACCGCCCTGCGGATTTACTATTGGTTCTGCAACGTAGGGAGTTTTTTTAAACTCTGAAATTGTATCTGCCCATCTAAACACAAAATCAGGGAGAAAGACATCAGTCTTAAGTGAAGCAAAGCGTCTAAAGACTGACTTGTGAGTCTACCCCGGAGGATGCTGCTTGGTTTTGAAGTGACACAGAAAAGGTAAATCTCACAAGAAATGCGTGGTTTAAAAGGAGATGTAATAATCTATGGATGCATTACCACTGAAACCCAGAAATGATTACCAGACACATGAAAGTGCATCTAAAATAATTATTGTTTACCACACTGTGCAGCACAAGAGACAGAAGAGAAATGTTTATTTCTTAAGTTAAATAGAAGTTATATCAAAATCTTAGAGTATCTTTCAGCATTGGACACACTCTGTCTTGGTCACCTTACTAAACAGACATTTCCCATGTGACAGAGAGCAGTTTAAGGCATCACTCTATGCTGCTTTTCACCAGCTCGATACATATAACAAACCTGCTTTGCATTTAGCAGCACATCCCTCTTCGTCTGATCCATCTGAGCAGTCCCTCTCTCCATCACACACGTGGCTGTACATAACACACTCCAGGCCGTCTTTACATGGCTTGAAACCTTTGCGGCACCTTAGTGGGGCAGCTCTGGCACTGGGCACATCGTTGGAAGCTTGGCAGAGAGAAAATTATGCATTTAATAGGTTATTAAGACATGGATTCTGAGAGCTGGGCTAGTAAACAGTCAGGAATTGATTTCTTTGTTAAGCAAATGATTACATGAGGTTGAAATGAAAGCTAAACAGTTGGTAGTGTGTTGCTATATTTTACACAGCAAGCACATCAAGCATGAAACACAACAGCAGGGTGTATTGCCTAGCTAGATTTACAACTGCTGTAGGATCAATAAAATGTTCTTGCACTGCATCTACTGCTTTTACACGTTATTGTCATACTGTATTTTTGTTGTAGGCTTACTGGGAGCAGTTCGATCTGCTGACTGACACTGCTTCTCATCTGAGCCGTCGGGACAGTGGGCACGGCCGTCACATACTTCCTTCTTGGGGATGCACATCCTCCGGTCGCTGCATAAGAAGTCACCTGATGTGCAGAGGGAAGAGGTAAAAACAGGGAAAGGGAAAGATATGTACTCTGAAATCCTTTACATAGGATTTCAAAGCTGCCCACAGAGAAGAATCTCAGTTGAGAAAGAGTAGTCAACCTCGAGGACTCCTACTTTTTTTCTTTGAAATTCTCCCACAGAGAGTCAATGCCATCAGTAGGATACCAGATACTAGGGCTGTACCAAATGTCTTTTTTTTTTTTTTTTTTTTTAACATTCAAAGCTTCTATTGTGGTTGTCAAATGAAGCTTTGAATGTCTGTCGTCATATTTTAGGACGTCATCAACCTTACAAAAAAAAAATCCTTGATTTGAATAAGTGATTCATCAGATTAAATTAGTCTTTTTTAAATTATATCAACTTTCTTAAAAAAAAAAAAAAAATATATCATTCAGCTGTTTTATCATTGGTAGACTGCCCTGTTAATATGTGTGTGTGCCAGTGGGGAGAACAAACAGTTTTTTGGCTGCAGTGCAAATGTGGTTTTACAAATCTGGACTGAAGAAGAATATTTCATCAGATAAAAACGTGATTACATCCATCCTTTTCTAACAAGTTTTGACTTTTGGACTTTATGATGCACTGGAGTAATTAGAAATGTTGGATCACACAAGCCAGAAACAATCTCACACATCCACCAAGCATTTGCAGATCCTAATTCTACAAATGGTATAATACATATATTAGCGTAGGCTAATCTGTGTCTGCATCTGTGCAGAAAAACCTCATTTAAACAAAATGAATAAGCTGCACAGCAAACGTGAAAGTTGATTTAAAACTAGTCCATACCCATTGAGTACAGTATACCATACCTTGAGTTAGTCATACCAAAAATTAGGAAAAAAAACCCAAACATTCGGCCACAGGGGGAGCCACAGCAATCGGTCGCATTTTAGCCATTTTGAAGCATTTTTCTGTTGTTATAGCGCCACCCAGTTGCCAATTAGAGTTAAATTTCTCCAGTCACCTTGAGGCGTCCTGTTCTACATATCTACCAAGTTTAGTAAAAATTGATATGGTGGTTAGGCCTAGATAAGAAATTAGCTCTATAGCGCCCCCATTTTGTTTGATCGGGTCAATAATGGAGGAGTCCCGTCAGATTATGTGTGGTCATATGCCTACAAAACTGCGTGGTGATCGGTGAAACCCTTGAGATGTTATACACCTTTATGTGATGAGCCACGCCCTCCGCAATATTCATTGCCTTATAGAAGCTCAGTTTTAGTAAGTTTTCCAACTTTTGCCAAGAGGGAACTTTAGATATTGGTCCCTAGATTATGTTCACCAAGTTTCATGCAGATCGGTCAAACTTCCTAGGAAGAGATCAATTTTAAGTGTTTTTCAAAAAATTCAAAATGGCGGAAAATCTATATAAGTTATATATAAGTTATGGGTTCTTGTGCAAAGTTTCATGTCTCTACGACATATGGGACATGACATATGCCCATTCAAAGTTTGCAATTTCAATTTGTTGCTATAGCGCCCCCCTTTGGCCAATTGATGTAATATTGCTTCATTCGCATCCTCCCATGACCCTCTACCACTGTGCCAAATTTCACATGGATTGACCAAGTCAGTGAGGAGAAAACAGACAAGCCCGCACACACACCCACACCCACAGACTAGTCTCGCTCACCAGACCTTTCTCAAGAAAAGAAAGGTCTGGCTGGGCCGACTCTCACTTTAAGATTGGAGAAAAAAACGCCCCGGCTGCTTGTATTTCTTTCAACCAATCACAATTGTTCTGGGCGGTGCCACAGCAATGGTGCGCTTGCAAAAATATTGCCGGGTGGAAACAGGTTTTGGTGTAACATGCCCACAAAAATATCGCCTACAGGACACGAACCATGGCAGAAAAATGGCTACATCCCCGCAATATCAAACACCGCAAAAGTTAGTAAAGGACGTGTTGAAAACTGCAACCGGAGGTGGTAGGGCGGGACTTCAGTGGGTGACTCGTTCCACCCAATGAGAGGCTATGCAGCGAACTTCCACCCACTCAGACTAGAGTTTTCGATATTATATAGATAAGATTTGACTGTCATACCCAAAAAGAGCATAAATATGACAAAAGTGAACAAATAATGATAGCTAGCTCACCAAAAGATCAATCGCAATGTCTTGGAAAAGACTAAAAGACCAAGTTTTACATACTGGGTTAGACAAATGCTCATCGCTTTTCCATTAGAGGGAGTAACATACATACATACGAAAAGGAAATGGGGTATGTTTTAAAAGGTTTGGAGATCATTTGCTGCTTTTGTTCAATGTGATTTAACTAGATGATAAAGAGAAAGAATAAGTACTCCGTAATAGAAACCTCAAAATATTTTTAATTTGAGCTCAATTTTTTTGGAGATAAGGAAATAATTTTAATGGTAACAAGTTTTTAAGTATTATGCAAGTACAAAATATGGCAGGACTAAGACTTACCTGGATTTTTGCATTGGACCACACATGTATTCTCATCAAATCCATCAGGACAGTCTCTTTGTCCATCACACAGCTGATTTTGAGAGATACACAGTGATGAACCTGGACAGAGAATTGATGGAGTGATGCAAGTCGGTGCGGGAGGGGGAATAGGAGACTCTGTTGTTGCCACAGTAACCGGGTCTGGAAATGAGAAAACTACATATTAAACGTAAAGTAAGCCTAGACAAATAAATGTGCATATAAAAGTAAAAAATGTGGCTCAGTTTATTCTGTTCCTTTCCATTGCTACATTTTTACCTCTAACCATAAATCACAGCTTTCAAACTTTTACTGGAGCTAGGAATTTTGCAGCCACATTAGCCTCGTCAACAGTGGATGAATATTTGAAAACTGGATCTGAAGACTTACTGCAGCCCACCTCATCCGTGCCATCCAGGCAGTCTCTCTCTCCGTCACACAGGAATGTCTTTGGGATGCAGCGCTTGCCGTCGGCGCATCGATGCTCGCAGCTCTTGGTTGGTTTCCAGCAGTCCAGTTCATCAGACTGGTCCCGGCACTGCGACTTGCCATCACAGACCTCAGCCTCAGAGATGCACATGTTCCCATGGGAGCACTGAAACTCACCTGGAGTGGAGAATAAAAGGTATGACTTGAATGAAGCAGCATTACAGCTAATGTCTAAAGTGCTCAGTTAAAGAACGTTTGTGTCCTGTCCTCTTGTGTCCATATGATTTTATTGATTAGTTTTAGGAGTTGTAGAGAGTAAAACAAAAAGATAAATGTCATGAAGGGTTAAAATAATGTTGCTTTAATGTTACAGTAAAACAGTAAAGTAAAACTTCAAATGTTTAAAGTGAAACAACCTTGTTTGCAGGTGTCTGGGCATCCCTGTTCATCCGATCCATCTCTGCAGTCTCTCTCTCCGTCACATACGTGGCTGTATAAAACACACTCTGTGCCGTCATTACACGGCTTTGCGCCCACACGGCACTTCAAGACATTTGCTGGAGCTGCAGGCGGAGCAACGCTCGGACAGTTGACCTCATCTGAGCCATCGTGGCAGTGAGAGCGGCCGTCACAAACCAGGCTCTTTGAGACGCAGCTCCTGCGGTCTTTGCAGCGGAAGTCAGCTGTGGAGGGTGAAAGAATGTTAAAATACATGAGTGGAATTGAATCAAATTTTCTCGGTACTTCAAATTGTGTAGAATAAGTATTTAGATTGTTATGCTGGATCACACCACTGCTTGACCACAGTGACACATCCCAACAAACACTGGTTGGATGGTGACGTGTTTCTGGTCAAAAATGGTCCCAGTGGTCATGAGGCAGACAGCCAGATGGTGACATTGTTTCCCCAGCTAATAATAGTCCATTCAGACCTTCTCTTACAACCTTATGACAGTTTATTAGTTTGGTTGTCAATGGTTGTGATCAGAAGGGCACACTTTAATGTGGTCCCTGCTTTCACTACTCTTCTGGAGAGACGATTGATCCCTCTAAATTGGAAGCAACGCGCTCCCCCATCCTTTTCTCATTGGATCAGAGATCTTGTGTATTTCTTAAAGCTAGAAAAAAATCAAATACACACTCAAAAGGTCCTCCCAAACCTTTATTAAGATATGGAGACTCTTTTGGGACTCCCCATGATAAAGAATAGGGTGGTACCTGTAAATGTTGCATTTCAGCATCCTTCTCATCCTTCTTTTTACATTTGTTTGAGTAATTAATATAATTATTTGTTGAAGTTATGTTCATTTCCCCTCTTCACCTGAATGTATTTTGTAACCTGCAATCCTATGAGTGGGTGGGTAGGGTGGTGGGGATGGAATCAGGGACTTGGATTTCAACTTGTCAACATATAACAAGAACATTTCTTTATAATCAGGGGAGGAGTGGCTGAATTGAGGTCAAATATACATGTTTTGTATCTTTTCTGTGGGATAAAGACGTCAAAAATCCGCTCCACATCCAATGACTGGTATTACTTGATGCCCATTTTCTGAATATTAAAGAATTGTTTATGCTATTTATGTACATCTGCATGTAAATGATATTGTGCCATCGTTTTAAGCCTGAGGTGTCTGTGAGAGCCAAAACTCTTAATCCAAACTGCCTTTGATCGCACATGAAAGCAGCAGCCATTGGCGCTTTGTCCCAGAAAGTCAGGTGATGTTGTATGAAGTATGAAGTCCATATAAATGGTATGTTGTTGTTGTTGTTTTAACTTTATTGCTTTATTACAATTTCTTGTCATTACTGTCTGCCCTGCATCTCTCTCTGTCTCTCTTTATCTATCATTTTGTCATATGGATAACTGCAAATCTATTCTGTATGACACGTCCGTCCATCCTGGAGGAGGGATCCCTCCTCAGATGCTCTTCTTGAGGTTTCTACCATTTGTTCTCCTGTCAAAGGTTTTTTTGGGAGTTTTTCCTTATCCACTGTGAGGGTCCATATCCAGAGGGATGTCATATGCTGTAAAGCCCTCTGAGGCAAATTGTGATTTGTGATATTGGGCTTTATAAATAAAATTGAATTGAATAAACATACAAAAACAAAACAAAACAAAACTGGAGTGTCACTGAGGTAAATTACAAATACATAGGGCATTACAGTACTCATCCTAGCCGTCACTTAAAACACGTTTGCCATGATCATCAAGAGATTTAGGTAGTGTCTCTGCAGTGAGCCTTGTATTCAGTCCACTTGGTCCAGTCACAGTAGAACAGTAAGTTTCAGTGGATGAATGGATAGAGCACAGGACTTTCATCCAGGAGACAGGGGTTTGAGTCCTATATGGTCCAACACTGGTATATTTTTGGTCGTGTTAATGTCCCTTTTTAATGTTAACACAATGCTTTGACATCTGCACTCATTCTGGAAGACAATAACTGGATGTCTTGATTGGACATTCAAATAACAGTTTTCAATGTTGCAATGTTTTCTGAGATGTCATGTAAATTCAATTTCAAATAACCAAATACAATATCTCAATGACTTACTTCTGTCAGGGCATCTCTTCACACAGTTCTCATCAGATCCATCAGGGCAGTCTCTCTTCCCATCACATATCTGTGTTGGTTTGATGCATAAAGAAGAACCAGGACACAGAAATGAAAGGCTGCTGCAGGACGGCTTGGTGGGAGGCTGAGTAGATGGCTCCACTGGTGCAGGAGATTCATTTGAGTGGAGATTTTCTGCAAGAATGGTAGAGCCAGTGTGTGCAGCATCTAGAAATATTACACCAACAGTTAGGTACATAAACAGCAAAGCCTCTCTACAAACCTCTTTTAAATGTTTTATCTTTGTAAGCCCTTGAATGAATACTCACCACATCCTTCTTCATCTGATCCATCTCTGCAGTCTCTCTCTCCGTCACAAACATGACTGAAGAGAACACACTCTGTCCCATCTTTACACAGTCTGGAGCCCATGCGACACTTCAGGGCGTTTGCTCGAGCTGCTGGGGCAGCTGCGCTCGGACAGTTGACCTCATCTGAGCCATCGTGGCAGTGAGAGCGACCGTCACAAACCAGGCTCTTTGAGACGCAGCTCCTGCGGTCCTTGCATAGAAAATCAGCTGAAGAGGAAGGCATTTAATTTATCAAACAATATCCAAAAGAACAAAACAACAAATACATAACCATCCACTTTTCCTTGGTGGTTAAGATCAGAGTGAAATCTGACGACTTACTTCTGTAAGGGCATCTTTTCACGCAGTTCTCATCAGAGCCATCGGGGCAGTCTCTCATTCCATCACATATCTGTGTTGGTCTAATGCAAAAAGAAGAGCCTGGGCACTGAAATGAAAGGCTGGTGCAGGACGGCTTGGAGGGAGGCTCAGTTAAGGGTGTGACAGGTGAAGGGGATTTATTTAAGCTGACATTTTCTGTAGCAGTGATAGGAGCATCCTCTGCAGCATCTAAAAATCAAACAGTGAATTAAAGTTTTAGGTTCAATGTCAAAACATCCAAATATCATCACCATATGACTACACTAGTAATAAATACCATGCATATAAGTCTAAACTTCAAGATTTCTAGTGGTCTTTATCATAAGCTGCTGGTTTCATTGTCATTTCTCAACCCCACCAGGATGTGGAGATCGCAACTTAATGCAAATTTAACCAATCAACCAGCCAACTCAATTGTCTGATTTTGGTTGTGAAGATGTGGACATCAGGCAACATGAACAACTCTTTACCAACAAAAATTACTGTCAGAGATAATGAAAGACATTTCCCTGATGTGCTGCATGAAAATGGGGGCACATTGTTTTGCACTGTGTGCAACATTGTGGTGGAACACAAGCAAAAGTCTTTGATTGAGAAATACTTTTGTACCCCAAAGCACAGCTGAAGAATGGCTGAAATGCGTGGACAATGGATAAGACAAACTGCGATGACAGAGGCTGTTACATCTCAAGATCCCTTATATTAAATACACATGGTAAATGGTAACGTTAGCATGATATAAACTTCATACTACAAACAGTAAATTTTTTTACTCACGCTGGTTGTTTAGTTGCTTTCAATTTTAATGAATTATAGAAAAAAATGCAAATATTTCCTCAATTTTCTCTTACTCCTGTCATTTCATTGCCATAAAAAGCCTAAAAACATTGAAACATACATCACAATTTTTTAGAAAAGCTGCAGTGAAATCATGCATCAAAAAGAGCCTGTGAAATCCTGGGAGTGATTTATGAATTTTGATTCTTAGCGATAATCTTGCATTTATACTAATCTCTGAAAATGATTATGAAAATTATACCTTTAAAAAGAAACCAGTATCACCGTTAATATATATTTAATTCAAAAGAATAGCTACATAAATATGAAAAGTTACCAGGCAATTTTAAGAATGGAACGATGCAACTTTTTAAGCAACAAGTTTTTGATTATTGCAGAAAATCTGACAGAGAATTCTCCTGCTTATTCACAGATCATGCTCATCTAAAAACCACCTTCTCGGGGCGTCGGTGGCTTAGTGGTAGAGCAGGCGCCCCATGTACAAGACTGTTGCTGCAGCTGCCTGGGTTCGACTCCAGCCCTTTGCTGCATGTCAGTCCCTCTCTCTCTCCCCCTTTCACGCTTGTCTGTCCTATCAAATAAAGGCTAAAAATGCCCCAAAAAATATCTTTATTAAAAAAAAAAAAAAAAAAAAAACACCTTCTCACAAGGACTCACCACATCCTTCTTCATCTGACCCGTCCCGGCAGTCTCTCTCTCCGTCACAAACATGACTGAAGAGAACACACTCTGTCCCATCTTTACACAGTCTGGAGCCCATACGACACTTCAGGACGTTGGCTTGAGCTGCTGGGGGAGCTACCCTTGCACAGTTGACCTCATCTGAGCCATCGTGGCAGTGAGAGCGACCGTCACAAACCAGACTCTTTGAGATGCAGCTCCTGCGGTCTTTGCAGCGGAAGTCAGCTATGAAGGGTAAAAGAATAGTGAAAGACATGCCTGGAACTGTATCAGATTTACTTCACATTTACATAATGAATTCCGACACTTTCAAAGAACCAAATACAATAACTTAATGACTTACTCTTGTCAGGGCATCTCTTCACACAGTTCTCATCAGATCCATCAGGGCAGTCTCTCTTCCCATCACATATCTGTGTTGGCTTGATGCATAAAGAAGAATCTGGGCACAGAAATGAAGGGCTGGTGCAGGACGGCTTGGTGGGAGGCTGAGTAGATGGCTCCACTGGTGCAGGAGATTCATTTAAGTGGAGATTTTCTGCAAGAATGGTAGAGTCAGTGTGTGCAGCATGTAGAAATATTACACAAAAGCCCCTATCACATTTATTACCTTTGTAAACCCTTGAATGAATACTTACCACATCCTTCTTCATCTGATCCATCTCGGCAGTCTCTCTCTCTGTCACAAACGTGACTGAAGAGAACACATTCTGTCCCATCTCGACACATTTTGGAGCCCATACGACACTTTATGACGTTAACTCGAGCTGCAGGAGGACTTGCACTTGGACAGTTGACCTCATCTGAGCCATCGTGGCAATGAGAGCGGCCGTCACAAACCAGATCTTTGGAAATGCAGCTCCTACGGTCTTTGCAGCGGAAGTCATCTGTAAAAAAGTTATGTAAAACAATCAAGCTCACCAAGTTTCAAGACACTTTGAAAGAAGCCATTTTTACTCCACATTCAAGGCTTACTTTTAGAGGGGCATCTTTTGACGCAGTTCCGCTCATCAAAGCCATCGGGACAATCTTTACGCCCGTTGCAAAACTGGCTTGGAGAAATGCAGAGGTGAGCAGCAGAATTGGGGCAGAGCACAGACGGGCTGCTGCAGGCCGGCACAGTTGGAGCAGGTGGTTTGTTGGCAGGTGGCATTTTGTTTGGTTTTGTTGGAGTCATGGTCTCTTCTGTGGCATCTTGGGAGATACAGCAGTAATCACACAGTAAAATTAAACCAAAAAAGAAGTTTAAATTAGTATGTTACATACGCTACCACAGACTTAACTGCAGTCTTTTCCAATAAGTGAAATTACATTTGGAGAAACTCACCACATCCTTCTTCATCTGATCCATCACGACAGTCCTTTTCTCCATCACACACATGGCTGTATAAAACACACTCAGTACCGTCTTTACACAGCTTCGAGCCTGTGCGACACTTCAGGATGCTCACCCGAGCTGCAGGAGAAGCTACAGTTCGACAGTCGACCTCATCTGATCCATCCCGACAGTCCCTTTCCCCGTCACACACATGGCTGTATAAAACACACTCAGTGCCGTCTTTACATGGCTTTGAGCCTGTTCGGCACTCTAGGGTGTTAGCCTGAGCTGTAGGAGAACCTGTGGTCGGACAATCATCCTCATCTGATCCATCCTGACAGTCCCTTTCCCCATCACACACGTGGCCGTATAGAACACACTCTGTGCCGTCTTTGCATGGCTTCGAGCCTGTGCGACACTTCAGGACGTTTGCCCGAGCTGTAGGAGAACCTGTGGTCGGACAATCATCCTCATCTGATCCATCGCGACAATGAGAACGACCGTCACATACCAGACTCCTTGAGATACAACTCCTTGAGTCCTTGCACTTGAAATCATCTAAGATTGGAAATTAACAAAGAAAACAGAAGATTACGGTAAAGTTAAAGTTATCAGTCAAGCCTGTGGTAAATTTGTTCACCACTCACATGGTTTAAGAACTGCACGCAGTGGTTAAACAAATCTAACAGTGATGTTGATACTTAACCTTTAGATGGACATGTCGTTACACAAGCATCCTCATCATCTCCATCAGGACAGTCCTTTTTACCGTCACACAGCTGGGCTTGTGAAATGCAGACTGATGTGTGTCGGCACAGCATAGAGGGCTCATTGCAGACTGGAGTATCGGGCACTAGTTAAAGTTAAAATAATTGGAACTGAGAAAATTAAGTATTTCAGAGTAAAAATCTATGGCTTTCATATTATTTCCTCTGATAATGATCCCTCTTTAATCAAATCAGAAGCGTTTCTGTGTGCTCTTGAAAATACTTGCTGTAAACTGGCTAGTTGTGTGCAACTGTGCAGCTAAAATGAGCCATGACAGTTACCAGAGATTGACAAAAAGTTGGCACCTCAAACAGAAATTTCAACAGAAAATCCAAGAAAAATAACTAACAGGACTCAGACTGACCTATAGGAATGTCCATCATTGCAGCGATCACACTGAACACATGATCTCTCACAATCATCTCTCGTATGAAGCTCCCATCACGCCGGTCCCACAGTCTCATCACATCATCAGAGAGGGTCAACAGGAAGGGCTCAAATGCAGCTACGACTGAGCCCGAAATGTTCCATCTTCTACCAGCTCGATGGCTCTTTTCCTGCAGCAAACTCATCGTTGTCAGACCTGCAAATGTGAGAGCAAACTCATTTACCAGGCCTGTACCAGAGAAACATTCACTCTCAGAGATGATAAATTAGGTCTGACAAACCATCCAACATCACTAGATTAAAAAGGTCTTGATTGTTGCAATCTCTGCACACAAGGAGGTTCAAACCCTGCCAACCTGGGTTTGAACCTTATATTTGGAATAATAGTGGAATGTTTGTGTGCATGTTAACATAGTCACATCTTGTTTCATAATGCACACTTCATCTTCTAAAACACTTTCTATATTTCAGTGCTTTGCAAACAATTCAACTTGTATTGCTTCAAGCTCTTACTGCTGAGTCACAGCTGGCGAGCTGAACATTTCATTTTATTCCATCTTATCTACAGATGTAACACACAGACCTGCTCCTTTTGAGTTCCAGAGCAGACTATTTGCCCTGAGGTCGAAGGCGATGTTCCCCGTGACTCCTCCTGCTAACTGCAGCAGCTCTTTGGCTTTGCCTCCCATCATGCTCATGCTGAGGACTCGGTCTTCCTCCAGCCAGAGGATGCCACCCCTCAGCCAGTCCAGATACAGGTCTCGAATCTCCTTTGTTGTGTGGTACAGCTGCTGTGGGTATCGGCCGCCGGCTGTAGTGGTGCCAATGCTGTTTTGCTCACATGACACCCAATAAATGTTCCCTCTCCTCTGGTCTACTTTTATCAGACAAACTAAAGAGACAAAAAGAGGAGTGTGAGTTTGCAGAAAGCTGTAATGAGACCAAGTAGCCAGCTGGTTTATAGCTTATCCAAGAGGCACAACACCAAAAACTAAAATACAGCAAGACAAAAAGCCAAACGAGAGTGAATCTGGGGTTGGCTTTGACTTCCACTTTTGCTGCATCATAAACCTTTAGTCTATTTAAATAATTTAATTTTCTGTCAGTTGACTGAGTGATAATACAGTGACTATTGCTCTCTTAGTTGTCTGTACAAGCCAAGGAAAACCCAAAGCATTAACCTGGCAAAGGCGTAGGGACCACCTCAGTCTTGACCTGAGTTAGACTGGTGCGTTGGATGTGCCCAGTTTGGTTAGCCCAGTACAGCCAGTCTCTGTACCAGTCCAGATCAAATGACAGGATGCCGTCTTCAGTGGAAAACAGCTGGACTTTTGTGGACTCTCTGCCTTTAAACTCCAGCAGGTTGATGTTGCTGATGGTAGCGTATATAAACCTTGGATCTATGGGACAAAAATGAGTTAACACATTTTAATGATGCCTTAAAGGACTACAGAAAATTACTGTTAATCCCATAATGGCATGAAACAGTCTGGCAGGACTGGGTAAAATTTATGTTACTTAAGTTCAGGCAAGTCAAAACAAAGTTATGGTGAACCTACATTCACATGTCCCATCAAGCAGCAATACTTTGGAGTTTGGACAAGAGCAGGTGAATCCGACAGGGTTGCCTTTAGTTAGCTGGCAGAGGTGACACAGACTCTTTGTACATGCAGAAGAACCTGATTGATGACAACAAGGCATTTTGAAATGTGAGTACTCTCTTTAGGTGTAGAAGAAACAACTATGACGACGACTTACAGTGGTCATCATAGTTATGACCATATTGCACACTGATATGATCAGTGCTGGTGTTTAATGACTTTGTTGGCGTCTCGTCATCGCCTCGTCTAAGTCATGGAAAAAAGTAATTGGCAACATATTTAGTCATGTTTCATTACCAAAATTAACACTGATTGGTACTGTAATTAAAATGAATTTAACTGGGTGCTAATTAATAAGGATCATGACATCTATTGTCAGTGGAAATTCAGAGAAGGAAAACCACTACCATTGAATAAAATGTTCCAGTAAGTACCTTGAGGCTGCTGTAGCTCGTGGTAAACAGCCAATATCGGCAGTGCGGCTTTCCAGAGAAATTGCTTCTGGTTTGGTGTGTTCTGGGGAACCTGCCACAGTCCTTTGTCGTCCACCCAGTAGAACGAACTTTCAAACACAGCCAGGCCGAGAGCCGGTCTCCTGTTGAACAGTCCTGTGAAGGAGTAACGACCGGTCCCGTCCATCTTCACCGTCTCTATAGACTGAATAAAATGCTTTGTATTTATGTTGTTGTGGCCTTATGTAATATTTCAAAATAATAGTAGTGATAGTAAAAAATAGTGAAAGATGAACATTTTGATTTTTTCCTCCCCGATTTGTGACGCTGCCTATGGATGACAACGCCCTTAGCATTCGCCTATACTGCCTACGCTATGGGCTGGCACTAATTCAACTCATATACTCCAGTGCATATGTGTCTTTCTTTAACTCACTTTCTTGAGGTCGCTGATCCAGTAAAGCCTCCTGGCAGCCACATCAGCAGTGAGGCTGTGGGCCGACTGAGCAGTGAGCACAATCAGAGGGCTTCTCTCCGACCCATCCATCCATGACTTCTCTATCGTCACTCTGTCACCTTGGCCAGCATTGATCCAGAACATCAAGCTGGGAGACAGAGCAGAGAATGACCTGTGTATCATCATCTCTTTGGGTTCATGCATGCCAGTTAGATGTTCATGTGTGCTGTGTACACACAGTAGCTCATTTCAATACTAAATTATAATCAGTTTCACCAGGTTCCACATACTGCCCATAAAAGTGGATGTAACATATCAAATGAGATTACTTTAAATCCTGTGTAGCAGACAGACTAAAAGCAGCATACCTCTCCACAGGCACAAGCACCAACTCTGATGGGCGGATGTGTTTGCTCAGCACTGTCGTGTAACTTTTGCCATCAGCTCCCTGCATGTAGATCGACTCTGTCTTCAGATTGGTCCAGAACAGGTTGCCATTCAGCCAATCACAAGCTAGACCCTTGATTCCAGGTTCCCCTGGGGGGGAAAAAATAAATCAATCATCAATTTTTTGTTAATAAATGTTGCTTTTTCTTCAACAGATGTGGTCCACATTACAATTTATTTACATGACGTGAATATCCCAACATGAAACTTCCACAAAATTTTGCAGTTCAGTCTAGGATGAGACATGGGATGCAAATTTGTGAGGGAAGCACAAACCATTTGTAGCACTGCACCAAATGGTTCGAAGGTTCAAAGCTTCATTCATTACACTGACGTTCAAATTCTGAATCAACATTTGAATGCTGTGCGGCCTATTTTTAATCATTTTTTTCATGGCAATTCATTCAGTTTAAACTTGGTATTTCTGCACAGTGGCAGATCAAATCAGTTTATTAAAACGGAGGATTTTGTTCAAGGATTTGCTTTTCAGGGTCAAGTCGTCATAAAACATGATGATGGACATTCAAAGCTTCACTCAAAAAATCCCCATAGAAGCTTCAAATATTAAAAAAGACATTTGGCACAGCCCTAGCTATTTGCTGTTTTCTTGTGATAAACTGAAAATTGAAGGTGTTTGAAGTCTCATTAAAAGTCATTTGGAAGATTGCTAAACTTGTGACGGATGATCACAAGTAGACATAGCTTTAATTTAGGGGGACACAAGCCAAAGGGCTTGGGAACCACTCTAGTAGACTATCAAAAAGAAAAACATGCCCATGGTTTCCACACATTTTTTCCAATGAATTTTGAAAATGTTTGCATAACTTTTCTATATTATTTCACCCAATAAATTTACTTAAGTAGTTTTAAATAGGCAAGCAGATCATTGGATGCAGCAACAGACTGGTTTAGCATTCGTTGAAGTTGTCCTCCAGCTATACAATGCTTTTCATGCAGGTAGAAGCGGTAACGTTTTCTGGCCTGGCTATGGCAGACGGCAAAATATGTGCAGAGGCTCAGTGTGTTGAGCGACGTTTTGGTTGTCTTAATGTTTTTTCCTTTTATTATGGCTGACCAGAGCTGCTTCCACCATACTGCTACAATCAAGTTTTTTTGTGCAGAGCCTTTGGTCAGCCTTTCTCTTGAGTCATGTAGTTTATTTGTTGTTCAAAAGCCATACATTATTAAATGAACACAGTGATTTACACAGAGGAAAACTGCTGGTGCTTCCTATCATGTGATACTACTGATGTTTAAATAGTCACACAGGGTAGCACTAGATTTTAAATCAGTAATCAGTATTTCACATTAAGCCAGACATGTTTTGGGATTTTCAAGAACATATTTTAAGCAAATAAATTGAAAATTTTCCAAATCATTCTGTTGATTCCAAGCAATTTCCAGGCCTGGAAAACTTTTCTTTAATTTCATGACTTTTCCAGGAATTTCATGACTGTGGTAACTCTGGATGCCATGACATCTTTACATTGCCAATCAGTGTGGCGACAGTATAACTGGTTATTTCATGTATGTATAAAACCAAAAAGAAAAAAAAAAATCCAACATTTTGGGTCAACTAACCAGTGTAGATTGTCCAGCTGTTCCGTCCATCACTTTTGATAATGCTGCCATGGTTGTCAGCCCAGTAGTACCAGCCTCGGGCAACGTCAAAAGTCAAGGCCACTGGGTCGGGCACTGGAGTGTGGATAACTTCAAACTGTTGAGTCTTCACATTCAGCAGCCCGATAGATCTCCTCTGCACTGTTAGCAGTCTGGTAGTGTTACCTGGACAAGGACATAGTGTGAATATTTAGATTAGAGCAAGTTTCACCTTCTGGTACTTCACCATCCCTTACTATATTTGGACAGAAAAAAAACCCCAATGACAATGCAGTAGTTCAGTTTTGTCCAACATCTGAAGTCACAATCTCTACTTTGATGTAACCGGATTGACGGTTTGTATTTGAAGTTACATCTTTGATCTTTTTGAACTTTTCTTTCTTGGTTTTGTCATTAGCTCAGTCACATCAAAGTGGCCCATTAACACGTCAATTATCTTTTGTCCAAGTGCACTTTGTGATGTTTGTTGTTGGGTTTGATCTTCTCAGAGGATGAAACTAAATCCAGAGTAGGTTAACATCATAAGCTGAGGACCAGCTCACCAACACTTACCAGCATCAGATCTGTACTTGCCTGCTGGTCAATGTGTCGAAGTATCCTGCCTTGTACTCAGTGTTATCCCTGGCTCAAGATGAGGCTAAGTTGGTACCAAAGAACTAGGAGGAAGGGCTATGACATGTTTATGTTGATCACATTAGATCTGGACAAACACTGAAAACTCTGCTCATTACCTGTAGCTAGACATGTGGAGCCTCCACTTAGTTTGAAGCCTTCTCTGCAGTGGCAATAGTAGGATCCGACGGTGTTAGTGCAGTGATGCATACATGGGGCAAAAGGAGGGGCACATTCATCCAAATCTGAAGAGAGAGAGAGACAGAGAGAGAGAGAGAGAGACAGAGAGAGAGAGAGAGAGACAGAGAGAGAGACAGAGAGACAGAGACAGAGAGAGAGAGAGAGAGAGAGAGAGAGAGAGAGAGAGAGAGAGGGTTTTAGCCTCATACGCATCAACACCCGATTTCAAAACAGATGATATATATACACAGATACAAAAGGAAGCTTCTTTAAACTCAGCATGCTCTTTAATGGAAAACTTCACCTGCAAAATTACCACTTGTTTATCAGTTGTTCTCCCTGTGTCATGCTGACTTTGTGAAGATAATTGTTTTGTTCACATGCCTCCAGTGAACGAAGAATTCAAAAGCAGAGAAAATTAGAAAGTCAATAGTGTGTTACCCTACACACCGTTGCAGACGGCTCCATTGGGAGAGAGTTTATATCCAACAGGACAGGCACACAGAGCTCCCCAGGGTTCATCAACACACACGTGGCTACAGCCGCCGTTGTTCATGGAGCAAATACGACCTGCAGGAGGGTGCTCAGCATTACAGAAATCAACACACTAAAAACATTAGGTTGAGACTCATCAACAGTAGTTGTGGTAAAACGTTAGTTTGTTGCTACAGTTGCTGTCATTGTAATTCAGGTAAATCTGCCCCAAACGTACCGCAGGTTAGTGGCTCATCACTTCCATCTGAGCAGTGAACCGTCCCATCACACCTCTGTTCAGCAGTCAGACACGTCCCATCAGGACACCGGATGCCATCCGCAACACACAGACCTAGAAGAGAACAGACAATAAGTACTCATACCCTGAGTTAGAGGCCATCTGTTTGTTGCCTCTCACACACCTATCCTGACTCTGTGTTCACTCTGCCTCCACGATCATGTTGGGCTAATTAATTAATCGAATAATAATGGAGTTATCACACTGATATGATAAAATTCAAAACGGTAAAACAAAATATGAATGATTCCAAGCAATATCACCTGGCTTGTCAGTGTATATCACATTATGGTCCACATCAGTGTGAATATCTGTTTATGTGGTAGCGTGCAGATGCAAATCATAGTGATAAAGTTCAATATTATTTGTCTTTAAAAGTGTAAATAAAAAAACTTCGGTGTAAAAACCAGCAAAACATCCAGTGTATTCAAATAAAAATGCATAAAAATGAATGTAAACTGTTCTGCACATTTAAAATGACTGCACCAAGTGACTGATTAAAGGGGTTAGTTCACCCAGATTACACATTGAACTTGTCAGTAACGACTTCCCGCTCTGAAACGTGGATGTAAAGACGTCTCGATCTTGTTGTAATTTGTTGAATTGTGGATTTTTGTCATCATGCAGGGGTTGTGATCATGTGAGCTCGAAACCTTTTACATCACCTTCAGGTGTTTGGCTATTTGGGATCTTAGGATCTTATATTCTGAAAGATTTCATTCTGAAACACAGTAACTCAGTCACTCCAACTACAGGAACAACAACAACTGATTCATCGTTAGACTGTTTTGGTAAAACCATAAAATTTGCTGGTTACAGCACGACAGAAATATTTTTGGTGATATGTTTTCCTTCCTTTGCCGTTTTAAATTTGAAAATAAAATGTAATAAAATATTTTTTAAAAAATATCCAAAATACTAAATCTATTTTTATTTATGTGAACTGTTGTTTTGTTTTGTGAACTGTTTCAGTTTTTAAATTAGTTTTCTTTCAATATGAATTTGGCAAAGAAATTAAATAAAATACATTTTTTGAAGATGAGGCTGCACTGAAGACATTTCAGAGATGGGACACCTGGAAAAATAAAACCAAACCTATGTATATTGCTACAGTAGACGCAACAAATGAATATAAAAATTTAAAATGTTTTTGTAAATTTGGGTGCACTAGCTCTTTAAATATGCTTCACTCTGTGGTGCCCTACAGTCTCACAGACTGACACTCTGTTTCCTGTAGCCCAGCATTCAACCCTTCATTTTCCTCACCACAGTTCTCTTCATCAGAGTTGTCCATGCAGTCATTCAGTCCATTGCAGTGCAGCTCTTTGGGGATGCAGATGTGGTTCCGACAGGTCCAGTCAGAGTCCAAACAGCCCTCTGTTGCTGCACAGTTCTCCTCATCAGAGCCGGTGGGACACTGTCTTTTTCCGTCACAGCGGGCCGATGCATCAACACAGCCAACAGAGTCCACACAAGGAAACTGTCCCAGCGGACATTCAGGAGAGCCTGGGAGTGCTGAAGGGAAGATACATTTTTTTTTATTTCATTTTACACACATTTTATCTTCTGCTACAAAAGTTCTGCACTACAAAAATTCTATTTCTTAGTAGCTGTCTGACTGACCTTTGATCAACACAACCAAATACACCACTGGTAACATGACAATCCTAAAGGAATACGTCACTCATAAATCGACCTTGTGTATATCAGTTAGTCATGCTGTGTTATCTTGAATCCATGACAAATGTTTTTCTCACATGCCTCAACGGAAAACACAGCAAGCATATTGATTTATTGATTGATTGGGGACCACATTTACTAACAGTAGAACTATATCAAAACAACTATTTACACACCCTCAAGTGCTGAATGGGGCAATTTATGAGTGCCAAGGGTTAAGAACAGTTGTTTAACACAGGGACAGGAAGTACACCTACCAGTGCAACCCATTTCATCTGATCCATCCAGGCAGTCTCCACCTCCGTCACATCTCCAGACATCGGGGATACAGTTTCCATCATCACACTGCCACTGGCCCTGATGGCATCCCAAAGTCTGACCTATACAGAGAGAGACCAACGGTTAGCTCAGAGAATATGATCGGCCTGTCCGAGGGTGTAGGTTTCGTTCCAACATTGGTCGGACACATATGAAACATGGGGTTTGAGGGTTGTCTGGCAGAACATTTTGAGCATCAAACGCTTGATTTCCTGCATTCTGGTGAATTTGATGCATCAATTTGTACTGTTTCTGCATCAACTTATGGTGTAAATGTCTTTATTTTTATCAAAATAGAAGTCCTCCTTTGTCTAAAATTAGACACCACTTTATAGATCAGGAAGACAAATTAAGCTAAATACAAACAAAACTGTAAAATAATGGTCGATTTATTCCACCAGGACTTATTCTAGACAAGAAAAAACACAAACAAACTTATGTAGCGAACCGAATTACTACTGACGTATAAGGGCATTTTCACATGGCCTATATTTCTTTTTAAACAAACCAAATTCAGTCCCCATAAAGTGCACTAAAAAGTGGACCAACAGAAAAGGGACTCAGTTCTTTTTGTGTTCACATCGTAGTTCATTTGAAAAAAGACTCAGTTCTCTTTCTGGTCAACTTCAGCTCTGATGACACCTCAGTCCTTTCTGTCACACTATAGGCTATATGTAATATATATATCAACGTAGTTTATATTTTTATTTTGATGTGGCACTGCTGTGCGATTATGAAGCCCCTCGCTTTCAGATGAAAGTAAAACTGGAGGAAAACTTTAGAGTTTCTGTGCTGTAGACTGTTGCCGTTTGATGAATTCTACATGCCAAATCTGGAGACGTACAGTATCTTCCATGGACCAAACTACTCTTTGTCCTGCATCCTAGCAAGTGTCACAGGCTGATGTGGATTTGTCTGTTTTTTTCAAGTGTCCCATTGCAACAGCATGTGGTCTAGAGGGCTAAATACAAGGGCAGTGAGCAAAACGAACCTGGAGCACTTTGTGTTCACAAGGCACAGGCTAACTGAACCGCACTGCTAATTTGACGCGAACCGTACTCAGACCACGGTTCGCTTCAGAGGGGTCTGAGTTCTCTTGGAGTGTTCACAAATATGCAAAAAATGCTGAGTCGCTGCTCTAAGTCCGTTTAGAGGGCTGAAAAGGACCAAGTGTGAAAACCCCCGAAGAAAAACCACGGATAAGAAAGACCAAGGACATTTTTTGTTAACAGGGTGTCTACAGGTATTAGACACTTAGATTTACTGCTTTTTCAAACCTTTTTAAGACAGTGTTTAACCAAATTAAAGGCAGAGTTTTGGACAAATCATTTTTCTCATTCAAGCATTGCAGGTAAATTTAAAGCATATAGGCTACATGTAGTCCAGTGCAGAGGTGTTAGAGGGGGTGAGTGTGATGGGTGAGTTAGGTAAAATTACATTTTGCCAACAGGTGAGTGCAAATATAAAGTTTAAAGACAGTTTTGGGTTCAGTGATAGGTATTTGTAGCATCAGAAATGTGGACTATCAGCAGAAGAGCTTGACTCATTTGGACTAAAGTAATTATAATATGAATACAGTCAACTAGATAAAATGTTTGCAGCAATTAAGACTTCGCAAATTTTATTTCAAGACTAATTAAAGTCTCATATTTGCGAATCTAAGACATTTTAAGACTTTAAGTGCCTGCAGACAACTCGTCACCAAATGTTACCCTAGGCCTTCAAAATTAATAACAAAGGAGAGTTAGCTAAAATAGCCTGGCTACATTTCACATTAGTTTTCCCAAAACAGGCACAGAAACAGGGGAAAGGCTAAATTACTCAAACTCACAAACTCACTCACAGAAATTCCTACACAGCCTGTAACCCTGAACCCGAGGGGTCCAGGAATGGCCGCCATGTTGCCTCCTTTATGCTAACATCTAAAGTAGATGTCAAAGCGCCCCTGCATGTTGTTTGACATTAAGTGAACACACTGGCTTGAATTAAGTCATTTAAAACGTCTAAAACAAATGTTACCTTGGGAATATCTCAGACTCGCCAGAAAAACCAAACAAATGAGCTGGCGTAAGTCCATATCGGCCCGCGCGGCTCACCGTCACAAGCCGCTGCGTCACCTGAGAGGAAGTGCTTTAATCAGCTTCTACTGCTGCACGTGCGCGTGCCATCAGACATGCCTCACTCGGCTTCCGTCAACGAAAAATATAATAAAATCCGTTATTTAAAACACGTTAATAATGAAATTCAATGTGTTATGTCTTTATTTAACCCGTTTTACTGTGTTTTGCCACTTTTATTTATTTATTTATTTATTAATGCATGTTCCACGCATGTACGTCATTTTGCGGTTTGCGAGACGTTCACGGCACACCTCAGATGTAGGTATTAATGTTTTTGACAGTTGATGATTTACAGTGTTTCCGACAGAGATCAAGGCGTACACTTAATGTTGCTGCGTATTGGTGTTACACCCACCTTCAGTGCATCTCAGCGAGGTGATTTTTGGATAAATCTGGCTCCTTTACGCACGGAACGAGTCACAGTAACAAAAAGAAATCAAAGCTTTGTAGTTCGCCACCAGCTCTTTCTTCTCTCCTTGGATGTCAAGCGTGCAGTTTGACTTATTAATGAGCGACCATCAGCTGCCGTGTCTGACGTCATATTGTCCCTTTGATGCTGCTGTCAGTCACAGCAGATTGCTAATGGTTCATGAAATCTTTTCATTGAAGCTGTCCAAAATTTCCTGAATGTTACAGCTCACCTAAATACTGATTTGCATTTGATGAGTGAATAGCTGCTGATGTTATACATCCGCATTCATTGCTCTCAGTGAGGCGATGAGACGGTGCGCATTTTGGAAAGCTTTTGCGCTTTTACGCACGGAACAAACTACCGTAATTATTCTTTTATCGATGCTTTGTCTTTGAAAACAGTGCCCACGAGTAAAACTGACAGAGTACCCAGCCAACATTTGTATGTGGGGCCATGTGGTAGTAAATGGGCTGAAGAATTAGCCCTATATAGGACTGTCCACGGGCCCCATACTGTCCCCATGCCAACCGCCCACATGAGTGGATACCCAAGTGGACCTCCTGGTTAAATAAAGGTTAAATAAAAAAATAAGAAAAATACTACTACAGTCTACAGATAGTCTCCTACAAAAGTCATGCATTCAAAGCGTTACATAGAGAAATACAGGATTATTAGCATCAAAATATATTCAAATATGTCGTGAATTTTGGTCATAAATGCAGCATATGGTAAAGGTGGAGCCTTTACACTTCAATATAAAATATATTGATGCCATGACGTGACACTTTGATGCTGCTGCTTTATTTCATTCATCCACCAAGTGATTTAGTGATAAAAAAAATAATTTAACTCTTGCATTACGGTTCAAACTCGCTCCTATTATCACGCGAAACCCTGAGTGTGCAGCAAACTGCAGTTCAAAACAAAAGTTTGTTTCATGTTGTGACAATAAAGGACTTTCAAAGACCAGGACTAATTTACCTCTAATGGATTTTTTTTTATTCTGTTCACACATCATACTCATCAAAAAGCACCAAAGCTTTGTAGTTCGCCATCAGCTCTTTCTTCTCTCTTTAGATGTCAAGTGTCCAGTTTGACTTATGAATGGGTGACGATCAGCTGCCGTGTCTGACGTCATTAATGTCCCTTTAATGCTGCTGTCAATTACCGTGGCATATATGAAATATTTTTTTTTCCTTTTCATTGAAGCTGTCTTAAATTGTTGATTTATATAATTCACCTAAACATTTTTATGTAGCATAAACACCTGCTGTTGAAAATAAACTTTATTTGTTTGACACTTTCCAAAACACAGATACACAGTGCTTTAAGAGACAAATAAAATAGTATACACCATCAAGATTAAAACAGCAATAAAAACATTGGACATAGGTTAAGACCAGATAAATCAGAGTGTGTAATAAAAATAAATAAATAATAAAACTGATAAAAGGATAGAAACTAGACACACAACAGATTTACTGTAAAAAAAAAAAAAAGTTTGCCAACCTCAGTGTATATGAATTTAATTATTACCATTAGCTGCACAGATAAAAAAAAAAATGAATCTAAAAAATTAGAAAAAATATCCTGACATTTTGCTTATTTTTCTAGTGTGTCATAATATGATTATGTATTTTTGATAATTTATTATTCATTATTTTTTATTATTATTATTTATTTATTTATTTATTTATTATCTCCGGCTTAGTTCCATTTTTTTATTATTATTATTTTTGTTATATTAGGAAACACTTTATTACCTTAGTTAGTTTATAGATTATCCGAATAGCCTCTTTGTTATATATATGTATATTTATAGTATTTATTAATATCTAATTAGCAGCAGTGAAAATATTAAATTGTTTATAGGTAAATATTAAATTTACCTAGTATGCGAGTATACGTTATTGTAAGCTCCTGTAACCCTTCAAAAAGACGAAAGTGCAAAATATATAGTCAATAAAAAATGACCAATAATTAAAATGCAACACAGAACATATTAAGATTTTTTGTTTTAAATGTTATTTTTTATTTTATTCATTTTTTGTGCCAAATATTAACCTTGAAAATCCTCTCTTGATTTTATTTTCTGTACTCTGTCCCAACAGAAAAATATGGAGCATATTGAGATTTTTCAACATATTTCTATTTTTATTTTATTTATCTATTTAATTTAATTTGTATTTTTTTAATGCATCAGAGTTGTGCCAAATATTAACCCTGACAATCCCCTTTTGTTTTATTTTCCTCACTCTGTCCCAACAGGCTCCTACAGGTCACGACCTGCGCTACAGAAAGTGTTTTCTGATTAACTCCCGTTACTTACCCATTAATCACAGCGCAGTTACGCAGCTCATAATCTCCTTAACTAATAATATTGTCCTGGCTTCTTATCAAAGGGATCTTTAATACACACACAACAACAATCAGCATGCTGCGCGTTTACACTTTTTCACCCTTCGTTCACTACAAAGACAAATTGGTTTCGATACACAACGACCTTGTCACGTTTAAGTCTTTGAGCGCTCCCGTGGATCACACACGCCCTCAACCCATCTGCACCTTGACAGATCTCTTCAAAGGACGCGAGGAGAGAGGGGTGTGATTATAAATCCAGGTCTCAGCATCTCACCTGGAGCATTTGGGAATCTACCTGTGGAAGAGACAACACCACACCTGGGAATTATGAAGGGACTAGCTGTGGATTTCTCTTTTGCGCTTCTTCTTCTGCTGGTGGATTTGGTTTTGGGTCTCGCTGCGCAGACCTTTCCTGGGATGCATCCTGACGCACTGCTCCGTGGGAGTGCCGGGTCCAGACGCACCGTGCAGAGGCAGCAGGGCAGCAGGCTGCCCCTCTACATGATGCAGCTCTACCGGACCATGCTGACCGAGGACCGGGACAGGACTCCGGCTGCCAGCCTGAGCCACATCAGGGTGGAAGACAACCCCGGGCTGCACGCCTCTGACTCTGTCGTCAGCCTTGTTGCAAAGAGTGAGTATCCATTTCATTTTTTATGACGTGGCTGTGCAGTTTTCCTATAAAGTTATGCAATGCACATTCAGTTCAAAACATAAATAGTGTCTATAGTTTCCTTTGACATCTCCCTACAAAAGGTGGATGCTGTTGATTTATTTCAGTCCTCATTTGTCTAATCAAACCTGATGCTGCATTTGAGTGCCTGTGCAACTCTCTATCACCTTTACAGATGATGTCAAATGTTAACCTTCACTCTTCTTTCTTTCAGGCTGCCTGCAGGTTGGCAACAAGTGGTCCATCACCTTTGACCTCTCCTCCATGTCTGCAAGCGACAACATCCAACTGGCTGAGCTCCGCATCCGCCTCCCTGCCTTCTCAGAGTCTTCCCACGCCTCAGTGGACATCTACCATTCCCACAGGGACGGATGCTCTGGCATGCACTGCCCGGAGAACAAGCTTCTCTTGGGCCGCCTGAGAGCTCATCCCAGCTCCATGGTCTCCCCTTCTTCCTGGAAGGTGTTCAACATGACGGAGATGCTCAGTCGCTGGCTGCAGCAGGAGCAGTCCACACAGAGGATGGAGGAGGAGGTGGAGGAGAAGCAGGAGGGAGTCCAACACTCTACAATCGACCGGGTCATGATGGTGGTCTACTCAAAGCAGAACCCAAACAGCCAGCGAATGCCGACACTCATCCGCACAGCAGAGCACTCCAAGTACGTCAGCCTGGACCGGGAGCGAGGGGCAGCCAGCCTTGGGTCCAGACCGAGGAGCCGCAGGTCCAGGAGGCACCATCACGCTCATCAGCAGAGACAGAGAGTGGCTGGAGCTGCTCCTGTCAACAAGCCCACAGAGGAGGAGAAGAAGGGTCCTCTCTGCAGGAAGGTGGACATGATGGTGGAGTTTAAGAAGCTCGGCTGGAGCGAGTGGATTGTCTATCCTAAGCAGTACAATGCCTATCGCTGTGAGGGGAGCTGTCCTACACCTGTGGATGAGACCTTCACTCCAACCAACCATGCATACATGCAGGTAAGTCTCAATTTAAGACAATGTCCTATACTTTCACTGCACAGTATTTGCTGCAACAGGACATATCTATTACTTAAACACTGTGATCTAATCATTCGTTCTCTTCTCTCTCCAGAGCCTTCTGAAACTTCACCACCCAGACAAGGTGCCATGTGTGTCCTGTGTGCCAACACGCCTGGCTCCGCTCTCCATGCTGTACTTCGAGAACGGGAAGATGGTCATGAGGCATCACGAGGACATGGTGGTGGAGGAGTGCGGCTGCCACTGAGCAAGAGACCTGAAAACCTTTGGGTTAAAGGTCAGATAGACTGATGCTGCTGCTGAGCTGTCTGCCCAGACGAGTCTACAGCTGCAGGACTGAACGGCTCAGAGGCACAACGTGGATGGATTTCCACAGGCACTTTGCAGAGACGTCCAGTTTGACACTGTGACAGAGGCTGCTGCTGCAATGCAGGACATAACTGAAGGGAACTACTCTATATCCTGGACACAGCTCTCAAAAGTTTTAAATTATTGCTACCTTTTGAAGGAGATAATGTGACCTTAATTGTGTCTTCATTTGCAATTGGATGAGCTATAATTCATAAGGACTGATAATGCTGATAAAGATGAAACAAGGTGAGGACAAGAGCACAATATGGTCACTGACTGAAGCACTAAAGATTCACAGAAAGAGTTTTATGTACAATCTTTATGATAGAAGACTGAATTTTTTTTAATGCCATTGAAAGAACAAATGCAAATGTGAGAATGGTGTGAGCGCTTTTAACTTTATTGAGATGTTTGGGTCACATTGACCTGGTTGTATGTTTGCTATGTACAATAATACAATAAATTATTTCTTATCTGAACAAAGTGTTTGATGGGTTTTTATTACAATGTTTAAACAAGAATATAAATCAAGCTGCTCTTTTCCCTTTACTGTATGAGGCTTACAAAAAGAATCTTTGCAAAAGAGATACAAAGGCGTAGGTTTTGAGGATCCTTCATACTCCCTCAGAATATTTTGAGCATCAAACACTTCATTTCCTGCGTTCTGGTCAATTTTATGAACTGATTTTCGCCTTTCTGCATCAATTTAGGGTGTAAAAGTCTTTAATATTGTCAAAATAAAATTCCTCTGCTACTTTTATGTTTTTATTGGTTGGGTCTCAAAAACATATTCTCACTCCGACCTCATCACATATTGACGTTTGGTCATGAACTTTCCAGGTCGCGATATGACGTGCGAGGCACCCTGGGTGTGTTGGTTGTTGACGTTCTGGGACGCCGTGTCAACTTCAGCCTGTTACATGTATTGTCTTCTTTCAAAATACACTTCAGTTTTCACAGGATATGTACAGCTTGCATACAGTCTCTTTCAAAATAAATGTACTATGTCAGTACAACACTGCAAATCGACATTTTTTTCCTTCAATAACAAAGCATGCTGTTATGTTCTGCCAATACACACGTGGTGGGGTTAAGGAAAAAAGAACAGGGTTTACAATCCACACTGGACTCCCAGGTGAACATCTGTGGCTGTTGGATCCATCCACCATCCCTCCACCCGCCCTATTTGGACTTCTGCCGCCTTAACTTTCGTCCTTGTCCTGCCACATTTCCCCAACGCTGCTGGGTGCCATTTAACTATAACAACGACCAGTTGTGCATCATTTTTTGTCGGTGTCTGACACCAGAAGTCACTGCCATAGCGCAGATTTCAGCAACTTTTAAGTGAGACCAGGTTGGTTTTAAATGTAGAAGGAAACATATCCCCTGCATCCTCCTTAACTTCAACACCTACTGTAACATACCTAAATGTAATGCAACCATCATCAATATTATCAGTAACTCAGTAACACCTGCACTTCTGCTGAACTTTCTTCAGATCCTGCACCTGACTATTCCTTTAGACAGTTGTGGACTTGTCCTTAAATATGTTTTGGTTTTACAAGAGAAAAGACTTCACGGATGAGGACTGACTGTTGTTTTCCAGCAAAAAAACAAAACAAAAAAACTTTAAAAATACATCCCATGCTGCCTGTCCACTACCAAGCAGCAGGCCAACAAAGTAAGCAGCTAGCTGTTAAACACAGACCACCCTGCTCACTCCGCAGTCGTCAAAATCCGGCGCTTGGGCAGTGACTTGTGGTGTCAGAAACTGACAAAAAAAGCCATCCTTTAACGTTGGCATGGTACATGGCCAGTCACTGTTATAGTTTAATGGTGCTCAGCGGCATCAGAGGGAAACATGGCAGGACATAAATGAAAGTTAAGGCAATGAACGTCCAAGTAGGGAGGGTGGGTCAAGCATACACCGACTTTCACCTGGGAGAGCAGTGTTCGTGTCCTGCAATGTGTGTTAGTTGTTGAGGGCAAAAAAACATCAATTTACGTTGTTTTACCGATGTAGTGCGTTTATTTTGAAAGAGACTGTATGCAAATGCTAAATTTCCTGTAAAAACAGAAGTGTATCTTGAAAGAAGACAATGCATGTAACAGGCAGAACTTGACACGGTGTCCCAGAACGTCAACAACCAACACACCCAGGGTACCTTGCATGTTGTATGTGGACGTAGAAAGCACATGACCAAGCGTCAATATGTGTCGAGGTTGGAGTGAGAATGTGTTGGCATCAGATGATTTACTCAGGAGTTTGTGAATACAACAAAAAAAGAGCTAAAAGGAGAGTGAGTATTGGACATGCACTCAGAAACATGGATGCTAATGTAGCTCTGTACGTGCTGGATGTGATCTGTTTGCTATTAAACACGCCATATAAACTTTAAAGGTGTTAACATGTCAGTGTTGTGTTTACAGCTTGTTTCTCTTGTTGGCTAAGCATGTAAAATCTGAGATTTGTCCCATGCCAAAAGGTCAAATTTACATGTAACAATTAAAAAGCTTTTCAGAGGAAAGATATTAGGGTGTTTTGGAGCCATAAAACAAAGCATATCTAAAAAAAGATACCATGTGAGTTACACAGGAAAGATGATTACAGATTTCTCAACAGAATTCCCAAGTTTTAATAGTTTTACTTTCCACAACACAGCTCATTAATTTCAGTAATTTATTTGTTTAACAACGAAAGTTATAAAGACATGTTTAAAGTCAACAAATGAGTCAGATCACATAAAATATTTATGTTTAATTTCAACAAAACTTTGACGTACTTGTCAAATATGTCACAGATCATACAAGGTCAAGTATATCCAAAGTAAAGAAACATTTTAATGCATCACTTTGTGTTGTTTGATAAGAGTACATCACTTTAACACATGTTAAGCTTTAGAAAACAAATGCCATCTACAAATTCAGAACAAATCTGAAGCTGGGTTTCACAGTTCAGTAAGACTTCTCATTAAAGCTGAAAATGTTTTTATCTCCGATAAAAAAAAAAAAAGCAAAGAAAATGTTAATTTCTTTTATCCTCACAGCTGACTTTGTTCAGATGTCCATTTCAAACTGGGCATCTTCAAGAGAAAGAAAAGACAGTGCAGATGAGTAGAACACATGAACACATGAAGGATCGCGGCTCATCTCTTGTGCACATTTTAAATACGCATTTACCTGTGCTCTCCTCTGTGTGCAGGTTGTGGTTGGTGTTATTGCTGGGTGTCTGTTCAGGCTGCTGTGTGTCACTGGGTTTGAGTGGCCTGGTGACTCCTGGGATGTCGGGCAGATTGGGAGGCGTACGGGCCAGAGGAGACGTCCGACACTGCAGCAGGAACTTCCTGTCGTAGATGATTCTGGTACCTGTAGGAAGCAGCAAAGGAAAAGTTCATGTCAGTATTTTGACAGTAAAGCACGGTAACATTTTAAGTGATCAATATTTGCAACAGCTGTGCTCATACTGTACATTAAATCTTGTGGAAAAGTTTATACTAATGTCAAACTTTTTTTTGGTTACTCTACCATAGAAGCTTGTGTCAGTTTTACCTAAAAATAAAATAAAAAATCATGTGCTAACCTCCACATTTAATATTTGTTTCTGGTATAAATGGTCAAATAAAAATTTGAAAATAGACATCAAAGAATTATAACTAGTTAAAAAAGAAAATAAATAAATAAATAGGGATACAATTAAATTAAAATAAATTCAGCTGCTAACACTGACAAACACTTGTCACTCATTTAAGCAGGATAAAAAAAGAAATTTAATTTTAGCTGATTTAATAAAATTGAAAAAAATTAAACAGGTAACCAAAGCACAAATATATTTAAATTAAATCAAATACAGGAGCTAACACTGATATTTAAAATGCTGTGCACGGGCATTTTTTCTACTATTGCTATTTAACACTTATACTTGTTTAAATAGGTAGGAAATAAAATAAAAATGTAATCTAATTCATCTAATTCAATAAAATTGACTAAAATTCAACAGCTAACCTCAACATAAGATACTTGTAACTAGTGGAAAAGGCATACAATCAAATTAAATCCAGTAGCTAACATTGCCATTAAACACTTGAAACTACTTTCAACAAGTAAAAAAAAAAAAGTAATTCAATTTTTATCTTATTTAATAGAATTCAACAAAATTCAACAGCTAACCACAACATAAAAAGGATACAATTAAATTAAATCAAATTAAATCCAGTCGCTAACATTGCCATTTAACACTTGTAACTTATTTAAACAGGTAAGAAAAATGTAATTTAATTTGAGCCAATTTAATACAATTCACATTATTTCACATAAAATACTTGGAACTAGTGGAAAAGGCATACAATTAAATCAAATTAAATTAAATTTAGTAGCTAACATCGCCATCAAACACTTGTAACTTTGAACAGATACAAAAAATTTAAATTCAATTTTATCTAATTTAATAATATTCAACAAAATTCAATAGATGACCACAACAATAAAAGGATAGACTTAAATAATACTGAATTCAGCAGCTAACATTGATATTTAATACTTGTAACTTGTTTAAATAGGCAGGAAATAAAATACAAATGTAATATAATTAATCTAATTCAATAAAATTGACAAATTTCAACAGCTAACCTCAACATAAAACACTTGGAACTAGTGGTAAGGGCACACAATTAAATTGAATTAAATTAAATTCAGAAGCTAACATCGCCATCAAACAATTGTAACTCGTTTGAACAGGTAAAAAATATAATAATTCAATTTTATCTAATTTAATTATATTCAACAAAATTCAAAAGCTGACCACAGCATAAAAAGGATACACTTAAATCAAATTAAAAAGGGTAAAAAAAAGGTAAAATAAATAAATAAAATGTAATCTGACTCACGTAATTCAATAAA